TTTCACAGAAAGTAAGCAGTGATAGTTATCATCATAACCAAAAATCAGGAAGGTTTCTTAAATAAACTGTGAATTGCGCTGACTTATAAGACAGAGCCTCCTTCTGTGATCTAAATTTTTCCGTTCAGCCGTCAAGGGAATCATTCGGTGTTTAGCGAAAAAAAAACACAATTTTTTATATTTTACCCAATATCGCAATAACTTTATAGGAGAACCTATGGTTACAATGTCCTAGCATTTTTCTCTATATAAATCACATTGATAAATAGGCCAAAGCACACATGTTGCAGAGATGATTCTGATAGTTATTTAGGCCCCATTAAATCTTTTTGAGGCAAGAGCTTCTGGTTACTAAAGACTTCCTTTCGTATAACTTTGTAGTTACTCACAATAACCAGGATAAAAATATTGCTCTGTTGTACTTTTTTAAATTCTGTTTAGGTCAGTAGCACAGCTCTGTTAAATTCTCAATGTCTAGGATACAGAGATGACTAAGTCTGAGGTCAGTGGGGCTATTAGTGAGACTTGACTGGTGAAGGACAAAAAGTCAATAGCTTTTGGCATCCCATCATTTTGTGTTGACAACTAGTTTGGATTATTAAAACTAAAAAATCCACATTAGAAAAAAGAATCTCCAGGTTAACATGGCTTCCAGTTTCTCTATGTTGTCCTCCCTATGTTTTCAATTTAGTGGCCAACACACAATATGAAATCTCTCCACATTTTCATTGTACAGAAACCGGGATTCCCTAAACCTTAAAATCTTTACTGTTTGACACTTTGAGATTATTTGTTGGGCACTGAATTATAATTGGGGAATTAATGAAAGTACATAAATTTGTAAAACCAATGCCACGGTTGTGTCAATATTCCGTAAGTTTGCTATGTTTGTTAACGGGGGTTCCTTTGTGAAATTGTGACCCAGCGACACCTCTCTGTCAGGTATCCTTACTATAAACTTTACTAGATTAGTCCTGTCCTACTTCCATCTGTGGGCACATGATTTCCTGTAGATCTTGTTGCTTAACCTGGCACTGCCGTGGCATATGAACCATACGTCACAGTTCTAAATGTGAATGAGAATTCTTGAAATGTATCTCTGAAACACATAGAGCAGTGGTTCTCAAACAATTCCGATCCAGTGGGAACAACACGAACTGTTGTTGTGCCCCGAGGATCAGGTTGAGAAACACTGACCAAAAGGGCAAATCGTAGGCTTCACAGTCATGTTGGCTTATTTTCTAGGCCAGCTCTCTGTGTGAGCTTCTGATTATTCTGATCCTGGACTTTATACTCCCTTATATTGCGACAAATGAGCAGTTGCAAGCGGAAGAGGAGGAAATTGCATCTAACCAGTAACATGCCAGATGACTGACAGGGCCGGTTCCGGAGATTTCCTGATCTCCCAGAGCTGGCCATCAACCTATGATTATTGCAGCCATTATGCATTTAAACAGGTAGGCCAATGGACAATCTGGGCCTGTCATATGCAATGAAGTGTGTTTGTGAATTTCAAAAATACAAATAAATAGTTCAAAATAAAAAAAATAAAAAGATAATTTTTGTTCCATGTTTTTGTAAATGTTCAACTGGTTAATATCCAAATTATAAAGAAAAAACATATTTTAGTATAGTGTTGCATCATTTGACCCTCACACTAGAGTTACAAGAAGGCCCTCAGCATAGATTATTAGATTACATAGATTATTTTATATTATATTTATATACCTAAATTGGTGAGGTTGGGGATGCTGATATTAATAGTTGTTTAGAAATTGTTATACTGATAACATTTATTAGTTTAAATTCACCGACCCAACCTCATTCTCTTCTCCCTGCTCCCTCTGAGTGTATTTTCCCTTTTAGACTTACGGCCCGGTAAAGACTCAACCCTTACTTCAAATCTCCCCCTTACGCTAACTCTGGAAACAATGCCTACTCACATAGGTCTTCCTTCAATCTCCATAACCCAGTTTGGCTTTGGAATATTTTTCCTATTTATTTTTTTGACAAAATGTGCAAAAGTTGATAATCAATTTAATACAGTTAACCATTTAGTAAATAACCTTTATACGCACTAATATTAACACTATATTTTCTACCACAGTATTAGTCCATTGAGGAGCATAAAAAAATGATGCGGTTTCAACGAACTAACAATTATTATTCTACGTATTATTTTTACATTTATCACTTCGCCAGACATTTTAAAAATAACCCAAAAATGCAGGTTTGGCCCATTGTCAGCCTTGTTTTGTCCCTTTTACTTGTATATCTCATTTACCAATTGTACAACGCTGTATGATATGTTGACGCCATAAAAATAACAATTATAATAATAGAAAGGAGAGAAAATTTGAACATTCACTGATCTTCCACAAATGGCAAAGACATTAACTTCAGAAGGAGACGGAAACAACATTTGGATTCAATTAACAAATCTATATCCGGATATATAAATATATAACTATCTGTGGCTGAGTTGTTTTTGTCCTAATTAAGTCAAAATCCTGAAAACTTGTTTACTTCACACCATGTTTTTCTATCACTTTTTTCTCTTCTATATGAGCGCGTGGGGATTTAATAGTTAAGCAGGTGATGTGATGTTACACAGCATATGGGGTTCTACTGCCTCTACAATCACCCAGTAATTTGTCACTCAATCAATTTTCCTTTCCTTCCCTGCCTTAGGCTCCAGTCAATAATGAATAAAGCAACTGCTAAGTGTCCTACACAGTCACACTGTATAAAGACGAATGATTTATTCAAAGTATTCACACTAGGACATATCTTTTAAAAACAACAAAGGCTAAATACTAATACACCAAACAACGTATAGATAATGAAAATAAAGGTATTATAGAGAGGTCCAAACTTAGAGCATCAGATCCAGCTCTGTTATGATACAATGGCATTATCTAGAAATTGAAAAAACCTATGAAGAGAGATTAGACCCTGTGGGTACATAAATCTAGCAGACTAAATGAAAGGATTAAAGTGAAATAAGTGGAATTAGCAACAAACAAACTGCTGGTCTGATGATCTGAAGATTTGCAATTACCTTACTGATTCCTGCTTCTCAAAACTCATGGGGAAGAATATCTAGACAGTCTTACAGGCACCCAATATGGGCCATCGCCCTAGACCAGGGGTAGGCAAACTTCAGCACTCCAGATGTTGTGGACTATATCTCCCATAACGCTTGCACAGCCATAAAACTGGCAAAGCATCAAGGGAGATGTAGTCCACACAATATCTGGAGTGCTGAAATCTGCCTACCCCTGTCCTGGGGGATATGCCCACTATACAGGGGTTAACATGCAAGATGTTTTAAATGAGGCCATAGCATCATTCATATTAAGACATGGACGTATAGACTCCAGAGTCAGTATATTAGATGGTTGCAATGAAAGCCTAAATATTTAATGGCCATTACTTGGATTACATAAAAATACAAAATTATTTGGGTTTGTATCCCCAATCTATTTGTGAGTTTGTATTTTCTACTTTATTAATTGATCTATTAATACCTTCTTTAAATTACATGTATCATGTATGCAAAATGTGTATTTTCTACCCATTTGCAACATACCTTCCAACATTTCAAGTAGACGGCTAGGTGCACTTTAATTTTAGGGGGTGTGAGTGGGGATTTGGCCAGGGGCCAGGTTATTTTGCTAAATTTAGGGTGACTTACTAAAAACATTTTATACAACTAAAATGTAATTTAGAACAAGCACAATGTATCTTATTTACACAGACTCATTTTCCAAACACATTTATTGTAGTTTAAAGACACTTTACTGGGAGTATTATTGCTGTGGAGTTCTGTTATACAATAAGACTGGTGAAAGAGGTATAGAAAAGTGGGACAGAGGGATATGGGTCCCATAGTTTTTAGATTTGACCAAAAAAAACTTTGATATATAATCTAAACTCTGATTTTCAGTAAAGTGGATAGCTTAATGTTAAATTTTGGCCAAATAGCTGAATAAAACATGTCTTCAACTCTGCTATTTGGGCCCAAATCAGGATTTTCAAACTTTAACCCCTCCCTCCTCCCCAGATTTTAAGGAACAACAACTTCTCAAAATATTTGAATTTAATATATGGGCAGATAATTATGGGATTTGTAGTCCAACAACATATAGGCACAGCACTGGTCTAAATTACATAGCTCAGATTGAAATGCACCACAATTACTGTTTAGTGAATAAATCCCTTAACATATCACGGGTGCAACAAAAAGGATAATTTTATTTTAAAGAAATTTAAGGGAAAAACATGTTTTGCTTGTGTTGCCATAGCTTTACCTGCAAGATAGAACGTACATCGGTATTAACAGTCCATCCTGCATGTTTACATAAAACTTGATTCATAAACTTTAGGTTGCCACCTCTTTTGTTTTTTTTTGGGGGGGGGGGGTCATCAAGATCACGTTTTCAGCAAAGTTGTTAAGGTGGATCAGTGAGCAGACACATTTAATTGGGCTCCCATGTTAATATATATTCATGTACAGATGAGCATGATGCGACATGTAGTCCATAAGAGCCAGCGTGCCAAACTTTAGCCATCAACGTGCTGGACCAGAGCTAAAAATCAGGCTTATTGGGCTTCCTATGAAATATAACCCGCAGTCACCTGCGTAGCCAATCCATCTCATCTCCCCTGCAGGGTTCTTAGGAAGTGAACCTCTGGAATGTTAAATTCATGCTATAAAATAAATATTTTTTTTTAAAAAAATAAAAAATTAAGAGGAGTACAAACCTATTCCAGAGTGCAGTTTAATGCCTTCATCCCAGGGAGTGATACAAGCTGTGCCTTAGTAGGGCTGAACACCTCACTCACACTCTATAGAACAGAGACTTTGCTCACTCAGTATAGAAAGGCAGTTCCCTATATAACACATTGGCTTTAAGGGACATTATAAAATTTCACACCATATTGCACTGGTGGCTTCCCCCAGGCACCTGGTGAAGTGTGCTAGCAGTTAAATCGAATTAAACAGCCCGGTCCCAGTAAGAAGCCACGCTTTTGTGAGCAGCGCAGCGCTGACACAGGGATGACATCTTGTGGTCGCCCAGCAGTCGCACCGTGTCCTCGCACCCAAGGCATTCCACTGACACCCGCCCAGTCACAGTAGCTGTGGGAGGGGGCGGTGCAGACCTGCTGCCAGCAGCTCCCGGGACGCCAGCCACGCCCTGACTCAGACCGGAAAGCTCTGTCATTGGCTAAACCGCTCCCCTATGCAAATGAGCCCGGGGGGAATGACATTCCACTGGACTCTTACTGTAAAAGCGAATTTATTTCCAGTCAATCTCATTCATAGACCAGAGGAGGACACACCACTGCTGGTCCAGGCTGCAGGAAACTAAATAGCTCAATCAGGAAGTAACTCAACTACTTCAAGACACACTCTCTCTGCATGCTTGCTTTTCTTAAAAAAAATATATTTTTTTTCATTATTTTTGTTCTACTTTTGATAGCATGAAGCTTCCACGCTTGCTACAACTTGACATGTGCTGATGAGAGGGGGCAGGAAGCTATGACAGATCCACCTGATAGGACCCAGCATCAGAGGAGTTAACTGTGTGTACACACACTAATAAGAAAAAAGAAACCCAGGTTGAGTCAACAGCTCATTGTTTAGGAATTGGTTTTATTGTGTGTGCCCATGATCTACCCAGAAAACCACAGAACAAGCCACAAGTTCAACCAAGAAGCACTCTCCACCTCCATGGGAAGCCACTAGTTGGGATGAGGAGCAAGTCCTGTACCCTTGTATAGAGAGGTGTCCACAGCCATCAGACTCAAAGCACTTGGAAACACACAGGAGAAAAACTACTGAAAGCTGATCTTATCTCCCTGTCTGTCTTTACACAGCTTTTACTGGATTTTGTATTTTTTATTTTGCTATGTTAGAGCTATGTGTCAATATTTGATGAATTGAATAGTCCTTGTTATTGGAAACCCACACCTCTCCCACCACAGCAGATAGCTCCTCACACCCAGAAAGGGGGGGATCTGTTTGTTGCAGAGGGTTAAAGGGGGGGCTACAAACACCCTTATTATTCTGGAAAGAAGACACGAATGTATTTTGTGTTTTATTGGGACTTTAGAAAAATAACTTGGAGAAAAAAAACTCACCGGATGGTAGCTGAATTGAAGACTGTTATTGTCTAAAACCCCCCCAGTCCTGTTGAGGGTATCAGGGTAAATGGAACTGTGAGATAAACAAGAAGTGAATAATAAAAAGTTTGGGGGAAGAATTGCTCAATCAGAGCCGTGAGACTGTAGGAAGTTGTTGCATTGCTTAGAATCTTGCCTGTTGATACATTGTTGCCGGTCCTGCTGGGGCACACAGGGCTGTTGTCTCTGAGCCCCTGGTCACATTTGGACTCATTATTTTTTAGGTTCTGATCCCATTATAGACATACGTTTTCATTCACAAGGCTTGTTGTGATGCGTATCCCCGTAGATACCAGCACCAGCCGCCGCTTCACGCCGCCCTCCACCACTCTGAGCCCGGGGAAGATGAACGAGCCACTGACGCTGAGCGGCCCGGACAGCAGCGCCGCCCTGGTGGGCAAACTGAGAAATGCAGACCGGAACATGGTAGAAGTCTTATCTGATCATCCTGGAGAATTAGTCCGTACAGACAGCCCCAACTTCCTCTGCTCGGTGCTGCCCACCCACTGGAGGTGCAACAAGACCTTACCTATTGCCTTTAAGGTAAGACACGTTCTGCTCAACTAGGTGGCACATAGTCAATGCATGCATGTCCCTATTTAAATATCTTTATATATGTGTTTGTGTGTGTCTGGACATATCCTGGCAATACTGAGGGGTTTAAGACCAGTAGGGGGGGGGGGGTCTAAGGCTCTATTTACTAAACTCAGAATTGTAGCAAATTGGAATCCAAAGTATTATTTACTAAACAACGAATTGTAGCAAATTGAAATTCGAATTGGAACGTTTAGGCCACATTAAATGTTTGGGGGCAATTCTCCATCTGTGCTATATTCACAGATTGTCTGTTTTGGCTTCATTTTTTTTTTTCATTCACATTTTGATTCAATGCAATTCCAAGATGAGTGCATTGCCCTGTAAAAATGGCAAAAGTACATAAATAGCTGATTTAAAGAAATTCTCCAACCCAGCTATAGTCACATGGCTGTTATACCCCCAAACGTTCAGTACAGTTCAGCTGTTAGTGCATATACCCAATGAGGTATATTCATTTGTTACCAAACTGTAATGAATTACAAACCAAATTACAGAATAATCTACTAAAGTGAGAATTAAAAGCAAATTTAACATTTGAGGCCAGATTAGCCGAGTGGAACGAATGCATAACCGACTTTGGGAATTTTAACAATTTGACTATTTTGACCTTAAATTTATAATTTGAAATAAAAATCCTCACTTTACTGAACAGGTTAGCTGTTGAATAGTTTAACACTCAACTATTTCAGCCTAAAATTTGCAAAACCCATGCAAGATGACCATAAGCCCTGTTTATGTGAATAAGACCTGACAGTTATTCCAATCGGTTAGGACTAGCAGTTAGCAAAAATCCTTATCATTATATTTCTGGCTTATCCTTTCTCATTTCATTGTTGTGAAGAAAGAATTTAATAGACTTGTCACGATTTATAGTCTATTATTACCTGAAGGTAAGAGTTTAATGAACCAGTACTTTTAAAGTATGAATAACAATCTACCCAGAGTCTCCTGAACTGGTCTATTTTCCTCGGTTTTAATTAACTTTTGTAACTCAGTTTTAATTAGACGTGAATATACTCGAACAGTAAAATCCACTGTAAATAGGTTCTATAAGGTTTGGCGCCCAATCTGCCTCAATGAGGAAGCCAGATTCCTTAGGGAGAGACAACTTACTAATTGTTCAGAGGGCCATTATTTATGGGGTATGAGTAATAATAATGATGACTTATGGAAAAGGATACATTGAGGCTAGAATGAAAACCAAAACACTTTCTCTGGTCTTATTAACCCCTTAAGGACACAAGTTCTGGAATAAAAGGGAATCATGATGGAATATTTCCATCATGTGTCCTTAAGGGGTTAAGAGATTATTCACTAAACAGTGTGAATGGTGGCGAATTATCTGAATAGCAAAATTCTGGGTAAAATAGCCAAGCTGTTATTATAACGGAGATGACATTGTTCCAAATCAGCTATTTTGGTACCAATTTTTTTTTTCTCCTTTGACTATAATTATCTGTTTAGTAAATAAGCTCATTAGTAATTACTTAAGTCACCTGTCTTGTTCTCATGGTATCTCCACATTCCCGTGCTACTTACCCCTCATATCAATTTTCCATTCAGCAAATACACCACTAGGTGATACACCTGTTGTTCCCATTTCATCTTACACCTTAACCTTATGAAATTATTCTGAAATACTTTTTGACTGTCTCCGGCTTTGAAAAAATAACTTGTAGGGCTCAGTTAACCTCTGTTTGGCCAACAATACAGCTTTGCAAGTGGTTATGTATGCATATATCCTTATATGTGTGTGTATTTATAGTGAATATAAACATTATACTTTAGATTCAATGAGATACACCTTTCTGGGTGGGAACCCCCTTTTCCCCAACTGAATTCCTTGTGGCATAGATTCAACAAACTGTTGGGAAATTTAATTAGAGATACCGGTCCTTGTTGAAATGATAGCATCACACACTTTGAATAAACTATTCAAAAGAATGGTTTCCGCCAGTCCCTTTATATCATGTCAGTTCAGGTGTGTGACTTGTCATGAAGAGCTTAACCACAACTATAAATATATTTTTTTTAGTTTTTAGGTTTTCATTTTTTTAGAGGACATTCTATGAAGGACACCTGTATGTCATAGTTATATATGTACAGTTATCAGTAACATTCCATTGGTTTCTACGGTGATTGCTCCCCTCTTAGAATGTCACCCCAGTATAGCAGATTATACCAATTTATCTGTGAAAAAAATCTCGCCAGTTGGCAGTCGAAGACGAAATCACGCTAACTTTATAATTTAACTGATTTGCATAGGAGTTCAAGCTTTCAAGACAACTTAGTCATGTCTTACAACATTCTATCAAACTCAATTTATTTATTATTTATTTATTACTGGTATTTATTAAGCACCAACATATTCCGCAGCGTTGTACAATTAGGGTAGAACGTACAATATACACAGAAGGCAGCCCATAAGCAGTGTATGGCCACTTTCTTGCCCTATAGTGTCTTGCAACAATTTAAAGCCATTTTTTAAATTAGAAAACAATTGGGTTTACACAAGAAGTTTATCAAACTGCTAAAACTGAGCAGCTGTGGAAACATTAATGTGCTATTCTTGTTTTACCTGTAGTTGCTTGATCACTCTTTTGGCATAGTCTTCCTGTGTTTGTCACCAAATTAACATATCCAATAAGCCTCCAGTCTTTCACATTGTCCCGAACTATATAATGCTCATGTTTCAAACCCCCTAGATACCACACTGCTCCCATTCTCATGTCTGGACTGTTTGATGTTTACAGCAAGAAATATATTCCTGTAAAATATTTTAACACAAGTTCTGACTCACTGTCCTGAAATGTGGCTGCTGAAATCTTTGAAAGGAGAGGAGACCAACTAACTGTTTTATTACCTGATAAAATGTACTTACCTAAAAAAAAATAACAAAGACCTTAGACTGAACAAGTCAATATGCATAGCGTAGAGGGGTTTATTAACTAAACAGCAGATTGTAGTGAATTTAAAAATTTAGGCCAGAATAGTTCGTTTGGAAAAATTCCAACTCCACTAAATTCACAGTACGGCTATTGTCTGAATTTTGCAAATAGATTTTTTGTTGTTTTTTTTTTTAATTCGCCACTGTTCGCTGTTTAGTGGATAAACCCTAGAATATTTCATGAAATAAATTTGGCTCAATTTCAAATAAACTTTTCAAAGCCCCTAAATTAAAACTCAGGTATGGTTGTGTCACTATATGATATCTGCAGTTTAACATTATATATCCAAGTTAACGTCTAAGTAATTCAAATTGACATATTTATTATAGGAAAAATAAGTGCACTCATATGTAAATATATAACGCATGCATTCTATACTATATTAACTAAATATGAGTGTAAATCAAATATCACCATATACTTAAAAGTAAATATTCAATGGGAAAAAAAGTTTTTAAATTGTTAATTTACATACTGGATTCGTTAGCTTTTTTAGTTTAATTATTACTTCTTATGAAGTGCCAGCACAGAGCCCAATAATATAGACTTGCCTACTCAATGATTCCTGAATACCCATCATGTAGCATTAATAGCTAATAGCTTGTCATCTTCATATTAAAAAAATCCCCCACGTTACTTAATATACCTGTAATTATGCTGTGCCATACATGCTGTAAATTGAAGACAGTTTGACAGCAAATCAGAAAACGTATTTAAACGTAAGACACATTTTTATAAAAATATATACAAATTATGTTTCTTTCTTCTTTTTTAAGCATGTTATTATTGCATGTACATCATATGTTCCTTTATTTAGAGATTTTGAACACCTTCTACTTTTTATTCTATGTATACACTGCAATTTGATTGGCAAGGCATACTTGTCCTTGTTTTGTATATGCACAATTATTATACAATCATTTTAGGCAGACAATGCTGTATTTATAGGAAGTTATTTTAGAGTAAGCTAAATATTGGTCTTTTTAAATTTTTATGTATATGCTATTTTGTAGGTATACATAAGGTAGGCAAAAAGTTGGATTGTGGGATATACCCTTTTATAATGTACCATCACCATTGATACTCTTAGCACTCTTTAAATTTCCCAAAAAGTCTGTAAGAAATGACAACAAACACTTCTAACAGGACTCACTCAGCTTATGTGAGAATATCACATGTATTAGAATTTACCCCCTATCTCCCAGATAATGAATGATATTTCATAGCTATATATATATTCTAGAAGAAATCTCATGTATGTGGTCTGCATTGTGTTTTCTTTAATAAATCCAGAGCTGGTTGCCCCATTGACGAATTTAGGGCTAATAAAAAAAAGAGAAACCTTGTAATAAAATCACGTCCTTTTTGCACTTGAGCAAGTATAGTATCGCATGCGAATAATAATTATTGCAGTTCAAAGGATCTTCTCCAAATCTTGGCCTCCCAGGCTACAGTATAAATATTTTCTTAAAACCATAATTTCACACTTTTCTCTAATGTGTTGGGTAATAGTTGTTGTAGTGTAAACGTGTGACACCCAAAAAGGGCTTTATCAATCTGTTACTATGGCATGACTCATATATGGTTAAAAAAAAAAAAAGTGGCCGGTTTAGTTTCTTGTGACGGGCGACTGTTTGTCTTTCATCCTGCAAGAAACGTACCTAAAATAATTATAGATTTTTGCAGCTCATTTGAGCTTAGCTCGAAAAATTATCTTTACCGCAAGTATGCCACTTAACCACTTCACCACCAGAAGAAGATTCAGCTTAATCTGTGGTTTCCTTTGGTTAGAAAAGTAAGATGTATAGTGACTCTTATTTCAATTATAGTGAGACATTTAAAAAATAAGTATATATTGAGATGTATATATTATTGAAAAGGGTGACTTTGAGTGCTGTAAGCTATGCCGGCCATGTTACCCTACCCGGTTACATGGCTAGGTATGGTAATACCAAAATGTTTTAAATATGTAAATTAGACAAGCCCCCAAGGGATGAATATAATTGTAGATAATTTTCGATACGTTGCTGCCTATAAACTTTATATAGACTTAGTGGTTTAAATACTAGAAATGGAATTGCTCTAAGCCACTTTGTAGACTATGGTAGCAGATTTTTAAAAAATTCTCTAACTTGGCAATTTTACTAATGTTTTCTAATTCGTTTATTTTGGCCTACATTTTACTAGTCAGTTGTCAATGATTCTGTAATTAAGTATACGCTTTAATCAATTCACGAATAGTCAGTGTGAGTGTCTCTTGTGTGAAAGAGAAGAGTTCACTCTATGGTTCTAATATAGATTTAACATTTTATTATTTGAGAATTAATTTTAGTTGTCACGCAAAGACAAACCGGCAAATGGAAATGAAAAAATAAAATAAAAAACAGAACAAAAAACTTAAAGCCATCCATCTGCACCAAACGGTGTTGGATAATGTTATACATAATAATTCAAGTCTTTACAGGTGTTTGGCAAGCAGAGCATTGCAATGCTTTGGAGCTGAAGGGGTTAATCCTTGTGAACCTATTGTACAGTGTTGCCGAATTTGTTGGCGCTTTATAAATGCCGTAGCAATAAAGAATATTTTATTATAGAGGTATACCTATTGTTATAGTGAAACAAAAATGCAAATACAAAAGAAACCTGTCAGACTGCATTAGGAGACTATGCACTTTACAAGCAGTCCAAAAAACAAAGATGAACATATCTCATGGAGAAATGGTACGGAATAGCTGGTAATATATTCACCATTCAGGATTCAGAGATTTTATTTTGCCACTTTATCTATTTTGGCCTAAAAACTCAGTTTACTGAATAACTCACAGTCTTCTGACATTTGGACTAACAACATTTTTTAGTAGATAGGAAGTGAAGAAACCAAATTACAAAATAACCCAAAATTAAATTTATGCCTATAAATTTATACTTCTTTTTAGAAACTCAGATTTTTTGTAAATATCTTTTTATTAAACCTTTCGTTTTTGTTGGTTTTGCAACATGTGAAAGAGAAACGTGGACTCGCAGGTCCCTCTGGTCATTCACAGAAGCTTATACATCGGAAGGGAAACTCAGATTTTTAGGTCCTCTATGCTATATATCAATTGTGTCATTGAAGTACCTACATCTCTCTGCAAAAAAATCTGTTTTTAGGAAATTAATTCTAGGGCTTTATTAACCCACTAACCTACATTTAAAAGCTGCTGTTAAACCCTCTTTTCTAGAGGGCCAACACAGTACAGTGATCCAAGGGTTAATACAAATGCGGTAATATTCAAACGACATGTAATACCGGATTGAAAACAGTATCCTTCCCCCCTCAAATCAAATTAAAGAGCAATCGAATTAAGAACAATTTAAAATATACTTGTTTTACATCCTTAAGGTATATTATTGGCTTTAGATAAACTGTTTAGTTTTTATTAAATAAACCTCCCATGTTTAATATTTGTTGCTGGGTTTTATTTCGTGCAAGAAAATATGCTTTTTGTGAAAGTCTGAACAAATTAAAAAGTGAGTTTGCAAACATACTCGAAGGCAGAACATGTAGAGAGGACAAGAGAGACTCACATCCTGAATTAACTGGTGCGGGCTGTTCTTCACTATGGTATCAAAAGCTAATTCAGTAGATCAGTCACTGTATAATATGCTTTTTACTAAATGGAAAGAGCTTGAGTTCAGTAAAATGCAATTTGAATGATAATACGTTCTTTAGGAAAACAACAGTAAAAATAAATAAACAAACAAAAAACAAACAAACAGATTAAACAGACAAAAAAATATATTTTTTTGGGGGGGGCAATTGGCAGATGACTTTGGGCTATCATTGCTTGATCTAATTAGAAAGGAATTGCAGGTCTTCATAAAATTTGTCGTTTTACACCTATTTCTTCCATTTAATATTCCTCAGTAGATTGAAGTACAGTAATTACAGACAGCAAGCTTACTACTAATCCTGTAAGGCTGAACATATCAACAAAACACTGTCAGCCCACACAAGTCTCTGCTCGTCAGTTGGGTCTGTTTTCTTCGAGTTTGTGTACATTCAGCCTTTGCTAAAAAAAAAAAAAAAAAGAAAAACCCTCTAAAAAGCATTGGACCATTTTTTTTTTCCATCGCTTTTCATCTCTAATTTCTATTTTATGTCTGTGTCTTTTGAGAGACGAGGTATTTAGCTCAGTCTCTGAACTTCTAAAGTGTAGACTTTAAGGTTTTCATTGCCTTTTGTGAACCAGTTCCTGTTGGCGGCAATTCGTCCGTAAGAATTAAATACAAAACAGATCTTTACTGTGGCAGTACAGTTATGTTTGAGAGAGAACAGCTAATTTGAAATGAGCAGACAGTTTCTGAAAACATGGCCACATTATTAATACGCCCAGGGGTCTATCCACTAAGCAGTGACTTGGTATGAGCTGACGTTTGAGGACCAGGTGAACAGCAAACTCAAGGCCCGAATTGTAGTTGTAAAATCTTTTTTATACAGAATAAATCTTCATCTAGTTTTTTTTTAATTCAAATATTTGTCGTAAAATTTTTGATTTGCTTAATTGCTGTTCCTTGAGATACATAGCTGTGTGTGCATGTATGTGTGACTGTATGTATGTGTTTCTGTATGCACACATGCACATCTACAGACAGAATGTGTTTATAGCCACCTCTATCTCCCCATCCTTCTGTATTTCTCTCTGTATCCATAAATATGTCAACAATGCAAAAATGAATAATAATTATTTACTAAGACTGACCTGTTTTGGTTGAGCTTGGGAAATATTGTTTTCTCAAAGTTTGTGCTGTTTGGAAAATAATTGATAAAAAAAAATACAAAATTAGCACATGCTTCAATAAATGGGGGGAAGGGCTACAGGGCAATGATATATGTTTGAGCTAAATATATGAAATAATAACTTGACTGTGATTTAGGGGAATAATTATGAATGTGCGTATTTGTTTCTCTTTTTTACATTTTCCTGTAAGTTTTATATTTTTTATATATAATATATATTGGTAAAGATATTTAAAATTAAAAAAGGGGTGAAGTATAGCCTCAAAAAAAAAAAACCCTCTAGATTATTTACATTAGTTTGTTGCAGTAAAAATTTAAGACAGACTGCTCACTGTTTACGAGGTTATATTTTATTTACATCATGCCAACTGTATTTATACAGAAAGCCAGAAAATATACACGTTTTAAGGTAATGTTACTTTCAGAAATATTGCTTGGTAACACACATAGCTAAACAAACCAATACCCGTGTATTATTGTTCAATTATAGGCCGGGCCACATGCAACAGTTATAACATTTTATTTCAAGACACTAATAAATGAAATCTCGGAAAAAACTATTTACAGATCCAAGGGTCGATTTATAGGGCGTACCATAAAATAGAACTGTTTTGGGAAAATTTTATTGATGGGAAGCAATTGCATCCTTTGCCCCTCCGTATAAACACCCATGAAAATGGAAACGAGTGTAGATTTTTCACTGACTGCAAAATTGTTGATACACTTTGCATATTAACTACTTTTGACGTATTTGGATAGAAATGTATTAATCAGTCAATGTGTTGTTACCATCAGGACCAACTTTGCCACCATGCAAAATAACGTTATGGTTGTAGTGTAACTCATTAGAGTATGGAGGAGAACTTGTATTCCTGATGTCTAGACTAAAAATCTCTCCTCAACCAACACTCCACTTTCTACTAAATACATTGTCTTCTCTGACTAAACCAGCTTGTTTTGTCCCCAGGTTGTGGCATTAGGGGATATTCCAGATGGTACTTTGGTGACGGTGATGGCTGGGAATGACGAGAATTATTCAGCAGAACTTCGAAATGCAACAGCAGCTATGAAGAACCAAGTGGCTCGCTTTAATGATCTGAGATTCGTTGGGCGATCTGGAAGAGGTAATGGTATTATCAATGTAATATGAAGAATTATCACACGGTTAATAATGTCAAAATATGAACCGTTAGTGCTAGACTCATGCAGGCTACTGAAAAGGTTAAAGAAAACCGGCTGTGGGTTTTCAGTAAATATTTACATTGATATAATATTATATAAAGCTCAGTGCCGGTGTTAATGTGTATAACAGTGTAATGTTGTCTACAGACTACTTGTATTTAGAGCGGTTATCTATTCTACTATGCTTAAATGTCATAAGGAAGACTATAGTGTTAGTAATACATGTATTTCTTACGCTATAGAGCTCTGCTAACTACCTAGGCAACCCCCCACCCTCCCCATTGGCAACAAATAGTTTTTACTTAAAGGACCACTATAGGCACTCAGATCACTTCAGCTCAATGAAGTGATCTGTGGGCCAGGTCCCTCTAGTTTTAACCCTGCAGCTGAAAAGATAGCAGTTTCAGAGAAACTGCTATGTTTACACTGAGGGTTAATCCAGCATCTTGTGACTGTCTCACTGACAGCCGCTAGAGGCGCTTCCGTGATTCTCACTGTGAAAATCACAGTGAGAAGACGCTGGATGTCCATATTAAAGCATTGAGTAATGCTTTCCTATGGGCGGTTTGAATGCTCGCGCGGCTCTTGCCGCTCATGCGTATTCGGCGCTTACTCGGCAGGGGGAGGAGGAGAGTTCCCCAGCGCTGAGGGAGCCCAGTGCTGGAGAAAGGTAAGTGGCTGGAGGGGTTTTAAACCCTTCAGGCAAGTGGGAGGCGGGCCATGAGGGTGGGGGGGACCTAAGGACTACTATGTAAATATGTAAAATATGTAAATATGTAAAAAAAAAAAAAGTACAATACATAACAACTATGTTTTCTAAAGGTTTTAATATTCATTTTATAAAATCACCGCCCCTACAAACTGTCAAAAGAAATATTTAGATCGCCTCTTAAATATGTTTACTGAATGTATTGTTTTTGTGTTACTGTTGCTTTAAAAGGTTCTAAAAACAGAATCTTAAATCATCCTTTTCCAGTATCAGTCGCAGTGATGCACTGTGTAGTTTATGACCTTAATATACACAATGAGATCATCTGGTTGCCACTGAATTTGTTTGTTTTTATGTGCTTTGCAGACATTGCGAAACAGTTTATTGTGCTTACTAGTCGTCCAGTTAGCAAAATCTATCTATCAGGATTTTCCATTGAAGTCCTCAATTCCAGACAAAATACTTAAATTTAATCCTGCTTTTCATTAAGAGCTTGATATATTATAACATAAACATGGAAGGGACCCATTTACTAAACATTGTCCCATGTTTATTTACTGCTTCGTATACTGTAAATCAAAGGGGTTTATTGAATAGATAGTCACTGAAAATCCGACCTGCAAAGCTCTTGGCAAAAATCTGATGATTTGGTAACATTTCCCTCCTCATCTATAGTCAGAGTCTGTCTATTTAGCCAAACCAGGTTCTAAAGTGTGAATGTAAAGTGAATAAAAAGTGGATTTCCAATGTAAGGCCAGTGTAGCCAAGCTGAAAGGCACACTATAGTCACCTGAACGACTTTAGCTTAATGAAGCAGTTTTGGTGTATAGAGCATGCCCCTGCAGCCTCACTGCTCAATCCTTTGCCATTTAGGAGTTAAATCCCTTTGTTTATGAACCCTAGTCACACCTCCCTGCATGTGACTTGCACAGCCTTCCATAAACACTTCCTGTAAAGAGAGCCCTATTTAGGCTTTCTTTATTGCAAGTTCTGTTTAATTAAGATTTTCTTATCCCCTGCTATGTTAATAGCTTGCTAGACCCTGCAAGAGCCTCCTGTATGTGATTAAAGTTCAATTTAGAGATTGAGATACAATTATTTAAGGTAAATTACATATGTTTGAAACTGAAACCAGTTTTTTTTTCATGCAGGCTCTGTCAATCATAGCCAGGGGAGGTGTGGCTAGGGCTGCATAAACAGAAACAAAGTGATTTGACCCCTAAATGACAGTGAATTAAGCAGTGAAATTGCAGGGGAATGATCTATACACTAAAACTGCTTTATTTAGCTAAAGTAATTTAGGCGACTATAGTGTTCCTTGAAAGTATACCGAAAATCACCTTGAATTCCCATTTAATCGAATAAACCTGCGTGTTTTAACAGCACATTTCAGATCTCTACACTTTATTGATTAGTAAATAATCTCTCAAACATATGGAACGGGCCTATTCATTAACCCCTTAAGGACACATGACGTGTGACATGTCATGATTCCCTTTTATTCCAGAAGTTTGGTCCTTAAGGGATTAAACAGTGCACTAAGGGCTTTATATCGTATAATGCAGATTATAAGGTAGCATATTCACTAAACAATGTCGCCTATTCATCAAATTCACCATCTCAAGTCTGACTTTATTCTCACAGGGAAGCCCCTGTAGCGGTTGTCAGTTTGACAGATATTAGAGGTGTGTTTAACTCTGCAGTGTAAGCATTGTAGCTTCTAAACAAAACTGCACCATTTTATATTATAGGATTAAAACTACAGGCCACTGCATTCAGACCACTTCAGTGTGATGAAGTGGTCTGGGTGCTCTTAGTGGCTCTTTAAATAGATATTTTGTTTATTTTTAAGAAGAATACAGGCAGCTCAAGCTGCAGAGATCTAAGCGAGTGATTTTTATATAGAATGGTCAGGGTTATATTCTCACTATAGTAGAAACATACTTCCCAACTGTCCTGAATTTTGTAGAATATTCACAGTTTTGGGACTCCCTCCATCATGTGGGCCCCAGAGAAATAACAGTATACGTGCATGTTTTTACTACTGGATGTGGTCAGATTAACTCACTTTGTACAGGTAATAGGATTACCACATCTTGCATTATTTCATGGACACAGTATCGCTTCATTGTGCTAATGGAGAGCACATGAAAAGGGCTGCCCTGCAGTACGTGTTATTCAGCAGCGAATAAAATTAACTAATCGTGCCAGTTCTTTCCAGATTCCTCCTTGAGTAAACAACCAGTTTCCCTCCTGTAGCTTATTAATGCTATATTCTGAAGGGCAGAACGTTTCATTTGCAGTCCATCAGAATGTTGAAAAGACGTGGGTCCTGGAAAACAAGGTGGATCTATTAACCAAAGTTTGCTAAAGTACTTGGCAATTATAGTCTGCAAAATGAACTGACAATTTGCAATAAGAAAGCATTGAAGTGTAGATTGCGTGATTTAGCCCACATGCTAGAACCATTTAGTCATATTGCAGAGACGTCAAGGTGACTTCACAAATATCTTGAGGACACAGATTCAAGTGATTGGCATTTGCACAGAAGCCCATGTTGTATTTTATTGATTTATTATAAAATATTTTACCAGGATGGATACATTGAGATTTCTTTCGTTTTCAAGTATGTCCCGGGTCCACAAAACATTGCATTGTTACAAAAGGATACACTATTACAAAAAATACAACATACAAACAATATATATATACATACACACACATATATAAATTTAACATACAACAGGTGATAAATATATTCAACAATGACACCTTCGCACTACATTCATGGTGACAGCTTTTGTGGTTAAATCATTTTACAAATTGAATACGCTTACTACACAGCTCTTGCAACCCAAGCTGTAGAATGGCTTCTGCTTGTGAAAGAATGTAGTACGTGTTGTGAAAACGCAACCCTGTGTGATACAAAGTGCTAGTTCCTGCATTGTAGACATGCTGCATTGTGTAAGTCAGAATCCTCAGTACAGTGTGTTACAATGTCTATACAATGTGATCAAGTCATTTTTAAATTCTACCTGCACATTTACTGATTGAGTGATAATGGTACCACATCAGAGGTAGGTTGTGTATAGACAATGGGAGTTCCTTGCTCTAATAAGAGTTTGTTTGATCAGACAACAGCTTGCGAATATGCTGTTAATATTACCACAAAATTCAATATTATAATTATTGCAAATGCAAACCTGCAAATACCTAAAATAAACACCTTCAAATCCTTATATGATTTGGCTTGCTTTTTGTTCCCAAGACTACAGGGGAAAAAAAACATTGCCTAAATATAATTAAATAAATATAGGGGTATATTTACCAAAGGTTTGAAATGCTAATTAGAGATTTCCAGCTTCCAATTCAGCTGAAATTTCCCAACCAGTTTAATATACCTTTAAAGGAACACTATGGCTTTAGGAATATAACTCTGCATTGGGAATCTGATGTGCATGCGGGGTGAGCGTCGTGTACATCAAAAGCTTCCTGTATCCTATAGGAGTTAATTCCAAGTGCTAACCCATACCTATAAAGCATTGAACAATTCTAGCCCCTCTTATATGTCATCACAGATCCATAGGTATGCCCCTTCTCGGTCTCTCCGCTCTGCCCGTGACCTTCTCCTGTCCGCTGCTCGCACCCGTACGGCCAACTCGTGCTTGCACGACTTCTCGTGGGCGGCTCCCTTCCTATGGAATAGCCTGCCTACCGCCATCAGAGTCTCCCCTAGTCTTCAATCGTTTAAGAAGTGCCTTAAAACCCATTTCTTTAGGAAAGCTTATGGCCTCCCAGAGTAACCTCTACCTTACATACCTGTCTCTTGCTCTCTCTCCTAAAGGGCAGCACTCTACTCTCTCCTCCAGCTCTGCTTCACTCCCACCTTATTTGATTGCTATTTCCTGTCCTAATGTGTTTCATACCCCACCTCCTATAGACTGTAAGCTTGTTTGAGCAGGGTCCTCTTCAACTTATCGTTTCTATAAGTTTTATTGTAATTGTCCTATTTATAGTTAAATCCCCCCTCATATAATATTGTAAAGAGCAACGGAATCTGTTGGCGCTATATAAATGGCAATAATAATAATAATAATAGCTGCTGCATCATGTGACCATGTTTTATTCGGTCAGTGCAGTGGAAGCACCTCTATTGGCTGTCTGGAAGAATATTACAGTTTCTAAGAAAACTGCAGTGTTTTACAGTGACAAGACCACTGCACTCAGACCACTTCATTGAGATGAAGTGGTCTGGGGGTCTTCACTATTGCTTTAAGTGGCACATCACATGCTGCTCTGATGTTTTCCACTGAACATGTGTTTTTTTTTGTTGTTGTTTTTTTTTAAACCATCATTACATTTGAGGACTGTCCTATTGTCCACAGTGACCTATTAGCAGTAAGTAGGTATTGCCTGCTGTGCAGTGAAATTTAAATGATCACTCCTAAAGTAAACAAGGGTTGTTCTGGCTAAATCATGTCGTCGCACAGATGGCTGTTTTAGAGGCATAGTGGAAGCTTTGCCAGGCCCGGTCAGATTGTGAGTGTCACCACGAAAATGGCCACAATGTTAACAAATATATATATATATAATAACACATCTTCATATAGCTAGTCACTTAAAAAATATTTTTTAAAAGAAAAAAGAGGCCAGTGAATTAGCGGTGAATTAAGTAGTCATAAAAAGGGCAGGGGAGTATTGTGCACATATTGTATTGAATGGGTTAAAAGAGGGTTAACGTGTCCCCCCACCGAATTGTCAGAATGTTCTTAAACACAGCCGTTGGAATAAGCCCCTCCTCTTTTTGCATGTTCTTGCAACTTCCTGTTTTGTAAACCGCAACAGGTTTGCAACCACAAACACTTGTATAACGAAAGAGGAATAACTGTATAGCAAAAACAGAAAAACATGATGTAAAATAACTAAAGTTATAACTGTTGCTTGTCAACAAGACTGGACTAAACTGCTGCTATATTCCTAAGTGTCTTGGTAACCAAGTGAGAACAGCTAGCCACAATCCAACAAATGAAATCGATACTTCACTGACTTTACCAGCCAGCCACACATTTCTGATGCATTAGGGCAATAAAGCCCCAATTATTGTCCACGTTTTGCAGGAAATCTATACATTCTGTTTCTTCTGCAGTTATCTCTTCTTCTTTCGTGAATTGGTCTCAGCCAATCCTCGTTTCCCATAAACTTCATTCCATGATAGTTTACTTGACAGGTGGATATAGAATTCAGTAAGTGGTCACACAGATATAACATGTTATGTGCAGGGCGAGGTACATCTCCCCCTTGTAAACATTATTTTATCCGTCTGTATTGTGATAGCATAGCAGCAGAGGTGGTGGAGAGTCTTCCCCCCTTCATCCCCTCCCCCAGTTTGACAATAAACTGCAAGATGATACTCACAGAATCCTTCCACCAGAAAGGCTACAATAAGCGATAGTGGTTATAGTGTGTAAAATGACTCTTTAAGCGGACCTGTCCACTTTATGATATTCTTTAAAGTTATTTGGGTGCCCACAGACTGCCTTTAAACTGCCTTTAAATACTTAGAAAAAGAAAAACAGAGCATAGAAACATTACAAATTTAAATATTATTTTTAGTAATGGGTGCTTACATGTACCCCAATTAACACTCTTTACCAAATATGGGTAATAAAGGAGGACATTTTCCTCTTACAGCTTGGTGGCATGACTTTATGGGACACATTTATCTCAAACCCTGTCTGTAAGGGTTAATAAAATTCACAAGGGCGTTAAATACGAAGTAGATGTGATGATTCCCATATCTAAAGCGGAAACATCTGAAGATGTTAGATAAATAAGCCTGCTTCCTCTTCTAGAAAACAAATCTTCTTGTTTATTAAGATCCAGTAAAATAACTTTTGTTTGTAAGGCTAAAGAAGTAATGTTGACAAATACACGTTAATTTCCGTAGAACTGCTAAGTCTCACCTTTTTAACGTGATGTTTAACAGATAAGAGACAACACAAAAAGTCTGCAGAATATTACATTAGGCCATGACCCTAAACTGTAGTTTGGAGTCAGGTTGGTTGATAGTAGCTAACACACTAATCCTCTCCAATGTCCCTGCTTTCTGACAATACTGCACAGTCTGTTTAATTTAGAATTTCTTATCTCTTTTAATAGGCTTCTAGAGCCGGCATAAGTCTCCTGTGTGTGTGATTGAAAAAGGAAAAAATGTCTAAAGCAAGTTAACATCTGATTGAAAATGAAACAATTTTTTTCATGCAGGCTGTGTGAGTCACAGCCAGGGGAGGTGTGGCTAAGGCTACGTAGACAGACACAAATGTGATTTAACTCTTAAATGGCAGTGAATTGAGCAGTGAGACTGCAGGGACGTTATCTATACACCAAAACCGCTTCATTAAACTAAAGTTGTTTTGATGCCTATAGTGTCCCTTTAATAATTCAATAATTAATTACATCTTTACAGCTCCTTCTAAACTAGCCTACCCTTGAAAATCATCCTGGTCAGGTGTGCCCAAATATCACAACTTAATTCAGAGTAAATACTTTTCTGGCCCGATGGTGGCATGAGACATTATTGAGGTCCTGTACAATGCTTTATCAATAAGACAGGTTTTCAAAGGGGCAGATTTGGAAGCAACATATGAAAGATCATTTTCCTGTTTCCGGAGTATTCTGTGCTTTGGCCAGAGTTTGTACTAGTGTTTTTGCATACAACTACATCATTTTCAAGATGACATATTGCAATATATTACGTATACAGGGACATTTATTAAAGGGAGAAGTTAAAGTTCAAATTCAAGGTAAATATAACCGTACAAGACACATTCTCTAAGTCAGCTGTGTTTCCAGGGCAGCTTCTTTAGCCTTACATCTGAAATCCACTTGGAATTCTTATATTAGTGAATTGCCCTAATCATTTAAAAAAAAGCAAGTTTCACTTTGTTAAAATATTGTTGAACCTCCCCTTTAAATGTGCATTCGCTTTACAGGGGATGATAGGCAAAGAGCCTGCAGTATTTGGGTGGCTGTTCACAAAACAAGTTTCAAGTAGGGAATTCAAAGAATTTCAAATTTTAAACTAAAAATGCTGTATTGAAATCATAGCTGACTTGAAGAATTTTTACAGGTTTTCTAATTTGTCCTAAAATTTTAAATTTATACTGAGCATCTGAATATTCACACTTTAGTGTAAACTCTGAGAATATTTAAATAATTTATCGATGTTGAGCCGGTGAGGGTGAAAGAAAGAAAGAAAGAAAGGAGGGTGAGAAAGAAATGTAATATTAATAATTATAAAATAGAAAAAGGAACACAATTAGCGGAGAGAGGCGGGAGAGAGCATTCTGCCTGCAAGGGGGAAGACTAGCACGTCTGACGCTAGCACGCTGTGCACGCTAACAACCGACGCAAAATATGCACAGAATTGACATTAGGCAGTTTGGAACAGAGTTCTGGACTGCCAATGTCTGGTGTGCTTGGGGTGCAACTAGCCCTCAACACATACAGACTCCTACAACCATGACCACTTCAATTCACCAAAGTGGTTGGAGTAACCCTTGGAGTATACCTTTAAGTAATTGTAAAAGAGCAACAACGAAAAACAAATTAAGTTGGATCTCTGTTGCCCCCTATCTTTGCTAAAACAGACAGGAGCTCTGAAATTAAACTTTATAGTTCAGTAAAGCATCAGCTAGCACAGGTAAAAATATCCACTACATCTGACTGACAGTTTGGAACATTCAGGGTTAATTTAGTTAATGTCGCCTTTGCTCTGCCTTATACTGAGTTAGTGACTAAATTATTCTCACAATGCTATGCTGTTGTCCTAAGGTGTTAGCTGTTTGCCTTTCAATGCATGAATTACAATGTTCTGTTACTGTGTTTGCATAAACACTGGATTAAGTCTAATGTGTCTGGTTTCTTAAGAAATTCAATGTTACACACATTTTTTTCTTTCAAACGTAGAACCGAATACAATAGCTTTCTATATTTTATTTAACCACTTCTGGAATTCTAGAAATAAGTAACCCCATGAATTAGTTTTAATCTCTGCAAACGTGAAACCATATTTTATTTATAACATGCCCTTAAACTGAAAAAGTCAATTTATTTCCATCAGATATTGATATAGGCCGCAAATACACTAATTGCAAAATTATAAAAATATAATAATATAAAAACCTCATTTATCCTGAGACGAGTTAGTGTTTTTCCCACTTATTTTTCCCTGAATGGTTTAATGGTGGGGACTAGTGGTATTTACTATGAAAAATAATTCACATTCAGCTGAGAGCCTCATTATTGTTTCCTGAAATGTAACATAACTGTACCTGAATACAATAAAAAAAATAATATAAAAAAAAAACATATATATATATAATATATTATATTATTAGGGTCGATAATTACGTTATAGAACAAAACCGTAGAACAGAAAACATGACTTGGAGGAATTTATCAGTTAGGCTATTAATCTTTTTGCCTCAAATCTGAAATCCCAGACAAATCACAATTTAGTGACTAACTCTCTAAATGTCAAGTTAGAACCTTTTTAGATACTGCACGATAAGACATTCTTTACGCACTTCTTTGCCAAACAGAGAAAATGATTAACCGGAATAATATTGTAACGCGTGCTGAGTGCTTTTACAAAGAAAATGACAGCTGTGTCACGGTATTCTTTTCAGAAATTGACATCTGACAGGTTTTATGAAAAGCATATGTGAAGCATTTTTAACAGGTGCATTCTGTGCTCCTTTTAAATAGTCGTTTCCCATTAAATAATAATATACATTATGGTACCATATTGATGGCATTTATACAGGCATCTGTGCATTAAACTGTGAAGACAATAAAGGGACACTATAGGCACCCAGACCATTTAATCTCATCGTCCCTGTCCCCTTTACCCTGCAGCTGAAAATATTGCAGTTTTAGGGACACTGCCATGTTTATATTGCAGAGTTAAGACTGCCACTACCAGACAGCCACTAGAGGCGCTTCCTGCTTTATCACATAGTTTAAGTCCATGAAATGACGCTGGACGTCCTCACGCTTTGTATGAGGACGTCCAGCATCTTGCAAAATCTCATATGAAAGCATTGATTGAATGCTTTCCTATGGGGAAGGCATACTGCACGCGCAGCTCTCACCGTGCATGCGTATTAATTTTCCTCTTGTGACGATGTTAGATGGGGAAGAGATGGAGCCAGTGCCTTGGGACCTCAGGACATTTGTGTTCCTAACACTATAGTGTTCCTTTAAACTGACAAAAAGAAAAGAACATATTCAGAATTATAAAATAGTTCGAAAAAACTGTGGTAATCCGGCTGTCAATATACCACAATTTGGTGTTTAGTCAATAGTCTTTGCTTTATTTTATATGCATTACTAAGCACAATAGAGATATAAACCTCATTTATCTATTTAAAGGAACACAGTAGGCACCATAACCACTTCAATATATTGCCTAAGGCCTGTAGGTGCCAGGTCCCACATCAATGCTAAACAGTTTACTCACCATTTAGCGTTTACAGACTGCAGGCACCATCATCACTGCAATTACTTGAGACATCATTTAGTGAATAAGGACCACTTTCTTTTTTTACAGTTTTTGATTATCTCTACTTCAGTTGTTTACAATAAGCACTGACAGTTCTGAACATGGAGTTTTCAAAGTGAAAAGCGTCATTTATGAGTTTTCCTTATAAATGGTTGTGGATGCTTAGATTTCATTTTATTTGAAATAATGATTTTAGTAGCTTATTTCCGTAACTTTTTGCGGAAAAGTTACTTTTTGCCTTAGTATGTGAATGCACATTTAATTGGCCAAAATTGAAGAATTATTACAAAATCTAATTTTCTATGTTTTGGTCACCACTGAAATTTCGTGCCATGTGCTACATTGTAATTGTGAAATGATTCAGTTCCCATCATGCTTTGCTGTCTGTTTGCAGCTCCCTTTTCATTAGGTATTGGTTAGAGGCGCTGAGGCTTGCAAGCTCTGTGTGATGTAATGATCAAGTCTGAGGATAGATGTTGGGTTTACCGCAGATTAATACAATAGACTGAAACTGTGTGTTTGTTCTGTGTGTAATATTTGTCTTAGAATAATGCTGGCTCACTGCATTTCAGACACGAGTGCCAGTATAATATAACCACTAATTTGAATATGGAAGATTTTTCTTCTTCTCCTTTGTCTGTGAGCCACGTCTGTGGTCTCTGAAACCACCATTTCTTCTTCCAGTGTGTACGACACGGTTCATCCTCTTTAAAGACAGATAATTACACTGCGGGGCACTATATTTCAGTCAACAATGTTACTTCATTTTTATGTAGAATGTTAATTAACCACACCAATCTTTATCAACAGTTCTCTCAGTATATGTAGATATCTATATTAAACTGCCTGCTATTATATAGCTATTATATAGCTTCTTAGAAATTTTCAGTAATCGCATATGTTATTTAAAATAAATTCCATGAGCTTGCCACTGCTCCTACGGTACATATATATTCCTATAGAATATATTTTAAATAAAACACACGGCTGGTAATAGCCTAAAGATTGTTCTACTTATGTTAATCCGTTCTATGCGTACCTCTCTACTTGGTTTTTGTCAATCCGAGTTAGGGTCCTGTGATGGGGAGAGCTGCTTTAGACAGACATTGGTCAGACTTCCAAAATACAGAACGAGAACATTCGAAGGGGTACAGCACAAGGACACTACTGTGACCAATTGATACAGTGTACTGTACACTTCATTCTAAACCGGTTTCATGGTTTATAAAATCGCTTATCGTAAAATAATGAGATACAAAATGTCCAATATAGTCATATGTTGGATAGCCTGATAAATATAGAGAGATTTATAATAGTGAAGTATGAATTATACTCTTCAGCTGGCTCACTCTCTCCAGCAGCCCCAGCAAAGCCCTACTTATCTCTGAAATTATGGCGGCAGCCGCAATTGGCAGGACCAGCTGAAGGTCTGGAGCAGTGGCTCCAGGCCAGGATCCCAGCAGGGTTTTTAACAGGAGTTTCACTCCCATTACCGACATTGAAAAGTTAAGCCTTCGGTTTGGTGGTCTCAGAGCAAGATGTGTTGCGTTCATCCAATGGAGGATGTGGGTACGTCAAGGACAGCTAGTTTTGGTCAAACCTAAAAAAAAACACAAAAAACTGTTTGACCAAGAACCTAGGACAGTCCGTGCAGCCTAATAGAAGCATAACCACGACATTATGATGCAAACTCTGTTAAATCTTTTAACTGACTCTTTCACTGTTTCTAAATCTGAATGATTTTAGTTGAAATTCTTGCTGTGTTTTCCTCTGCTGACTCTCATTGACTGAACGTGGGCCCTATTTGCTCCGTATGTTTCTCAGTTATTTTAACAGATAACATAAGCTACACACTCTGTTCCTATAAGGATGAAGTGGGAAGCACTGATTGTATTGGCATGTTCCTGTTGAATCTTGGCTTTGAAGTAAACTTCTAAAAAAAGCCATCTCCCTGCTGTTTTATGAATAACCCGATGGTTGCAGACAGTGTAGCCCTGTGCAGACCTAGGGAGACGGAGACCTGTGTTTTTCTCTACCAGACAGCTCGGAAAGAGAGCAGCAGACTGTTACTGGCTTGTTGCCAAAACTACAACCATTCATGTCAAGTTCAACAAGCTACTGGCAAAACCGGCTTGTCTTCCTTCCAGACCACCCAATTTAGGCTTAACCTCTTCATTGTCAGCCAAACCTCCAAAACAATGCTAGTCTATGGAGGATTATTGACTTAAAATGTAAAACAATAAAAGAGATAAAACTCTTAAAAAAAAACCATTGCAGTCTATTGTGAAAAACAGTGGTTCTTGCCTCTATTGACAGGAATCCGTATCATGTACCTGACATCAGCTTGGCTACCCATTCTTTAACTGTAATGTATATCAAAATCAAAACTAATTCAGCAAAACATGTGCACCAATAAGCAGGCTATGATGCTGCAGTATACAGTAAGCAGTTTAACGTGGGCACTTGCATGTGGTTGAAATCAGATGTTGTGTCCGTTGCAGTGGATGAGGACCAACAGCAAAGGTTTCGCTACCCAATCTTTACTCCTTCTTTCTGATCAAAGGATTGACGATTACTACTTGGGCAACTGTCTATAGTCTGGTTTCGTTGTTGATTGATAACCTGAGTTGTCGATTTGGCCACTTTAATGACTGAAACAAAGTATAAAGATTGTTCGGAGATTGTTGTGAGATTGTTCGGAGTTCCATGGATAATGCTATCGAGAGTGAGTCTGAGTTTGTATGTTTTTTTTATGTGTAAGCAGATCAGTTTTGCCTTTGGTATTAATAAGGCCCTATTAACTTTGTCATAACATTGAAAATTTATTCTGGTCATTATTTGTGAATGAATGTTACTGGCAAATTGTACACTGTATGCATTTAAAAAATCTTTTTGTTTAAGTTTAGTGTTGGGTTTTTTGTTTAATTTTTATATTTTTTTCTCATGTTTGTATTAGAAGATGAAGATTTAAAGATTATCTTTTGTTGTGAAATTTTGTGTCCGTCCGCCAGCTGGTTGTGAGTGGTGGGGGTTGTAGATAACCACATACATACTGCGCATATTACGTGATCAATCTTTTAACTGAACAGTTTATGTAGCTTCAAAGGACCCACGTTTCCTTTTCTAATTCACCTCCTATACAGAAACGCTTTCTTCTTTCATAGCTTAAGGGCCTGTAATTTATTGCTTGGGGATAAAATGTGAATGAGACATTCTTTCGGCAATTACAAAATGCTGTGTTACATTCAGTTGTCAAGGTCAGGGAGGGATGGGTGGATGGATGGATGGATATCCATCCATCGCTGACCTTGGCTACTGAATGTAATATAGATAGATATTGTGGTATGTAGATAACTATATAGGTAGGTAGGTAGATTAGTAGGTACATAAATACAGATGGGTAGTTATATAAATGATTGATAAGACATAATTTGTTAATAGTGCTGGTAATTCTGGCATACTATAAATTTTTATCATTTTATAAATAAATTGTTATAATTCATGAGCAATCATTGAAAGACCATTTTTTGTCCTTTTTAAAATCTAGATTTTTTTTTTGGCCATAATTTGCAGCTGAAATTATTTAGCTGACGATCCTTAACCATTGCTGTGAATTTTAACAGAGAACTTTATATTTAATCTCTTTTTTCCTTTGAAAATTGAATGGGATGTACGCAGGAAACGCAATGCACAGTCAGTAATATGGAAGATTATTTTAAGTGGCTACTTTTGTAAAACAAGCATATAGTTTGTACAACATGTTAGTGGCAAGGACTCCTTATTCATGTACAAGTCATGACACAACCTGGACTAATTTCTAAGTATCTCTTCCCCTTTTAAGAATTTTCCCTTTAAGTTTAAGCACGGTGGGGTGATGTCTCCCTACGGGTTGCAAATCTTCCATTGATGGAAATAAAATGGAAAACTACAATCGGTTCACATTGATATATCTCATCGTAATGTAACATGGGATTTCTTCTGTATCTTCAGCCATAGAAATCAATGCACTTTCACGCTTTAAAACAAACGCGGCTTTCGATGGAAAGTATAGTCAGAGAGCTTTATTGATTCAAAGTAAAAATTAAAAAAAGACTGACGATATCAAGGACACAAAAATATTGCATAGAGTAAAGCAGCTTCATGACTTTTACGTGTATAGGCATTGTAGGAAACAAAATAATAGCTTCACAATAATACTGGTGATTTTGTTTTTAATTAGATTTTACCTTTTCATTTCTTACCCTATAGGGTTTATTTACTAATCTGGGAATTATTTGGAATTGGAATCTAAAACTGCACTTCCAGCGTGTAGGAGCTCACAGCCAGGGTCAGATTAATATAGGGGCTATTGAAGCTGAAGCTCCAGGCCAATGTATTACAAAAGCCTAAATGTTGCTGGACTTGTTTTTTTTTGTGATCTGCTGCTGTACAAAATGCTGGGTGCCATATTCCTAGCATGTGGCCAGGGAGGAACAAATGGAACCTAAAGTGTTCAAAATATCTTTCTATCAACTTTCTATTTTAATCTCTATTTGGTCTGTGTCCTGATTAGCAACTGGGATGACGGAAATGGGTCCTAGATCTACACATAGGGGTGGACTATCTCTTCTCCTAGCTCATTACATACAGACCTTCTGTGCCCTTCTGTGCCCATTTACCCATAGAATGAATTCCATTGAATTCCCTGTGTCACCGTGCCATTTACCCATATGATGAATTCCCTGTGCCCCGTTACCCATAGGGTGAATTCCCTGTGCCCCATGACCCATAGAATGAATTTCATTGAATTCCCTGTGTCACTGTGCCATTTACCCATAAGATGAATTCCCTGTGCCCCGTTACCCATAAGATTATTTCCCTGTGCCCCATGACCCATATGCTGTGACCCCTTCAGTCCTTTGTTTTTGTAGCAAATGTATCTTTCTCAGTCTGTTTGAAGACTTTATATGCTTACAAAATGTCCAGTTTATAAATGCACACATGCCTGCAAAGTTTAATTGTAGATTGAGGTCAGGCATATGACGTCAGGCGTATTGGAGCTCAGAGAAATATACAGCTGAGGTCTCTGGAGCCTCTACTCTCGCTCTGCACTTGCTGTCTGCATGCAATGGGAGTAAAAGTCCACACAGCGCCATTGAGATGACATGGGGGTTATTTATAAATATTTGTGAATTGCAAAAGTGGAGCAATAACAGAAAACGTGTAATTGGTTTCCATGGAGACTGCTCTATATTAAGTATATTAAGGTAATTGAGCAGGGCCCTCAATACCTCTGTTCCTGTGTTAGTCCACCCATTGTACAGCACTACGGAACTTGTTGGCGCTTTATAGATAATAATAATTATCCCAGAAATACTCTTTGTAAATAATGCCCATTGTGTCTTTAGAAGGGTTACCCTTCTACCTCTACTTCATGAAAAAACTCACGCGTACACATTGTCTGAAATAAACCATATTATGTGTCATATTCTGAGTAGTAAAAATGTAACAAAAATAACTGTAAATAAATACATCATTGTGTTAACGCATTTATGTAACTTATTTCGTAATTGAAAAATATAATGAAAAGTATATATAATATACTGGAGAACTATAAACAAAAGGATTATTTTATTGCACAAATGAGAATCCTCTCATTTTTCAAAACTTGCTCAGATCTGAGAGTGCAGACACATCCGATTAACATTTATCATATCAGAGCTCCATTTGGACTATGTCCAACATCTCCTCTATAGTGCTCCATAGATAAAAACAGGTAGCAGCATGTTATTTAATACCAATTAGCATCTGCGAGAATACAGAAAGTGATCAGGTTTTACATTTTCATGCTAAAACTTTGTTTTCCCTTTCTTGAATGTAAACATTAGCATAAAATGAAAACATCGTTGGACGTGTATTTGGCTGCACTACTGAGAAATCTATCTACCTTTCAGGCAGGGCAGACTGACAGCTCATATATATATATTCCCAGATATTGTGTATGGGGTCGTCAAAGGATGCTACACTCTGGAAAATTGATCAGCTGCCTCCCTAGTAAAGCCTCTGATTTGTATTTTACCCTGAGATGTTGTTGAGAGTGTGCCTGCTGCAGATATGTGATCGAAGTTTGAAGCGGGGAGAGATCCTAGTTGAATGATCTGAAAACACTTTTTTACATTCCACAGCTGTCTGTTCAGAGGGAAGCGCCACAGTAAAAATATCTTGTTGTTTTCAGTGTCAGTGTCTCGCATGGAGCCTGAGGACACGGACGAAGACGCCTGCTGTTACATGTGTCTTTTGCCCTAAATACATCAGTTTTTGTCACCTGTTTAGGACACTTTCCTAAACCAGCAACCTAAATTGACTTTTTTAGTCTCATCACAACCCACTGTGGTACCTTCAATCCACTAATAAGTCTTACCTTACCCCAATGACAAGAGCTTTATTATTAATATACGTATTCGTTGTCCTAACCAGTTTCTTCACATTTTGATGAAAATGGACAAAAACGACCTTTTCTTCTCATCACGACAACAACCCATTTCAGTCCTTACATTATCAAAGCAGTCTACAGCTCTCACATGCAGCACTTCCCCTAGATTACCCAATGCTGTGTAAGGCCTACTCTGCCCTATTTTTATTATTATTATTTATATAGTGCCAACAAATTCCGCAGGGATGTACAAACTATACAAACATAAAATAAACGCCATAACAATAAGTGTCATCCAATATATATTTTGCTGAAGCGCGTAATCATCTTAGAAACATCATAGACCCCCTATATTTAGACCCTGACCCTTAATTATTACTAATGGCATCTGCTTCATTTAAAAGGGCATGTAGCTGTGTTTACAAATACCTAAGACAGTTATTGGCTCTTGCTGGATCACCACTCTCATGATTCTGAACCTACCAATATGCTGCATTGGATGTTGGCTAGGACAGAAAAATATGAGGGATGTAGTTTAGCAACAACCAGAAAGTAAATGTTAGATATCCTTCTTGATTTACACTATAAAATTAGTTTTCTTACACCTTCATGGAGAATTGGGAAAATTAAGTACTTTTCAGAGTCAGTTATTTTGGTGTAATGTGTGATTCCCTGATAAATGTTTTTTACTGTCCCTGATTTATTGAATAGCCCTACTTATTAAAGGCCTTATTAAGCTCCTACGACTGCAATTCCCACTATTCTCAGCAAGTTTACTCCACTGCCATCTCCATGATGAATCATGCCAACTTTTAATGACCAGCTTCAGAGTGCCAGATTTGCTTTGAAAGAAATGTCTTGTGAATTCTTATCTGATCCTCGTAAATTTTTTGTAATCCTACCCACTTAACAGCAGATTTTCAAATATGCAGTCATAGCACATCCTGGTATTAACGTTTCAGACTAAATTATTTAAAAAAAACAAAAACCACATTGATCCGAGCGCTTCATGGGAAAGAAATATACAGCGTTTGTGTCCAACCCCTTTATACAAACATTTATGAACAGCAAATATTTATGATTCACACAGATATCTAGCATTTTCTAAATAAGTATTACCTAATCATGCATTTGTATTGGCTAATTGCCACAAAGGAGGGGCACCAAGCATTTATCCATTCTTCATCACCATTTCTGTCACCTCCACCCTGTATGCCGTGTAGAAGATAGTGTTACCCCACAGGGCATCTGAGGCCTCAATTTTATACACTTGGGACCGTCGTCAACTTACCAGTGCACTGAGAGGACAACTATTTTCTTAAGAAATCAAATAAAAATTTTACACAATGTTATCACATTTTAATAGAATCTTGTTATATTTATCGATTTCAAATGCAGTTCTAATTATTTTAGTTTAGGGGTCTGTTAACTAAACAGTGTGGAAGGCGGGTGGGATAACAACTAACTTGGATTTAATATGCAATTCTCCTATTACAGTTTACATTTTAAAGGTTGATTTTAAAGTCATCTAAGCTCGCTGTTTAGTAAATAAATCCTTTAAGGTTGACACTTAGATATTGCAGTCCGCTACAGCTGGAGTGCTGAGAATTGCTGACTCCTGCAGTAGTTATTTGATGTATGTGCACCAGAATTAGTTCTGTTCACGAAGGGCTGTGCCCTTATACTGTCACGATTACAATGCTCGGTATTTTTAATTTCTGTTTTAATGGCCATTTTTTGAAAGTGAATCAGCTGTTTCGGTCTAAATTTTGCACTTTGAAAAATTCGGATTAACTCATCATAACTCACAGTTTAGATAATAAAGCCCCATTTCGTAAAGAGGGTGCTGTTATTAAGTCATGTTACTTTATGTCATTTAGGTGGTGTAAGGCTAGATTTTGTTCTACGTTAAATGTTTCCAGCCTTGTTGGTAAAAACTAAAAATTTAAAAAGTAAAAATGTCTATTGCTTAGATTACTGGGCCCTTCTTCCAATGCTGGGACAGTCTCCTTGTAGCAGACGATCCTCCTCTGATTACATCATCAATCCTGATGATTTCTATTCAATCAGATACTTTTCATAGAGAAGCAGCGAAGACACACCGCGCATGCACAGCCTTTGAACGCGGTGCTTGTCTATGACAGCATGAGCCGATTAAGTGTTTTGAAAAAGTATCCAAAAGGAGGAAGTGGTTCTAGTGGCTGCCTGACATCCACTAAAGACATGTTTTCAGCAAAATGTAACGGTTTAAATTGTCTGCGGAACTGATTGTGTCTGTTCATTAAAGCCACCACATTAAGAAGTAGTGGTTTTGGTGCTTAGATTGTACAATTTGAATACCATATCCAGTCATCCACCCACTAGGAAATGGATCGGCACGCTGATGTTAGATTCTGTATTGCTAAGTGGTACCAAGTCCCTATTTGTGCACAAAAAGACAAACAGCAGGGCTAAAATATCCACTCACCACTTTATGAACAGCAAATATTTATTATGATTCACACAGATATCTAGCATTTTCTAAATAAGCATTACCTAATCATGCATTTGTATTGGCTAATTGCCACAAAGGAGGGGCGCCAAACATTTATCCAAACTTCATCACCATTTCTGTCACCTCCACCCTGTATGCTGTGCAGGAGATAGTGTTACCCCCACAGGGCATTTGAGGCCTCAATTTTTATACACTAAGTAAGCAAGACTCTAGCCACTGGTGAGTAAAAATGTAGCCCTGGCAAATACAAATACACTGCTGTTGAGTGTGACATACACCTTCAAGGCTTGTAGTGGCAAGTACATTTTAAGGCCTGGCTAGTAGTGTAGGATTTGAAATTATAAGTACTGCTAACAGTACATCAGGGGTTAAAGGGACACTATAGTCACCTGAACAACTTTAGCTTAATGAAGCAGTTTTGGTGTATAGAACATGCCCCTGCAGCCTCACTGCTCAATCCTCTGCCATTTGGGAGTTAAATCCCTTTGTTTATGAACCCTAGTCACACCTCCCTGCATGTGACTTGCACAGCCTTCCATAAACACTTCCTGTAAAGAGAGCCCTATTTAGGCTTTCTTTATTGCAAGTTCTGTTTAATTAAGATTTTCTTATCCCCTGCTATGTTAATAGCTTGCTAGACCCTGTAAGAGCCTCCTGTATGTGATTAAAGTTCAATTTAGAGATTGAGATACAATTATTTAAGGTAAATTACATCTGTTTGAAAGTGAAACCAGTTTTTTTTTTCATGCAGGTTCTGTCAATCATAGCCAGGGGAGGTGTGACAGTGAATTGAGCAGTGAAATTGCAGGGGAATGATCTATGCACTAAAACTGCTTTATTTAGCTAAAGTAATTCAGGTGACTATAGTGTTCCTTTAAAATGAGCTTCAACCACTTATCCATAGAGACCATTTACTGATCCAAACCAGTAATTGTGTCTAGCTATATACTATTAACTGCAAGTTTAGTTTTTGCTAATATTCTGTCACCTACCAATAATTGCAATTGTTGTCTCTATTACAAGTTACTACTCTGCTGCGTATCAATGCATTATCAAGTCTCTTTCTTACATCGTACAACGCAGCAATTTGTATGCAATTAATCCATAAATAATTATGAAGGTGGAATATGTTAACTGACACTGTACATCACTACCAATTAACTGTAATTAAACATTTAATGAACTGTAGACGGAAAAATAAGTTATTGATATACTCTGCGTGCCATCTACAGGACCTTCTGATAATACACACACAGCAAACAGCGCTGCCTATCACTTTTCTAAATTTTAAATAAATTGGCCATAAAAAGTGATTTGGATTTGAAACGATTCAAAATGCTATCCACAGTATGAAATTCCTCACTGTCACAACTTGAAGATGCTTTGACATCGTAAGACACTTTCCACCATACCCACCTTAACAAGCTGCTGTAGTTCTGATACTCAAAGTATCTCTAACATTCTTGTGAAATTTGCTTTAACAAATCTTTCTCGTTATTTTCTCATTTTGCAGGGAAAAGTTTCACCCTGACCATCACCGTGTTCTCCAGCCCACCACAAGTGGCCACATATCACCGAGCCATTAAAATTACTGTGGATGGACCTCGAGAGCCGAGACGTAAGTAGCACTTTAGTCACCAAATTCTAAGGGATATTATCAACTGTCTAATGTATTCCAGTATGTCCAGCTACTAGATGTATTAATTCTGTCACAGTCTGAGGCAACGCTACATTATTTAATTATCTTTGTAAGATCATACATTGCTATGTTAATAATCGCGTTTATCTGTCCTGTGATGTAAAGATTTGGATTTACCAGGCGAAAATATAACTTGGAGGAAAGATGAGACAGGGGTGACCTAATGTACAGCGCTACGGAATGTGATGGCGCTACATAAATAATAATAATAATATGATAGACCATTTAAATACATAAAGGGAATCAACACAGTAAAGGAGGAGACTATATTTAAAAGAAGAAAAACAACCACAACAAGAGGACAAAGTCTTAAATTAGAGGGGCAAAGGTTTAAAAATAATATCAGGAAGTATTACTTTACAGAGAGGGCAGTGGATGCATGGAATAGCCTTCCAGCTGAAGTGGTAGAGTTTAAGCATGTGTGGGATAGGCATAAGGCTATCCTAGCTATAAGATAAGGTCAGGGACTAATTAAAAGTAGTTAGAAAATTGGGCAGACTAGATGGGCCGAATGATTCTTATCTGCCGTCACTTTCTATGTTTCTATGAAATGGTTTGCACAGAACAGGAATGAAGTTTCATAGTTATAAAGTGCAAGCTAATTTCTTTAGTAAATCCACGAGCTCGGCTATTAATAAGTCAGTTCTTTTTCTAGCCCTAAAATCAATACTCTGTACCCAATGTAGTGCCATTCTCACCCATTCCAGGCAACCTGTATCCCAACAAGGAGAAGACACATTGAGCCCAAATACATGTCTTCTTTGCCCTCTTTACGTCCCATATACAAAAACTAATAATCACTATTTAGTAGATATACCCCCATTTAATTATGCATTTTATCACTGAGGGTATATATAAAAAGAAACACGTGCAAAAGCTGCAGAAATCTTGTTTGCAGCCTTTGCAAGTCCTCCCCAATGCAGCTCAATGAGAAGTCTTTGTAAGATAGGTAATTTTCTGCCTCTTGAGTTTAACTCCACTGAGCTAACCAAACCAGGAAGTAACAGGATTGATTGTCTGAATGGCAGCAAGAGGGGTGTTGCAAAGTTAATTTATACAAATGCAAATTTCTATTAAAATCTGCACTTTTTGTAAAATGAAAAAAGGGGGGGGGGACACTCTTCACACATAAAGCATTTCATCAAACTCAAGTACTTTAGGTGTTTGGAGTGTTCCTTTAAAGGACCACTATAGTGCCAGGAAAACATACTCGGTTTCCTGGCACTATAGTGCCCTGAGGGTGCCTCCCGCCGGGCTCTAGAGGGTTAAACTTACCTCTTTCTCCAGCGCCGGGCGGGGGACTCTCCTCCTCCTCAGCTGAATGCGCATGCGCGGCAAGAGCCGCGCGCGCATTCAGCCAGTCTTATAGGAAAGCATTCACAATGCTTTCGTATGGACGCTGGCGTCTTCTCACTGTGATTTATACAGTGAGAAGCGCGGAAGCGCCTCTAGCGGGTGTCAATGAGACAGCTACTAGAGGCTGGATTAACCCTATTATAAACATAGCAGTTTCTCTGAAACTGCTATGTTTATAGAAAAAAGGGTTAAACCTAGCTGGACCAGGCACTTAGACCACTTCATTAAACTGAAGTGGTCTGGGTGCCTATAGTGGTCCTTTAACACCCATTAAAATTGCTAATTCTAGATCAAAATAGCAGATTCCAAAAATATCTACAAATCATTTTATGTTAGCTTGACCATTTAAGCCTAAAATTTGCAATTCCCTCCCCAGGCCTTTACAATTCCTTATTTTGTGAATAAACCCCATTTTTCTTTTTAAGTGTTAACATTACCTCTTTCCGTTTCCCGTGAATACTTTACCAGCTCTGCGAGTCACAACCTGTAACTTGCATAGCCTGGCTAATAAAGACTTAGCTCGGACTTTGTTAAATCCGATGTGGCAACTCCGACCGACGCCAGTTTTGACACCACTAACATTGGCAAAATATAGATTTAATAAGTGTCTCCACGCATTCAAAGGGAATATTGAGGCCAACACAAGTCACCTTGTTCTAGCACTTTCTCAGATCTTTTCCTGCCTCTCCCCATGTTTAAGGCCTTCTGACCACAGGACCACAGAATAAAATAAGAAACAGGAGCTGACAAGACGAATAAAGCAGTAACAAAAATATTGTGGTTACAGACGCATGCTTGCCGCAGCCACGACAATTTTCAAACTTTGTACTTTCCACCTTATGTTACTGTATAATTTACAAAATCAGGAATTCTGTAATATAGTACCGCACGCTGGCAGTAGGAATGTAATCCGCTGGGGCACACGTTTTTATGCCAGACAGCCAAAAAAGATTCTTTTGTCCTTTTATATCTTTGATACATTTGGAGGGGGCTGTGAGTTATGAAGAAGCAAAGGATGAATGACTCGCTGTCCCCAGGGCGGAATCTACATCTTTCACATGTACGTTTTTTGTGAAACAGATGTAGTTAAGGTCCGTTAGTCTTTTGGAGGCTGCATGCTATTTTTATATTACCACGGGCAATAATTGACTTCCTTTGCTTTAGAAGAAAAAAATAATATCCCAGAATCCTACTGTGAGATTGCGCTTGTGGATTTCCTTAAATATATACACATAAAGACATTTATGTGCATTATTTATAGATTTATTCGGGGTTTTTTTTGGGGGGAAGCGTAGATTGATGAGTGGAGTAATTCTATACAGCCCAGTCACATATGTGTTAGCAATTTCCTTCAGACAACAGAAAAGACACATTAAAAGCTCTCCCTGTCTCCTGCCTACTTAATATTCCCTGTACATGTTAGAATTGCTTAATTTTTCAAATTCTTTACAAAAACTTCCCCTCCAGCATTTCCACTAGCTGCTATACACATGGGTAATTACTGTATTTATCTAACGTTCAGATTTGAAGAAAAAAAAAAGTTACAATGACAAAGTGCAGAGTAATGTATCGAGTAATCCTAAAAAATAAAACAATCTAAAATGATACTATAATCCATCGTGGACATTCGTTGGAATAATACAGTGGAACCTCGGAACTCGAACTGAATCCATTCCAGAAGGCTGTTCGAGTTTCGATTTGTTAGAGAACCGAATCAACATTTCCCATAAGAATGAATGTAAATTTGATTAATCCATTCCAGACCCCCAAAATTACATCATTTTAACACATTTTACAGTTTAATAATACTTTACATGCATAAAATCATATAGGAAAATAATAATAAACACAATGTGCAGTAAATAAAATGAAAATATAACTTCAATTTACCTGTAATGATGAGAGTTGATGGCGTAAGTGGAAAGGAGAAGATATATTATTGTTTGAATAGGGATAGGTAACTGATCTTCTGGCATTTAAATGTGTCTAATTGAACATGTTTGTAGCATGATTTGTTCAGGTACCGAGGATCGTTCACGTACCGAGACATTTTTGTTCGACTTTAGAATTTTTTGAGAACAGGACTGTTCGAGTTCCGAGGTTCCACTGTATTAGAGCTTCAAAGATTAAGTAGGGAGAATCGATTAGTGGTTGAAGTACCATTGCTTCCCAAAAGAAGGGCAAAAAGAATTTTAAAAAAATATACGAATCCAACTCAGCACATTGTGTACAGGCATAAAAGGGCCTCAAACACATGCATAGATTTTTTTTTATTTCAACCTCAATTTTTTTCACTCTCTTTTTCAGTTTAATTTTAAGTACATTTTATTTATGAATCTTTAATTTTCTGTATAATATATAGGCTGCGTTTATCAAAAGCAGCTCCTGTCCAAGCGTTGGTTTGGCTTTGCTGCATAAAATCCATTTAAACCACAAGGTACACAGCCTGGTTTCCATTTTCCCGAAAAATGCTATTTTTGACATTTTGAATATATTTTATTTCCCGAGGCATGCCCAGCCAAACAGATGGTGAAAGCATCAGGAAACTTGTACCATAAAAAGGGATCGATACGGACTGTTAGAGTTTGTTGGTACATGATCTTGTTAAAGGACCACTCTAGGCACCCAGACCACTTCAGCTTAATGAAGTGGTCTGGGTGCCAGGTCCCTCTAGGATTAACCCTTTTTTTATAAACATAGCAGTTTCAAAGAACCTGCTATGTTTATAAATGGGTTAATCCAGCCTCCAAATCCTCTAGTGGCTGTCTCATTGACAACCGCTAGAGGCGCTTGCGTGCTTCTCACTGTGAAAATCACAGTGAGAGCATGCAAGCGTCCATAGGAAAGCATTGTAAATGCTTTCCTATGAGACCGGCTGAATGCGCGCGCAGCTCCTGCCGCGCGTGCGCATTCAGCCGAAGGGGAGGAGAGGAGGAGGAGAGCTCCCCGCCCGGCGCTGGAAAAAATGTAAGTTTTAACCCTTTCCTCTCCCCAGAGCCGGGCGGGAGGGGGTCCCTGAGGGTGGGGGCACCCTCAGGGCACTATAGTGCCAGGAAAACGAGTATGTTTTCCTGGCACTATAGTGGTCCTTTAAGCACTTTGTTAATTGGGAGGTGGTAGAGGCAGAGGGGTTTAGAATAGAAGGATTTTGAATAGTCTGCTAATATGGAATGTATTTACAATGTATTAAAATGGCAGACAGTTCTTTAGTTTGGTCTTTTACCATTGGCTAGTGACAGTATAGCTTTGGCAAGGAGAAAATCACCACTGGCAAGTAAGCCATGGACTCTCCAGTCTTGCTGTGGTGAGTAAGCTTTTCTGTGATTTTTGAGCACAAGGTATGAGCCTAGCGTAGAGAAGTCCATTGACGCATTTTCTGATACGCACCTATCAGACCAAAGAGATTAGATACCCAAAGGGAAATAAAATCTTTCTTAACATGGAAAGTTACACCAATCCTGTAATCCCCCAGACTCCAGTAAAGTAACTCACTGCTTATTCATTACTGTATGACTTCCGGAAATTGCAGCTTCACAATGTTGTTATAAAACACTGATTTGGCAAAAGGCCACGCCATGTTTATCACAAATAACCAAAGAATCTTTTCGCTGTTTTCTACTCCCATTACTTAAGACAGTGGCCCAGCGCTAGCGAGTGACTAACTTGCAGCTGGCTTTGATGTGACTGATTGTGTAAGATTTCAAAGAGAGACTTTAGTACTTTGCATTTACTTCTAAAAGAAATGATACTGTGCATTTTTCCATTTTGAACACTGTAAGAGTTTTTGTTTGGATCAATTTCAATAGATTCCCAACATTTGGGCTAAAATACACAAATTGTGACAATGGCAGAATTTGAGAATTTTTTTTTCAAATCTGCTGTAGTTGTCTTTATAATCACACGTCACTTTTGGATTTACTACAGTTTGGAGTTTAATGATGAAGCATTTTGAAAATCTGTCTGAAGACCAATACTATCAATACTCTTCGGGCAGACCAATAAAACCATCTTTTTACAGGACACAAGTCAATAGTAATTGCTGATGAATTGCATAGGAAAAGTACTGCCTTGAAGTATGTAGCATTCATATACTTCAGGGAGGGAAATCTAAATGCTACATTCTTAAACTTGCTGGAGTGACACAGCTCAAATCATTGATGGGCTTACAACAGTAAAAATGATCAGGGCCCAAGGCAGCTTCCCCGTGGGCCCCGCTGCCCTCAACAATTGTTTCTCCCATGGGGCCGCCGGCCCCCACATTAAGCAGGCCACCGGGTGGGTATTGTAAGCAGGGGCCCGGTCACGCACTGTAGCACTTTAACAGCGCGACCGGGCCCTTTGCTTTTCGGCAGCACTGGGAGGAAGTGAGTGTGTGTCAGTATGTCTGTCAATATGTGTCTGTCAGTGTGTGTGTCAGTATGTCTGACAGTGTATGTCTCTGTGTATGTGTGTTAGTATGTCTGGCAGGGGGCAGAGTCCAGGGGCCCCAAGCAAATGGTTGCCCAGTGTCCGGTCAATATTAAAGACGGCCCTAAAAATGGTGTGTATCCTGAAAGGGACCCAAAATGTAAACCCTACCATTTGGCAGCAATCTTGCTACAAGGCAAGACTTTTACGGTAATGCCCGTCCATGTGCAGAAGTAACGAGTCCTGGAAAATACAGTGGGTCTGGCAAGCCTAATGTCAACGTATAATACATACATCATTAGGCCAATTCATATTACAATCCATCACATTTTATTGGTCGGCTCCCAGTCCGTAACATCATACGACCAAGTAAGTAGTATATTAGGAGCAGATAATTGGCAGCTAAATAATGTTATTGGGTGCCAACTCCTGTAACCCCTAGCCAAACATAAGGATGGCTGTGAATGTCAGTAGCAATATCCCAACCACATTTGGCGGCACTTTCAATTAAATAAATCCTATTAAATAGTTTACAGTAAAATACTAAAGTACCGGCTGAGGGTGATGTTACTAAAACCAGTACTAAAAGCAGTTTTAGATACAGAACTGATAACTTTGTCTTCAGCTGAAATACATCTAATTCCATACTTTCATTTTAATCATGAGAACTGTTAGGATTTGTTAGGGGTGCATACAGTTTCTACATTCTGTCGGGAAAGCTGGACGTATGTGGGATTCAGCTGCTCCGATTCAGCAACTAATTGAACATGTCAGTTTCCTTGATTGATTGATTATTTGATTTTGTTTTAGGAAATCATGAAATTCACAAACTGACCATCATATTTTTTTATTTTTTTTAAATGGCCTGGCTGTATGTGTGATTAATATGCTGCAGGATCCCTGCCTGCAGCCTATGAATGCGGAATTCTAAATGGGCAGCAGTTTTCATGTGGTCACCATCACAGTACATAGGTGAATATTTCCAAAAGGACACAGTGGATATGGTATTTATTTTCTAATTTTATATATGTAGAGCACCAACATGTTCTGCAGCGCTGTACAATTAAATTAATGAGTTAATATGGCCATCATACATTTAACTCATTCTGAGCTTTACCAAAAACACAAAATGTATGTAGGGAGTTAATGGGCGAGCAGCTGCACTGTGACTCGCATGATACATACTCGAAGAATGATGATGATGAAGTCATTTCCTGGGTTGTGACTCATTATGAGCAGTACACAGGTAACAGGAGACAGACAGCATTTGCTCTGTGGGTGGCTCAGAGCGTGTCTCTCCACCTTAAAGCAATTGCTCTACAATTAATAAGTATATATTAGTTTAAAAATGAAACGGTAAAGACAAGGACAGAAACACCTTGCTAAGCTTCACTAATCTCCCATTAACGCTCTCGCAATTTAAATTATTTCCTACCTGAGGGCAGTAGAATGTTGGTGTCATTTTTATCCCTTTAGTAATGAAAGGGTTAAGGTTCTGACATTTAAAGTAAGGTGAACAAATGTTTTAAAGGGCAGTCACAACGTGTACGTCTTTCGGAAGACCTGGAATAGATATTTTGAGCTTATTGAAAGAAAATTGAGCGAAATTGCCAGAATTACGGCTGCCGCCTGCCAAACCCACCATGGTTTTGGGGACGCGTATATCCAGCCTACACGAAAAGCTTTACCCCGAAATATGAACAGGCTGTAGGAAGGAATTCATTTAACTAGTTAATGCACTTTGGGATTCTTTTTTGGTTGGTAAAGTGATTTATTATAGCACCAACATTTTCTGCCATGCTTTACAATTAACTTATGGCGGAATAAGTGCAAGTAACAGATTATAACAACTAGTAACCGGAGACGAGGTGATTGAATTTAATTTACATAATTTCTGTCCTATCTGAATGCTACGTAATGAAAGGGAGAACTTTGCTGCTAACAGCATGTCATATGGTGGACGTGTGAAGCTGGCCGGCCTAGTACAGATAGATAACCCCACTTAACAATGGACCAAGTGACCCCTCCTGGTTCTGATCAATTGTACATGAGATGTAGTAGTAGTAGACAGCGTTATTCGGCTGTTTTGGAGCTTCATTAGCAAAACTCTCGCCTCTTTGTCGTGCTGGTCAGGAGATGTTTGAAGTTCGGTTCTCTTGTAGCTTTTGAGTTAGGGTCCCTATTTGTGATTCAATGTAACAGAGCACACTGTAGTCAGGAGGCACCCTATCCGTGTTAGATATGTATCTCTGGGTGCCTTTTCTCAACAAGAACGTAGTCTCTTTTAATCTTTGCGTCTATTAATGTAGCAAAAAATAAAACAAACAAAAAAGTATGTTGAGTTTTTATTTACTGTTGACAATGCCCCAAGTATATTCTCCACAATATAAATACGGCAGGGTGGACGGCCAAGCTGTGTGTGCCAAATTTTTTAATATACATTTTTATGTCCAAAAGGGATAGCACCGTATAATATCTAGTGAGTTGGTCAATCGTTCAAATTTTACATTTTGCACTTAGGCTGTTGTCATTATTTACTATTCATAAGCAAACCCTAAATGTGCGTGATTTAGTTAAATGCCATTTCTAAACTGGTCTAGTCCTCCAAATGGTTTGCTGGCTTCTCAGTAGCCATCAAATGCATTATCTTTTAATCCCCTGTAATACGGGCGAGGAATGCCTCTGAGCTCTGCAGACGCGAGGGGATGGTCTGTGGAAAAACCAGTGGAAGCTTGTCGGTATAATGTAGGTAGGGTGATACATTGTTATATGGAATATGGTGTGATATACTGTGTTTATATAGTTTCCCTTTTTTTTTTATTTTATAATATATCAAGTATTGTTCACACACTACAATTCACTACTTAGTAAATAAACCCCTATAGATTGGTGACATCATTCTACATGTGGAGAGAGGATGGGTAGCAGGATTGCGCTATACGTGGATGTTATTCTAGTTTAGATGTTCGCGCAGACAGGGTTTAGAACAATAAGGAACTTCCAAGTATCTGGATTGCGTGACAAGTCTATTTTTTGTCCCTTAGTGTTGCTTGATTATTTAATCACTAAATGCTTATTCACTGTAAAAGCTAATTAAATGTAATCTGAATTAGTCCAAAATAGGTGATTTGGAAAAAACCAAAAACATGTCATAGTCTACTATAGTTACAGCTCGGCTACTTTAGCCTGAATTTTGCAATTCTTTCCAGTCCACCACAACTCACCATATAGTAAATAAACCTCCATGCCTGCTTCGTAGTGTGTCTACATGCAGGTGGGCACTGCATGAAAAGTACTGACCTGAATAATGCAGTATTCATATGCTACAGTGATCCTGTATCTATAAACTAATAAAGGCAGTTCCTTTGGGTTAATTAAAGGATCACTCCAAGCACAATGACCACTACAGCCTGCTGTAGTGGTTATGGTGCCATGAGTGCGCTGGAGCCTCACAATGTAAGCAGTCAAACTGTTTGCTAATATAGTGACTTCTTACCTGGAGTCCACTGAGTGCCAGTCTCAAGACTATTTTCTTCTTGTTGGAACCTTTTTTGGCTGTTCTGAACTAAGCCCCGCAGTGCATGCTACTCATCGCACCATAACTACTACAGTACTCTGTAGTGGTTATGGTGCTTTGAGTGTTGATTTAATTGATTTCCTTCCTATTTAATATAAATGCTACATAAGTCCTTTCCATACACTTACCTGCAGCATGTAGAGCTGATCTGTAAAATTAAGTTGAATTTCCAATTCTCTGTAAGAGGAAGTTTCTATAGATGGAGGGTAATTTGTCTGTGCGATTATTCTTGGCTAGTGGGCGGATTCGTTTTATTTTAAAGGGATAAGCTATTTGTTGTTCTATTGGCAACTAAATGTCTTGTGCGTTAATAATAATAATAATATTAATGCGATTTTCCCAGTGACCCTGATTGAGCAACCCCCAGCTTTCTAAGGCAGGCAGTGGCAAAGCATCATGGGACTTGTTGATAGTCTAGCCCTGTTAAGATGAGAACATTGTCAGTGCATATCTCACATCCCTTCTATCTTGAAACAAATATGCATATAGAAAACATTATTAAGAATACTCACAGATCTAATATGACTTCCCATGTAATAATGTAAGAAAGTCAGGGAAATTCCAAATGTCCCAAAATATACAGGATCAAAGATTGAATTTTAGCTACTGTTTTTTTATTAACTGGTGTCAGTCTTAAACTGCCATTACCCTCAGACCTCCAATAATCAGAGAAAGAAAGGAGGCTCGCTGACAAGCCACGCAAGTTACCTGTTGGAATGCAACTCCCATCCACCGCACGTCAGGCTGACTGAGGTTGGTGGGAGTTGAAGCAGTCTGACAATCTCTAAAAAGCCTACAGGTTCTCCTTTACCTCCCTTACCCTTGCACATGTTTTACATCATTAAAATGCACAACTTCCTTTAGACTGTACTCCCCTGGTCTTGTTTTCCATTGTAAAAATGCCTGTGGTTTCAGTAGTATTTAGGGCCTAGCATCAGTTTTCCTACCGTTCATACACCGGATATCTCTGTCACAACCTTAGCCTGTAAAGCAGCAGTAAAGTTGGCCATTCACGCCAGGATTTCACATGTTTCTGCTACCCACAGTTCCACAGACTGTTCTTCGTAACCTGCTGTATCTATCTGCGCGATCTAGCCGCAAACACTCCAGGCTGACCATACCACTTCCCTATTGAAAGTTAATACTGCTTGATTCATTTCGTGCTACAATCGCAGAGCCAAAGAAAACAGTCCGCAGAATAACTTGCTTGTATGTCGTTTGGAACGCTCTGCGAGGCGCTGGTTTCATAATGCCATACAGTAGCTTACTATATCTCTCCCCAGCTGCAGGGAAAATCTAGCAGGCTTAAGTGTTGCAAGACAGGGGCTCGGCTACAGCACTTGAAATGTATGATCTGTCATGAAAAGAGTGGATTTCTTCTTGCAAATGCCGAGGTCCCACACAGGGCAGCGACTGTTAAATATAGAGAGAAAGGTGCAAAGCATTTTTTATATAAATATTTTTTTTTTCTATTTTGCTTCATGTTTTTAAGGATGTAGAAACTCATGTGGTAACAGGGAGTACAAACACCAAATGCAGTCTTTCCTTCAGAAACAACTGATGTCTACACTGCAGAGACAGAGGAAAAAAAGCTTATTTTTCTTAAAAACAAATATAACTATAGTTAATTCTTATATTTTTATGATGAGAAGTCATAAGATGGAGTCGTTTTATGAGTCCGTAAACTGCAAATTAACGGGAATAATCATCAAAGTGTAAATGGTTGGGAATTCAAAGCGAATGGATTTAAAATTTTCAGCCAAATTGACATATTTTGGAAAACAAATTTCTGGCCAACTTTGTTTTCAGTTCTGTCAATTTGCCCTAAAATTCGAATTCACTTTGTCTTCCCAGAAACACAAAGGGTGGTGTGGAAACCTTTATAAGATAATTCATAAAGAGAATTACAGAACCGCCATTGGCACCAAATTGCAAAGGGTTTAATGTTGCATGCTATATGTCACTACTTTTAATGAGTGGATAATTACAGTAGGTTACAGCCTGGAGATTGCGACTGGGCTCAATATAATACTACTCCTAGCCTTTCATAAGATAAACTTTACACTGTAATTTACTTTTAAACTTTTATTGTCATAAATCAATCTGCTAGATTCAGTTTAACCTTTTAAAGACACAACTTCTGGAATAAAAGGGAATCATGACGGAATATTTCCGTCATGTGTCCTTAAGGGGATAATATAGACAGGAGTTATTTTGATATCGTCCGTTAGTGAAGCTGCATTATTACTTGGAAGTTCTGGCAAGAATAAGGTGTCTGATGTGATGGGGCTCGGTGGTGCTGATGAGATTCCTCTGTGCATATGTCTAATGTTGTCGAGAGAGTTTTAAAGTGTTTTGTTTTTGATTTGGTCCTTTTTTTTCCCCTCCACATTGTACATATTTCTCCATTGTTGAGGAAAGAGTAGCGTATAGGGATTGGCAATTCCTTTAAGGTCTCGCGTATCTTAAAATTTTCTGTTTTCAAGCCAAATGATAACTTGTAGAAGGTGCTGTGATGAAAGGTGCTGTGGCTATCATTGTGTTTGCAGCAATCGGTGGGTAGATATGGTCTACTTGCAGTGAGTGGGTCTTGATATTTTGTGGGGGTGCTGTGTTCTTCACTCAACTGGGATCCTGGGAGCGCATAATATTCAAGGCTTCAGGCTACACTGAATTCTGCGACGCACAGCCAAGATGCCTCCAGCCTGGTCAATGCTGTCCTGGCCCCGGACCTATGGGAGATTCTCCCTGACCAATTGTTTATGTTGAAGCAGTGTTCAGAGGATCGGGCAAGTGATATGGAGCCTTCATAGAACGGTTCGGTGTAGAACAATCAAGCCTGTCTGCTTCCCCTGACCCCTCACCCAGAAATCAACACCGTAATTTTCATTGTATCCTTGTGATATTTTTTATTTTATAAATAAAAGATCAACTTACAGTCTGCGTTTGATGCTAATGACTTGGTGGTGGAGAATCCTCCAATCACGAGACCAATCTGTAGTGAAAGAAAAGTTTGCTTTAATTTAGTTTCTCCGCTACATGACTTCGATTTGGGAAGGGGGACGTCCTAAAATATCTCTCTTTGACAGCCCCTGAAAGCTCCTTGGTACTTTAAATAGGCAAATGAGGAATTTTAGGGGCCAGTGAGTGTACTTTTGAGTCCAGGGCCTAGCCTACTCTAGGATTTCATCCTAGCTATACTGCATCCACAAGATGTTGCAACTAACTGGTTGTAATATGACATGATTATACCCAGACATATAATTTGAAAAAAAAATCTTGAAACCTTTGTTACCAATTACTGTATCAGCCGTGCAGTTACGGCAGAATACGCTCGTTTCAAGACCTGTGATCTTCCTGAGTTTACAGGCGCCCGTTGTTGGCAGCAAGGTTAATTATGCATTCAAATGCACACACCATTTAAAGTGTTGAAAGACCTAGACTCATGTTGACATCTATATTTGCCCTTTACTTTTTCCTCTTTGGGTGTAACCTTGATACATTGATATAGACCTTTTTTTTGCATCGCCTACTTGTTCCACTCCGCTGCATCTGTGTAGGATTCAAACAATTATCTCACAAACAGTGTCCAAATGGTAGCCTTTCCCTATCGGCTCTGCTTTTGCAGGAATAAGCAATGCTATTAACTATTTGCACTTTTTTTAAGGGGTGTGTGTGTGTCTCATTGTTACAAAATATAAAAGAAAACTTTAATTTATTATTAGCCACTGTAATCTTTGTTTTTTTTGTTTTTTTTTGTGGCTTGCAAAATTATTGGAAAATAAGGCCTACTATTATAGTAATAATGAGTTCCATTTAGGTGAATACTGGCTTAAAGTAACACTATAATGTCAGGAATACAAACATGATGATAGGTCGTCACCCCCCTCTCTTTAGAGAATAATGGTATAAAACGTACCTATTCCCCCACGCCACGCCACGCCATCTCGCCACAGCTGTCCCCGCAATCATGGCTGAGATGATTAATCTTGATGATCTCAGCCAATCCAATAGGAAAGCATTGGAAGGCTATAGCGAATGCGCAGCAAAACGCAGCTCTGCACCAATCACCATCTCCCCATTGAGATATATTGAATCAATATATCTCTTTTGGGAACATTCAGCGCCCCCATACAGAGCGTGGAGACTTTGAACATCAGTGCTGCACACAGTGCAGCACTGCCCCAGGAAGCACCCTATTGACCATCTGAGTGACTGCCACTACAGATGTTCCTAGGCAGCAGTGTAAATACTGTGTTTACAGTGTTTTTGGGAGCAAAATAGTCACTAATAACTTAGTATCTTTAAAGCTCAGTACTGCCATCTCTCACATCTGCACACTGGTTTTATTTCATGGCTGAACAGAGCTTATGGCTTGATGTGTAAGATGTGATGTCGTCACAAAGAAATGTAGGTGGAGTTATGACATCACTGTAGTTATGACATCACTTGCAGAACAAGTGGCCATGTTTAAAACGCGTTATATTTTTATCTATATTTCTCCGCTATAAGTAGTGAACAGTGTGCTCTCCTATGTTGCACCCTGCTTATAAAATTCTTTAAATGTTTTTCACCATCATACTTGCGTGACCCTAACAAATGGGGGGAGGAGGAGGGAGACAGATGAGGAGAATAATAATAACAAAAAAAGGGTTTAAGGTTGGAATACAATATGTCTTTGCTACAGCATGATATCTTTAAAAAGAGTTAATATTTGCAATTAATATTAACACTGAAACAGGAAGCGCTGCCAAAACGTTTTTGCATGGTTCATTTTTCGAATATGATGTCCCAGCCAGGTGGAAATGGGCCAAGAGCAATGTAGATGCATCTTAAAGTTTATACAGTAATCTGTTTATTGTATTCTTAACAAAACACATTCCTTTAAAAATGGATCAAGAATAATGTCACCATTTCTTTTTTTTATTATGGTGTTTAACCCCTTAAGGACCAAACTTCTGGAATAAAAGGGAATAATGACATGCCACACATGTCATGTGTCCTTAAGAGGTTAAGGAAAAAAATGTCAGTTTTACAAAAAAAAAGTAATTCTTTCTCAGCCATGCTCTTAAAACCATAGATGTTTAATGTTTGAATAAACTCTCAGTATCTAATTAGGTCATTGAGCAGTTTATTATTAAAATGATTACTAATAACATGTATTGAATTCTGTCGCTAAAGAAATTTGAAAAAAGTTTTCACATTTCAAGATAAAAACGTAAATCAAATTTATCACTCGATAAATGTTCATAATGAGAGAATAAAACCCTATAAGATAATGATGTATTTATACTGTATGTATTGCCTAAGACCAAGTGAAGACACAGAGAATGTGTCATCCTGTATGAAAGAGGAAGTCTGCTTAATTTAGACATCACCCGATTTAAAATGCTTGAGAAAGCCTTAGCCTAGGAAATGTGTGATCTGTATATACACACGCTTGCACATGATCACATATATGTATATTACATGCTCTGCCCATTACATCAATGAACAGGTTAGCTTTTAAATATCGTCATGCACCATATGGCGGACACTGTGCCATGTTGGGGCCGCTAACCTCGAGAGAGTATAATGACTGACCCCCAGCATGGCTGAGATTAGCAGGAGTTGCACTCCAGGGCCGCAGCTGGTATTTGCAGATACTGCCATTGATTCAATCTCTCACTTGTTAATGCCATGCAAGTGAATGAATTCAATTCTGTCTCCCCAGCTCCCCTCATAGGATATCACTAAAGAGGGAGTCAGGACTGCCATAAATTAAAAGAACCTTAGCCTTAACTCTTATTTTAAAATCTCATATAAAATAAAATCTACAGAATGCTGCAAACATGTGTTACGGTAATTGATATCATCTTGCAACGCTTCCCCTCTGTCTGTCTGCATGCGCTGATTGGGGACCCCATTTCTGTAGAGTGTGGATTAGTATCACTGAAAATATCTCAATGAAGAGACGCAATGTTATAAGAAAAGGGATGGGAGGGGATTTAGATATATTTCCCAAAGAATGCCATATTAACCTAAAAAAATTTTTTTTATTTTTTTTGCTTGTTAAGTTTTTTTTTTTAATTATTATGAAGTATTTCCTGAGTCTCTATTCTGAGTTCTGCTATACAGGAATGACCAGGCCTGGCCTTGACTGGTTAGGAAAGAGTTCACGTGCCTCCAACATACACGTCAAAGCATGTTGTCGAATAAACTTACACACCGTAGTTTTTTTGTGTATGTTTATTTTCAAGTCAAGGGGGGAAATAAAATCATTGATAGTTAGTGCTCAAACCTTCAAGTTCATTCCTGGTTTTCAAGCATAGCATGTTCGTGCGTAACACAACACTTTATTCTTTACAAAGGAAACATTTAACACACCCAGCAATCCAGAAACCACAACGTCTTTTACATCCAGAAACTACTGTTTTAGGGTTCTGGTATATTTCGGTCCCTGTGGCACTTTGACTATGAAGAAGGGAAAAGTCAAAACGCGTGCTTTTAGGATATATATATATTTTTTTTTTATATCTTGCACACATGTCAATTTCCTTAAGAAAACCATGTTTTAGAAATAAACAACTTCCTCTGTGGTTTTCTAGAGGGCATTTAATGTTGCATAGCGTTACATAGAGTGGACAGTGGATCTACTGTAAGTTACTAGAATGCAAGAATAAGTCAGCATGTTGTAATGACGTAGTGCATAGGAGACTCAAAAATAACCTGAAAGTTTTAGGGCCAATTCAAGATCGCTGCTACATGCAACTATCCGTTATTACTTGCACATACTGACAGTTGTGAAGCTGGATATTCAGAAGGAATATATATCCCATTTTCCCTGTCCTCATTGAAGATGACACAGGATTAAACGGTCACCTTTTGGTGCTGTGGTTTAAAAAACACTATGTTAGATAGTTTAACATACAGTGCCTCTTCTCAGGGAACTACAGAGACATAGTTCCTGTGACACTATAGTCACCAAAACAACTATCGCTTAATGAAACAGTTTTGGTGTATAGATCACACCCCTGCAGTCTCAGTGCTCAATTATCTGCCATTTAGGAGTTAAATCACTTTGTTTATGAACCCTAGTCACACCTCCCTGCATGTGACTTGCACAGCCTTCCTAAACACTTCCTGTAAAGAGCCATCTAATGTTTATCCTTCCTTTATTGCAAGTTCTGTTTAATTTTAGATTTTCTTATCCCCTGCTATGTTAATAGCTTGCTAGACCCTGCAAGAGCCTCCTGTATGTGATTAAAGTTCAATTTACAGAGCAAGAGATACAATTGTTTAAGGTAAATTACATCTGATTGAAAGTGAAACCAGTTTTTTTTTTCATGCAGGCTGTGTCAATCATAGCCAGGGGAGGTGTGGCAAGTGCTTTATAAATAGAAACAAAATGATTTAACTCCTAAATGGTAGTGGATTGAGCTGTGAAACCTGAGAGACATGATCTATACACCAAAACTGCATTAAGCGTAAGTTGTTTAAGTGACTATAGCGTCCCTTTAAATATAAATTGAACACAATCAAAAGCTAAACTTTTACTCCAACCACCATGACCACATTTAGAAGTGGTGATGGTAGTAGGAATCTGTACTGCAGCATTTCAGCTTTAAACGAATACAGAGGTATTTGCATTTATGTGCTGGGGGGTTAGTTACATGTGTGGCAAACATGATTTAGGCTGTTCTGGGCTGCCACCTAATTTGATTGGACCTCCCGTGGACAGCGGTGTCATCAGACGTGGCGTCGAAAGCAGCGCGATGAGCATCATCCAGCGCTGGATTCCACATTCCAGGTAAGTTTATTGCGTTTGAAAAAAGATTTTAAAGGAGGGGTAGCTAATTAGTAGTCCCCAATGCCGCATGTGAAATTAAAAACAACAATTAGAGTTAGAGTAACCCTTTAACTATGAATATAGTAAACAAACAAATAGTTTCACACTCTCCTCAAGTAACTTTCTCTAAACTTCCACTACTGTTCCACTAGCTTATACCTCCTAACATCTCAAATGAACAAAGAGGGACACTTTTATATTTCAGGGGTGTGAGTGGGGGGAGAGGGATGGTCAAGGGTAGGATGTTCTGAGAAACATTCGGTGACTTATTGATAATGTACGCCACATGGGATGTAATTTAGAACTATAACAATGTATCTTATTCACACAGACTGATTTCTAACCATATTAATCGTAGTTTAGACATACTACGTGAGTATTATTGCTGTGGAGCTCTGTTATTCACTCAGATACACCAATAATATGGAGCTCCTCGAAAAGATGGACAGAGGGATTTGCTCCCAAAATAGGGACTATACTTCCTATATAGGGACACTTAGGTAGTATGCTATCTGAATCCTACTGCAGTCCTATGGAGGTCTCATTCTCTCCCACTATGGAGGCTCCCTTGGGAAGATCCCTTTTGACCATAGGTGAAGGATCTTTTCCATTTTAGCAAAGTGTGTGCTTTGGGAGCCTGTTTACATGTCATAGGCGTACGGTATAAGGAAAAGGGCAAAGCCTTGAGTTAATCTAACCCTGCTGTATGTATGAATATATATATATAATATAGTGTGCGTGTAAGTAGACAGAGAGAAATGTATACAGATTTATTTATTAAAATGTGCTAAGGTACAAACCAGTAAGCTATAGAGTTTCAGCAGTTGGGGAGTAAGTTGTTCCACACATATATCCAACGTCGCTAAATAAACCCAGTAGCCTTGCTATAATGTGACCAGAATTACAGGGGGCAGCCTTGGTTTTGGTGTATTGATTAAAAGCTCGTTCCGTTTCTCTGATTTTGTTGCAGTTCTTCAGACAGAAGATTTGATGAAATAATTGTTTTTCTTTTTCTTTTCTTTTCTTGTGAACTTTAAATGAAAGCTTTGGCAAAGGACGGACGGAAACTGTGTTGTACAAAATGCTTCATATTTGGCAGCCCAGCCCGTGGGCCTTCAGAGAGTCAGGCTAATGCTTAAAATAGCCTGTATGTTGGAGACAGAGCATATGTACACAGCTTGCGTGACTCCATGTGTTTGCATTCAAGTCCACTGTCATGATATAGAGAGCTAAACAGAAGTCTTAGATTTGCATGCTTGACAAATTAAGGAGCGAGCCGCGTTTGTCTTGCCATAAAGGCTGGCGTTTTTTTGTTTTTTTTACCTCATGATTTTTTTTTCTCATGCAGATAAAATCATTGCTATAAAACTGGCTCCATTTTTCAGCGCAGTGGGAAATCCGATATTTTCGCCGATGTAGCCAGCAAGGAGTAGAAAGAACAGGCCACTTATATTTTGAACGCAAAGGTTTACAAATACTTTTCTTTTTAAATTTGCAGTGACTTTAAATTTCCTTTTGAAATGCAAGTTTTCGACAGCTGTAAAACATTCTTCTGTGTGTGATTTTTCTTTCCAGAAACCAAATATGCGGATGATATTCTGAGTGGTGATAGTACCACAGAGTTTTCATTTGCTACAAATAATTCAGGCATCATAAAGGATCGGTCTAAGCACCTCTACTGCCAGAAGCATCGGCCAATCAGCAATAAGCTAAGCCCAGTTTAGAGCTGAGAGGTCCTGGCTGCAGTGGTGTATTTTGTTGGGGTTTTTTTTTGTGTGTTTTTGTTTTGCTTTTTGGAGGGGTTAGGGAAGGGACTGCTCCAGCACTAACTTTTACCCAGCTGAGAAACACCTACTTCTACTAGAGCTCAATTCTGTCTTTCTGCATCCTACCCCTTCTACCACACTCTACATACAACTTTGAAGATCACACTTCAAGGCGGCCTTCTACCAACCAGCATGGGAGGGGGAGGAAGTGAAAGTTCTGAACATACAGTGTACAATGCAGATTTCCTTTTCCAGCCTGCAGTGGAAGCCTACAATATCAAGTATAGCAGATAATCTTGTAATAACTGGACTTACTTAAAGGAACACTATAGGATCAGGAACACAAACATGTATTCCTGACCCTACAGTGTTAAAACCACCAACTATCCGCCTTGGGCCTACTTGCACCCCTAAATATAGTACAATCTTACTTTTGTTCAAGTCTGCTGCTGCTGGCTCTGCCCCTGATCTGCCTGCTTGGCTGACATCATCAGAAGTATTGTCCTGAGTCAATCACAATGCTTTCACATTGGATTGGCTGATATTGTCAAGTATGCAGATCAGGGGCAGAGCCAGCACAAGCCAAACACAGCCCTGGCCAATCAGCATCTCCCCATAGAAATGCATTGAATCCTTGCATCTCTATGAGGAAAGTTCAGTGTCTCCATGCAGAGGGTGGAGACACGGAATGGCAGTGCTGCACACGGTGCAGCACAGACCTAGAAAGCACCTCTAGCAGCCATATGAGGAGTGGCCAGTTAAGTTATCACTAGACTGTAATGTAAACACTGCCTTTTCTCTTAAAAGACAGTGTTTACAGCAAAAAGCCTGAAGGTAATGATTCTACTCACCAGAACAAATGCAAAAGGCTGTACTTGTTCTGGTGACTATAATGTCCCTTTAATATTTTAAGTGGCATTTTCGGAAAGCAATATCCCAATTGTGTATAATATTTCTGCTCCTATGCCAATATTTCAGACCACATTCAGGAATCCCATACTGTTACTGTATAGCTTATAGTATAGTTAATACATCATTGCTTTGAGAATGCCGTTGTTACTATATTATTTCATAAAGGTACATGTTTCTATGTTGTCATAGTAAGAACATGTTTTTATTATCCTAGATAGCTGCTGAATTGTTGTAGAATTTTTTTTATATCTCGGCATGGTAATATGATGGAATTCACAGATTGGCCGTATGTAGATTTGTGAATTGTAAATAGTGTCATTTTTACTACATCCTTTATTTTCTTTTTATATGGCGAAAGCATTTAACCTCCCAAAAAGGAGTCAAGTTTTAAACAGACTTAAGTTTTTAGTGTTTATTTAGGCAGATAGGTTTTACTAATTTATTGAACAGTCTCCTGGGTGAGAATTATTTCACTCAGACATCGTAAAGCTTAAAAGTAAATTTTCATTGCTTTTGAATGAGCCCAATGGAGTACAGATTAAAAATACATTTCCATTTGTTGTAGTGTGTATATGTGTACATAATATAGAGATGTCCAGGTCCATGACCTTTCTGTGTAACATTTATAATTTGCTTGGAGATTTTGGAAGATATATACCTTCAATTTAGAATTTAATTCCGTATACTCTTTGCCTGTGTAAGAAATCTCTTTACACTACTGTGCAGCAAATCACTTATTATTTCTAGAATGTCTGAGTTATAAATATCTGTGATATAAATCCATTGGCCAGGACTCTGGTTTGGGTCCCAATGCCATGTCTTTGTACACCCACTGATTGAAAAACCACAGGACCTCAGGAAACTCTTCACCGTAAACTGGTTTCTGTAGAAGCACTGCCTTCCCAAGTGAAATTTAAACCCTCCATGACACTGTGAAGACTATAAAGAAGGGGAGTTTGTAGATTTTATTTTACGTGTCATACTAAAAATTAAGATTGAGTCACTGTTATGTATATTGTTTTGTCAGATCCCAGTCAAGACAGGTTAAGGGGGCAGTATAAGTACTATAGCCACTACATGATGTTGAGTGCTGTTGGGCTGAAGATGCCACCTGTGCTCCCCCCGTTTCTAAGTTAAACAATTTTTGAGTTGTTGGACCAAAACTGAGGTCCACCAAGGAACACACAACTCAGCCCAACCTTACTGAATTGCTAATACAGACGTTCAACATTCACATTAGCAATATTAATTTCATCTGTATTTGGACGGCATTGATAGGCTGATCATGTCAGTTGATTTTATTCACTAAATCCAAATTAGTTATAAATCTAAAGCTGCTCTCCTCACCTACTCTGGAGGAGTTTTACAACTCTAATCAGAGTTTCCTTAAGGTGAGTCCTCATTAACTTCTAAATTGGTTTGGCGTGGGCGCTTGTCTCTAAGACCGTAAATCGTATCGATACGATAGAATTTAAGACCTCTTTTTCACCTCCCTCATTAATAGGGCATCGTCAGAAAACAGATGAATTGACAAAGCCTGGAAGCTTATCATTCTCTGAGCGACTGAGTGAACTTGAACAACTCCGGCGAACGGCTATGAGAGTCAGCCCACACCACCCAACTCCCACTCCCAACCCACGGGCATCGCTGAACCACTCGACAGCATTCAATCCTCAACCACAGAGTCAGATACAAGGTGAGTACTTGACTATCAGCCACAGCAACTTTTAATACACAGTGAATTATTGTGGAACCCTTAGGTCCCCAATCCTCACCTCACTGTTGGCATCCATTTGTGCCATGATTTTGATGATTTGTTATTTAAGTGTTCCAGTTTGGCAGAAGATGGTAAATCATGTCCACTTTAGAAAGAGGGGTGAGATTAAGTGATTTCAGGATAGGCGAGTTAGCAGTGTTTGTAATGTTCTCACAAAAAACTTAACAGCTAATCACTGTCTCATGGTAAGTGTGATGCAAACACTGACAGATATGCTTTAAGACAATTTTATATTTAGTTTCTTAAATTTTTTTTTTCCAAACACCAGCTTATTATATATTTGTCTAAAATTACTGCTCCCTCTGGAAAAGAGTATTCTATAAATTTGACACATTCTGTCACACACTGAAAGGATAAAGTTGGTTTTTTTTTGTACGTTTTCTTGCCCCCGTCTACACTCCCACCCCATCTATTGTAAAGGTTCCTTACAATATTTCATTTTTACAGGAGGGCAACCAATAATACAGGGAGTGCAGAATTATTAGGCAAATGAGTATTTTGACCACATCATCCTCTTTATGCATGTTGTCTTACTCCAAGCTGTATAGGCTCGAAAGCCTACTACCAATTAAGCATATTAGGTGATGTGTATCTCTGTAATGAGAAAGGGTGTGGTCTAATGACATCAACACCCTATATCAGGTGTGCATAATTATTAGGCAACTTCCTTTCCTTTGGCAAAATGGGTCAAAAGAAGGACTTGACAGGCTCAGAAAAGTCAAAAATAGTGAGATATCTTGCAGAGGGATGCAGCACTCTTAAAATTGCAAAGCTTCTGAAGCGTGATCATCGAACAATCAAGCGTTTCATTCAAAATAGTCAACAGGGTCGCAAGAAGCGTGTGGAAAAACCAAGGCGCAAAATAACTGCCCATGAACTGAGAAAAGTCAAGCGTGCAGCTGCCACGATGCCACTTGCCACCAGTTTGGCCATATTTCAGAGCTGCAACATCACTGGAGTGCCCAAAAGCACAAGGTGTGCAATACTCAGAGACATGGCCAAGGTAAGAAAGGCTGAAAGACGACCACCACTGAACAAGACACGCAAGCTGAAACGTCAAGACTGGGCCAAGAAATATCTCAAGACTGATTTTTCTAAAGTTTTATGGACTGATGAAATGAGAGTGAGTCTTGATGGGCCAGATGGATGGGCCCGTGGCTGGATTGGTAAAGGGCAGAGAGCTCCAGTCCGACTCAGACGCCAGCAAGGTGGAGGTGGAGTACTGGTTTGGGCTGGTATCATCAAAGATGAGCTTGTGGGGCCTTTTCGGGTTGAGGATGGAGTCAAGCTCAACTCCCAGTCCTACTGCCAGTTCCTGGAAGACACCTTCTTCAAGCAGTGGTACAGGAAGAAGTCTGCATCCTTCAAGAAAAACATGATTTTCATGCAGGACAATGCTCCATCACACACGTCCAAGTACTCCACAGCGTGGCTGGCAAGAAAGGGTATAAAAGAAGAAAATCTAATGACATGGCCTCCTTGTTCACCTGATCTGAACCCCATTGAGAACCTGTGGTCCATCATCAAATGTGAGATTTACAAGGAGGGAAAACAGTACACCTCTCTGAACAGTGTCTGGGAGGCTGTGGTTGCTGCTGCACGCAATGTTGATGGTGAACAGATCAAAACACTGACAGAATCCATGGATGGCAGGCTTTTGAGTGTCCTTGCAAAGAAAGGTGGCTATATTGGTCACTGATTTGTTTTTGTTTTGTTTTTGAATGTCAGAAATGTATATTTGTGAATGTTGAGATGTTATATTGGTTTCACTGGTAATAATAAATAATTGAAATGGGTATATATTTGTTTTTGTTAAGTTGCCTAATAATTATGCACAGTAATAGTCACCTGCACACACAGATATCCCCCTAACATAGCTAAAACTAAAACAAACTAAAAACTACTTCCAAAAATATTCAGCTTTGATATTAATGAGTTTTTTGGGTTCATTGAGAACATGGTTGTTGTTCAATAATAAAATTAATCCTCAAAAATACAACTTGCCTAATAATTCTGCACTCCCTGTAGTTTGTCAGTGACCGATTAGTGTTTTTACTTGTGTGCATTTCCAATTGATCTCTGATATAATATATGGCAGGTTTTATAGCATTATCATATGTTAACGCCTGCTGGATAATGCTACTGTCCAGCGCAGTAATCAGTTCTTTGAGGACCTTATATCCCCAACAAATTATACAAAGCCTGCTTATTGGGCATCATATGCCCTTACTATACCTTTAAGAATATCCTTCGTCCATGACATTTATGGTGAAGTGGAGATGGTCTACAGCCTCTTAAATCTCCTGTAGTCATGTAAAAGGCATGTTAAAATTGATACTGAATTTGAAACAGTAAAAAAAATATATTTATGAATACCAATATAATGTAATCGATTTAATTTAGCCAAACAATCTTACCCCGGTTATGTAAAATAGTGATAAATAAACACTGGAATCTCAGCCCTAGTCTGTGCGAGCCATATAAAACCTAGAGTTATTACTTGAAATGTTTGCTGTGGTCTTTAAATGTAAGACAGCCGGCTTTGTAACCACTGAACTGACGGCTAAAGAGACAGGTGGCAGCTCCCACACACAGTCACACATGCCAGGCATTTGCCACCATGTCCGAGTGAAATCAGATTGATGTTACGCTGCTTAGTCTTCAACTCCTAATCCAGAGAGGCAGCCGATTGGTGCCGGGGACCATTTATCTGGATTGTTACGGAGGGGTTTATTCTGTAAACTGTGACTTGTGATTGGATGGAATGACAACTCTAGGGCAAATTAACTGATAGGAGGCAGGGATTCACCAATTATGGAGATACATTTTTAATCATGAACTATTTTGCCCTAAATTTTACCAAACTTCAAACCACTTGTTCACTCAAGTTGCTACTTTGAGACTTACCTGAATCTATGAATGAGGCTTTCATTGTAGAAACATTTGGGCTTGTTCATGAATGAGCACAAATTATCACCTTACATTCAGCCATGTTAATTCTTTCAATGTGCCATCTGAACTAGCTAAGGTAGTGATAGATTGGTAAACAAAGACAGGCCATGACTGGCAATTCAGTTTTTAGTATGACCCTTCCTAGCTCCTATGCAGTGCAGTCACCTTTGAAGACACTTTGGCTACAAACTTATTTTTTTTGCCGAGTGCCCACTTTAGAGGTGAAAGTCTAGTTTGTGTATAAGGTATTTGTTGAGGGTATAGAAGTGGATGCTGATGGCATCAAGGCATAGAATTCAACATCTTTTAGGTATATGTATTAAAACAAAAGTGAATTGTGATGTATTTAAAAGAAAATTGCAAAATTAAAACTAGAATTTTATCCAGCTTTCGACGGTTTGTATATTGCAATTTTTTTTAATTTTTCATATTTTTAATATCCCTTGTTCTATCGAAGGACGCAAAAAATGGCAGTGGTTAAAGAATTCATGTTGTAGACGTCTATTCACTAAATGGTCATGTCATAGAGATTTATTCACTAAATGGTGCGTTCTTATGTTTAGACCACCAACGAGCCAATACTAAGAAATTCAACTTAGCAAAATCAGATGTTTCCAGTCCAGATACTTAAGTCTAAATAATTTGACTTGGTGGTCCACTCTGTACAAATCACTATTTCGAGATCGAAGGCTTCGTGTTTATGTAGTAAGATTGGGTTGGGCGTTCAATAGAAGAAAGTCGAACCCAGTTTACAAGGATCCTTCTATATACCACATACTTCCAATAAGCACCGCAGCTGTTTCACAGTCCTCTGGTGTTAAAAGACACAGTGCAGTGGCGAAGCCCAGAATGCATTGCTGGAAGTAGTAGCTGCTGAAACCGTGCCTGTGTGCGTGGCGAGAATTGAAAAGGGTGACTTTCGCTAACTCTTTACAAATGATTCATACACATTGATTCTGCAACAGAGAAAGGGTAGTGTGGGGCCTGTCCACGAAATACTGAATTGTAGGGGACTGAAAGCAGAATTGCAAAATGGAGGCAAAAATAACGGATTTTGAAAATGTCGACTTGGCTTTAGCAACAGCTTGGACACTTTTGCCTAAATTTTGCAGTTCGGTTTGCAATTCATTCCAGTTTGTTATTCGTGAATAAACAGCAATGTCTTTTTATGTGTGAATACACTCTGCGACTGTACAGCTGCAACTCCCATCAGCCTCAGTTATAAAATCTGTATGGTGCAGAAAACCATGTCTCATTAGCAACACAGAAAAAGTTGTGCTTGCCTTGCAGTCGCCACGTATGAACCCTATCAGCCACAGCCAACCTATGCTCTTAGCTGTTTCTTTATTATAAGGTAGAAGTGTTTGTGTATATATTTGTAGCAGCGATCTTTATGATAACATAAGTGGCAAAGCACTGCAGTCAGTAGAACAGTACGTGCGTCTCAATAAATGTATGCCCTGATCGAATTTTGCAATATGTTACGTACACAGCGTGTGAGTAACAGTACACCTGTTAGTTTTGAAACATCTAACCAAACAATATCATAGACAAAAGCAGGGAACGAAGCCCCCCCACCCACCCCTCCGCACCACATCAAACAGCTAAGAGCATGAAAGAATACACTCTGCACAGAAATTTAAGAAAACAAAGCAGTATATCTGCAGACTAGTACTTTGGGCATGCAAAACCATGCAAAGCAATATTCTGCTTTTTTTTCTGACTGGTCTTTTGTAGTTCCCCCAGGTGCATGTCTTTTCTTTTTTTCCCGCCTTACATTTATATATCATTTTTTTTCTGATCTTCTGAAAGTCCTGTTCTTTTTCTGAATTCAAATGACGCACAGAAACAATGCACTTGATTTTAAAAACTTGTGCTTTTAATGTAACTATGATAAATGTCGCTAAACTTTGTGATTTTAAAGTTCAACATATATCTCATGTGATTTACGTATTTTTAATTTATTAGCTTTCCTGCGAGAAATAGTTTAACTGCTTGTTTTTGTAAAATCAAATATACTTTTTTTTTCTTTTTTTAAAATTCTTTATTTTTTCTGTGCATGAAAATAACAAGCATTTGTAATGTGCCACAACAGCACGCATATATTATCCATCAAGGTTCACAATTTGGCACTAAAGAAGTGCGCATTTTTCTTTTTGTTATCGTTTGGTACAAGCTATATACATTTTATAAACATATATTAATGGTATACGTGTATATCTTAGATGCATTACATAGAAAGAACACAACAAATTAATTAAATAACTGCAAGCTTGAGCATGCGGGTGATTAGCTAGTTTGACAGGGTGAAGCAGTACATTCACCCAAGGTACTCAGGATGGTGACTTAATACGCGAATAGCCAAACAAGATAAAGATCAATAACAGTGCTCGTGTGTCATAAATGTTGCTCTCATGAATGGAAAAGGCTGATGAGCAGTATATCATATATGTTATTGTGCCGGGTACTGTAAGCTACATCTACGGGAACATATTTGGTGCTGATAGCACCTGCCAGAGGGTAGGGTCATTTAGGTACAAGCTAACTTAGCAGAGACCTGCAGGCAAATGGACAAGTATGAAAATACTCAAGGTGTTGCAGCTTAAAACGAGAAAGCATATGGCTGTAATTGTAGGGGCTTAGTGTGTTGCAGCTGATATCCAGCATGCCCCCAGGGAAAATAGTACCGGACATTAGGCAAGCAATTAAGGGACCTAGTTGGGCTCAGAGCACAAGGAAGACAGGAAGAGTTAGTGTGACAGTCTTTCCACATCTAGCAGAGTAAGACTGATGGGACCCCCTGTGGCACCCATATCACAGTCCACAGTCACCCTATACCTTGTAACGGTAAAGCATAGTCCCTGCCCGCACTGGGGCATGCCAAGTTTTGAAAGTCTAATGATCAGGGTTTGATCTCTCCGTTGCTTGTCGGTCTTGGGCTTGCTCCATGTCGGTTCCCGCCTCTGTGCCGCTGCTGGTGGGTCTTTGCCTGGTCGGCTTGTAGTAGAGCCTCGCTGAGGTGGGTAGGCGGGTCTGCGTTGGCGCTGGACTATAGATTGGGTATGCGCTCGGTCCAGTCGAGTTCCCTGTCCAGAGGGAGGTCTGCTGCTCCGGTCGGTTGCACGAGCCCGCAGTTTAACATGTGGGGTTGGGCGGTGTCGTGGGCGCTGAGGTCTTCTCGTAGCGGCCATTTTATGTGCTCCATGTAAGTGTGTTAATGAGCGGGTGTCATGTTTAAGTGTGGCGTGCTGCTGCATGCGCCGCTCGAGTTTGTTCCAAAACGCCTTGAAAATCGCGTCCAAACCTGCGGCGTAATCAGTGTGTTCTGAGGGGTAGTCGTTTGAATTCCCTGTGCTCACCCTGAGTTGCGTGAGTGCTACTGCGGCGGCAGTTTCACAGGCATCTCGGGTCCGTTGGCCTACAGGCTGAGTTGTGGGGGTAATCGTCCCCAGCGAGGACCGGGATAACCCCCACCGGTCCGGGGGGAGGGGGCAGCAGGGCTATAGTGGGCTCTCGTATGTGAGCGTGTCCCTTGCCGGGGGATCTGCCGCCTCCCCCAGGCTCCAGGCCCCGCTCCAGAGTAGGCCGCATGGCCGGTTGCTGTGGTCGCTTGGTGTACCGGGTCAATCCCCGCCCCCTCAAATATACATTTTGTCTTAAAACCCCACGATGAACTACCTCACTTATAAAGTCTAGTGACACCCAGCAGTCCTTGTTTCTGTGGCTGGTTGGTTACATTTAACCCTCTTATTTCTAGACCTTCTCAGTAACCTGCTGATTACCTACTCAGTTCTTCATTACTAAAATCAAACTATTTAACCAGGAAAGGAATGGTTTAATCTAGTCACTAATGTCCAAGTACATCTCGGGGGGGTCTGACTGTTTATATTATTACTTAACTAAATGGTAATAATTTTAATGACCTTGGAGGCATGGGAGGCTAAGACTTTGTGGACCTTGTCAGGAATCAAACCTGTGACTCCGATACTGCATCTGGAGCCCTGTCAACTGAGCTATCTCATCAGTATTGTGTGGGTGGTTTAGTAAATTAGGAACATTGGAGAATTGTCAAGGTGATTTAAAATTGTCTAGACAGAATAGGACAATTCAATTAATTCTTCTATTTTTATTTATTTTTTCCATATAAGCTATGCCGGCTTAAAATATACAACTCTTTAACCACGACACTCAGTTTAGTGAATATAATAGAATAAATCTGTTATTTTCAGCATATCTTGAGTTACTTGCCGATATGAAAAATCATGGCGCTTGGAAGGTTCAAAGGTTGTCAGTAATGGGTTCAATTTTAACGGAATATTCATGTTCTATAACTATTAGTAATAAAATAAGTTATTCTTTGTATATGATCTAAACCGGTAGATCGCAATATTGAAGACCTAACATGTAGCAAACCACTCTTTAGCCGTTCGCGTTAATAAACAGTAATATCACACAATCTCTATTTGCCAAATTGTTTACTCTGATTACCCTGGGCACAGCTCTAAATATTAAACCTCTACATGCCCACTTTATGCTCAGAAACAAAAACATATTCACCTAACTATGTATGGACTCTCTCATGCAAAACATGGATGCCTGTTGGTAGCTATTGTCACTGTGTTTCATTTCATAGAATATTAAGTGGTGTAGATTGCTTTCTCTTTAATTAAATATATTGGCATTTAAAATATTGTTTAACTTGGCAGCCAGATGTCTGGAGGATAAACATATGAGTACATTGTGTTCCCCTTCAAATTCTCGTCTAGCCTTTTAACTCCCCTTACAAGAACTCGTTGGTACAAACTATGTACTGATCACTAGTGCCAACTGTCCACATTTTCTATGGACAGTCCCTATAATCAATGTTCAAGGGTCAATTCAACCAAAACAAATGCTAAGAAAACACAGTTTTTGGCACAAGTAACCCTTCCTATCTTGGTCACCTCCCCCAATCAATCCCAAAATAAGTCAATAAAATAAAGGAAATAGCTCAAATGTATCTCCATTCTGGTCATTGAATGAAGTTACTCAACCGACAGTAGAGGGGCTAAATGTCTGTATGTATGAAACGCTGCACAAAACAGTGAAGTAGTTATGGTTCTTGGCGTAGTCCTTTTAAAGAATAACAAAACAAACTGTTCTGTGTTTTCTCTGCACCAATATAAGTATATGCTCTATATTTTTTAGGATAATATTTTAGTTTTATTGGAAAAGAGACGTAAAGACTTCCCAGTGGAGTCAGCGCACAGGAAGAGACTTTATGTGTTTTTGTTTCGCCAAGACTAGTTATAGATCCCCAGAGATTTATTCACTAAATAGTGCATTGTTGTAGTAACTTGGAAATCCAGGGATGTATTCATTAAGCTAACTCAGCTGAGGTGAAGATATTTTTCAAGTTTACTATTTTGTCCTAAATTTTGCAAGTCAGTTGTCAGCACACATCAACCAACCATTTGATAAATAATCTGCCTAGTATTAGTGGACGTTACCACTATCATCCGGCCTGAGCATTTAGTACACGTATTGGCTTTGATATGCTATGATATTTGTATTACGTGATTGCTTGTTTTTATATGAGAGAAAGTAGATTCTGAGGTTTTCAGTTCGAACAAGTTAGTTATACAGGGATTAAAAATAGCTCATCTAGAAAAATTCCTTAAGTCGGCTAGAATCACAACTTAATTATTTTAGATTCAATTTTGCCAATTTTTTATTTTGATTGATAAAAATCTGAAGCTTGATAAATAATACTGAGGCCTAAGCATACGGCATCACAAAATACACATAGGTAGGAGTGCCTAACTAACTATATATTTTTTTTTATTTCATGAATTTATGCAAGTAGATAAACTGAATCACACCCATTTGTATACAAAGAGGTGGGGACAAATTTGTTTAAACTTATAGTTATTTCACTTTAACCCCTTAAGGACCAAACTTCTGGAATAAAAGGGAATCATGACATGTCACACATGTCATGTGTCCTTAAGAGGTTAAATAAAATAAAGTAGTACCATGCAAGCTATGTGAGCATATATTTAATTTATAGTGCCAAAGATCTTTTTGAATATTAAAAAAATAAATAAAAACCTCTGTGCGCGAGGTATCGAGACAGAACAACATCAGTTTCTCACACAAAAGTGCATTCATGAATGAACCGCTTTAGGCTCAAATGAGAAGCAATATCTCAATGCAGTGTTTATCGGGCTGATGCCAAACGAGCCTGCAGGTAACATGTCTGTACAGCAAAGCAAATTCTTTGAAGACAATAGCAAGTGACTCAGTACCAAACTTTCTGAACAACATTAAGGACTGTGGCAATGCTGCCGCCATCTTGTTTTATGCCCTTCCTACTGCAGGTATGCGTACAACAACAAAGAAAGCGGAATGTGTTATGTGCCATCTCCTGGACTTTTAATAGGCTTTATTAACGCACAATTCCTGTTGAATGAATGTTTAGCCCTGATGGCTCCCCAAAAGGTAGAATTTTGTATACTTTGAATGTATTGAATATATGTTGTTCTCTGGCTTGCTGTGATCATTGTTGACTGTCAGGGCAGTAAATATTGTTGCACTGCTTTTAATGTGTCTCGTCTGTGTTTCCTGACCAGGCTTGTTTTGTAGTGTATAGTGTTTCACCCTGTATGATATTTCATCACAGAAGCAGAGCTAATGAAAACTATGCTCCAATAAGCAGATTTGCACATCCACAGTGAATTAAAAAAAAAGCAAGCAAGGTGAATTGTTAGAGTAGGACCCACCTAAGAGGTTTGGCTTGACGTGGCAGGTGGGCTTACATCTAATGGCCATTGGTGTGGAACTAAGAACCTCAATTTATATAAATAGGCGCAGGGATTTGGAAAAGTGCGCAAGTAACTTTATTCTTTTTGATTTTATTGTATGCATTGGGGCAGATATGTACCATGGTCATTGCTGCCGCCCAGGAGTAGAGGGAGTTTGAGCGCAGAACTTATTTTTGTGTATTTAGATTCGCACATCCAGTGAATCAAAAAAAGATTTCTTCCGTAGAGTGGGAAGCTCTTTGTATGACATGAATCAGGAGGCATTGCTTCAGAGGAAGCACGTGGCGGGTTGGCGGGAAACCAGTCATTTAAAGGGGAACTAACACTTCCCAGTATTTATATTATTATATTTACTCATCCCCCTATATTAAACAATGATGTGCTTTTGCGAGATATGAAAAATGTGATTTAAATGTAGAATTCCTCTTTATCCACCAAGGCACCTCCATTACAATTCCTTGCCAATCACTAGTGTAAGAGAAAGGAAACATTGTGTCCGTTTTGTCTACTCATTTAGAATGTGCTCTGTCCTTGCCGGGACAGAATTAGAATATGTCATTTACTAAATCTTTAATAAAACTTTAAAATGAAATGACGCATCACATGAAGACAAGTTTAACATAGAAGTTACAGTTTCCCTTTCAATACCATATTGTAGAACATAATAGCACTTGGCAAACCATTTTGTATGACTGTTTTAGTGAACGTCATCTAATAGGTTTGTAGAACCATTGAGAACAATGTCCGATCTGACTTAGAGTAATAGGGTTTGTAGTTCAACAACAAATGGAAGTCTGCACTCGACCCCATATTTGTGTTACATTTTAGTGTTATGTCATAGGCTGGCTAAGGGTTATAAGAGTTGCATATCATCAACAAACTGGGAGATCCCAATGGCCCAGATATATTTTTATTTTCTAACAGTTTAAAAAGTTTTATTTGATTCGGCAAAACAAAATCCCCATGAAAGGGCAGTTATGACTAATGATGAGCAGTGATTCAAAGTGAACAGGATTCTTAAACCTACAGAAATTATTTTTCATCACTAAACTGGTGGTCAGAGGGTTCGGTGGGCTACCGAAGTTCCTTTCCACTAAGCAACTATTTAATTCTTCTCATGATATAACATTACCCTCATTCGCCTCGACAGGGTGCCTCAAAGAAACACTATTCTCCCTTGTGGAAGTGATGGCCTGAACATTGTGGGCAATGGCTTAGAGCCTCCGGCACTGAGTGAGTTAAGAAGGGAGATTGTGCAATCTTCGCAGACCTTAATCTCTGGCTGGTGTGCTCCCATGCTCAGTATATCTTTACATTGGGTATTCTTGTAATCCCTTCCTGGCAGTACTCTCCATGTGTTAATGCGGGTTCATGTTACACAGCAAAGTAAATAAATACCAGGCTTCTCTCATCCTCAAAGGCAAACATATAATGAAGCAAAAATATACTTTTTGATTTTGTAAAGCGAAATGCCAAAAAACACAATCGACCCACCCTTTTCTTTTTTTTATTAGGCTGAACATTATGTGTTAATGTTATTATTTCAACACAGGAGCGTTGTATAAATTATACAATGGGGGGTTGTTTTTTGTGTATTTTTTTTTCTCCAGATAACACAATATGAGACTTTATAAAGTTTATTTACTAACCTTTAATTTGTTTAACGTCAGCAGTGGAATTTGAAATTCTAGGCCACAAAAGCCAAATTTGTACTATATATAATGTGTGTGTGTGTGTGTGTGTGTGTGTATGCATATATACAGATATTATATTGTTTTGTTGTTTTACTGTATGAAGTTAGTTCTTCCAGTAAGTGAGAAGATACTATCACACAATACGATTTTATTTATCGATCAAGCTTATTTTTGGCATATTATCGGGAAAATAACTGTGGAAACATTATACTCTGGGTAGCGCTGCACAGTATTCAGATAATGAATTCAAATAAACTCACACGTTTGAGCTATTGACATTAGTGAAATATTTATGTTATTTTTTTCCCAGCCAAACCTGCTTTTATATTGATAGAATATATAGAATGTTATATATAGAACGAAGCTCCCTCCTTAACTAAATGTTTTCTGCTCAGATTGACAAGCTAACATATTCAAAGTACGGCTTGCCAACCAGGCCAAACTAGTTCTGTTGCATAATATAGAATTTTGTGACATTAAAAAATGCATGTTAGGATCTTTCATTCCATGTATTGACAATACTTGAAATATTTGAAATCATTTTGCTTTATCTCATCAGACTTCAGGAAAACACTTGGCCTTTTTTTGGTAGCCTTATCCCTAGGAAGTTCTTCTCAGAGCATCTTGCAATGGCTTACTTTTTTTGGGCATGGGCAATCGTCAATTTGGTTGATTAGAAATTGACCTGTCCAGCACAGAATCACTTTGGATTCGTTTATAAACAAATCAAAAGGGGTTCCATGCTGGACACATCGATTCTTTGTCAAACTTATCGACAAACACACATGCCTACTACTATTTTTTTTTAATTTATTTTTTTAAATGCATGCTTCAGAGCTTCATAATGTCTCCTTTTCATTAGTGGTGCCATAAACAACTCTACGTCAGGCCTGTCACAGCTCTGGTTGATACAATTTTTATTTCACATTCTTGATCCTGATTAAACTAGTAATGTGACCACTTTAGCAGCCATCTAAGGCGATCTGTAGTAAGACACGTGCTAGCCACATACACACAAGCATCACATTTTCTGAAACAACCATCAACTTGCTTTAAAAAAATAAATAAATGTTATCCATGATATAGGTGAAGTAAAGCCACAATTGTTTTTATTTTTATTATTATATACGGGGTATTTCATCTACATCCATAAACAACATTCATAAGCTTTTCAAATGATCACAATCTGTTAGACTAGCTTTCCAGCTGATTTATCTACAAAAGTTATCATATCCCCCAACATTGGCTCTCCATTAAGCGGGAAGCTGGTGCGCATGGAGTTAAAAGGGCCATGTCAGTGTGTCATTGGTGCCACCCAAAGGGGCTGTCATGGCCTGAAAGAGGTAGGATCCACCTGAAATAGTGGCAGGTTAGACTGCCGTGACTGGCAGGCTTCCTGCCAATCAAGCAGACCGGACCACTGCGGACAGACCGTGCAGGGAGCTCTGTTTGAGCGCACATTGCATGGTCCTAGTGCCCTGAGTGTGTCTAATGATGCACTTCTGTGATGCACTTTTTGTGGACAGTTCCAAAAATGTGGATTAGCCAACCAATATTGGGATAGTTAAAAAGCTATTTTGAATCTGTCATTTGAAAAGTTTTTCTAACTGTATTGAATCATTTGAAAAATGTATCAAAAAATATTAAATCAATGCCATTCGATAAGAAATACATTTCATTTTTCGGGTTGTAAAAGGGATCAATTAATGGAAGGCACACCGTGGTTTGTATATCTTATAAATCGATGACTTTTCTATACTTCCCCAGTAAAAAATCCCAGGGAGGTTTAATGTTATAATTTTATATCAACAAAATCTTGATTTCTGTGTAAATAGGTCGAGGGTTTACCGGAGTCTGTGAAGTTATTATATTTAAACACATGCAGTGTGAGTGCCAGTAAGGATGGCTGGGACAGAATTGTCCAGTTGAGATGACTAACATTCTGTTAATCTCTGGCCGTGTTCCGTTGTCTGTTAAGAAATCATATGTCACCATATCTCGAATACCATATGGGTTTTCATAAGCACTACATCAGCTGCTGAAGAGAGATTTGCTGTTTGTCATCAAATTAACTATAGAATCTGTGAAATACTTTCATCCATGAGTAACGGGGACAACTTGGAGCCATTTTTTCTTTCTTTTTATTTTTTTAATTTTTCTGTACTACCTATTTTGGTATCACTGACTTTCAGCATGTTATAATAGTCACAATTTCGTAAGACAGGTTCTGGAAATTGAGTTTTAATTTGAATACCCTTATTCTATTTATTATCGTTCTTATTATTATTTATAAAGCTCTTACATATTATGTAGCACTGTACAATAAGAGAATAAACAAAAAAGTAGTTGCAACAAGACCATTGGGACATACTTTGGGTACGACCCTGCTCAAATGAGCTTCAGTCTAAAGGGTTAAGCCATGAATACATTTAATGGACAATGTATCAAATACAAATGGCTCGACTTTTCTAGGCTTTAAAAATGTTTTATTTACTTGTTTCCTACAGCATATTGTGGGCAACGTAAAAGCCTTAAATATCATACAGCAGACAACTGTGTTTTTTAGTCACAAGCGTGCGGATGCTCTCTTTCTAAAGGAGATTTAAACACGCCATCCGAAGACAAACGCATCCAGAAAAATTGCTTTTAGGATTTCCTTTTAAAAGGTTCTGCTTTAGGACGTTTCATGTTTAGTGTGATTTAGAGCAAATAGTGAAGGATTCCGCCAGAGTATCAAGTTGATCCCACTCATGAGCTGTACCCTTTTAAAGCCCACTTGCAGCTGTGATTCAAACTAAGTATCCAGCCAGAAGCATAAGGCGAAACAGGTGTGTGCTGCAAAAATGGCGACAGAGCTACAGCTGTAAGGACCGGCTATTATTGGCACAAACAGCTCACAACAGCGAGCCCTGAGCAAGAGGAAACAGGGCAGCCAGATGATATTTCACTGAGCGAAAAAAGGAGGCTTAGTCACTGAGAGAACAGAAACTCAGATGCAACAGTTACAGCTCACACCGGTTACTGGAAGCAGTTAATCAGACACGGAATGAAAAGCAGATTGTTCTGCACAGCTACTTTGTAAATAGTCTTGGCCGTCAATGGGAATCTCAGGGGTGTGGGAGATGTACTAAAGCACCTAAAATGTATTATTCAGATCAGTGTTGTTTGCCATGACAATATTTGTAAAAAAAGTTTTTACTTACCGTTTTCCAGAGCTAAGACTCCCTTAACGCTGCTCACCTCACTTCCTCCGGCCTCATAGAGGAGCATTGGGGGCATTATGCACATACACCACTTTAGTCTTCAATCATTTAAGAAGGGCCTTAAAACCCATCTTAAAGCTTATGGCCTCCCAGAGTTATCTCTACCTTACATACCTGTCTCCTGCTCTCTCCTATGGGACAGTGCTTTGCTCTCTCCTCCAGCTCTGCTTCACTCCTACTTGATATTTCCTGTCCTAATGTTTCTAATACCCCACCTCCTATAGTCTGTAAGCTCGTTTGAGCAGGGTCCTCTTCAACCTATTGTTCCTGTAAGTTTTCTTGTAATAGTCCTATTTATTGTTACATCCCCGCTCTCAAAATATTGTAAAGCGCTACGGAATCTGTTGGCGCTATATAATATGGCAATAATAATAATAAGAAGAAGAAAGCATTAAATTCAGGGCTTTCCTGTGAGCTATAATGTTAAGTGACCAAGTTCCATTCTGTCAGTGCAGCGGAAGTCTCTCTAGTGGCTGCTAGGAAGACGGTCACTACAGGTGTGTTTTACATTACTGGTTAAAATGACAGGACCACTGCGTCCAGACCAATTCATTGAGATGCATTGAGTGACTTTAGTTATCCCTTAGCTATTTTCCACCTTTGATCTTTACAGACAAAAACCCTGAGTAATTTTGGACTCCATATCCTTGAACTTTATTTAAAGCAGTTGAATTTTCACCAAGTACTATTTTAACCCATGGTTTTTTGAATGAGGACCTAGAGGACAGCAGTAGAGAGTACATCCTTCAGATGTTCATGGATCACATCTTGCCTGTGACCTTTTTTTTTGTTTGTTTGTTTTTTTTTTTACCCCTCTCCCTCTAAATAAACCTTTTTATAGACTGGATATTTCCCATTGACAGGAAATGCAGAGCAAAGAAACCAATTAATTAGTTTTTACTTTTTCTTTCTTTTTGTCAATGAGCTACAGTGTATAAAATAAGAGCCACATTTTAGAATTTTGGTATTGGCTTGGCTTTTTCTTTTTTTTTTTTTTTGATGATGATTCTAGACTTGAATAAATAGGATACAAAGAAAATAAAATAAGAAAGTGATGGATTGTCTGGACAAGATAAGGCAAACATAGCTGTGCCTGCTCCACCCAGCACGAGGGTTTCCACTCCAATAACCCAAACAGGCAAGGTCTGATGTGCCCAGACTGTCTGCAGGCTTCTTCCCAAGAAGCTGATGTTTGGCGAGGACATCCTTGCTTGATTTATGTTATGTGTGTGTGCTAAGCCTTAAATTGTTGAGTCTCTGGCTGGCTGCAGTGGTATTACTGAATGCTTATTGCACTGTGTTTGCATCTCTGAGAGCTGGCTCCGAAACCTGGGTCTCTTGGCTTGGAACTGGGTTTAATCTCACACCTGTTTTAAGACAATGAAGGTCTTGTTAGGAACGTCTCAGGCTAAATCTGCTACTGCTGGAGGGGTGGGGGGAAATTCACATGAGTAAAAGGATGAGGAAAGGTGTATGTATAAACCGAATTCACAAGCTATTCTAATCTGCCCTGCAGTACAACAGGCACAATAAATCCTGTATTTTCTCATTGTAGAAAATAGGCACTAACACTACTTAGCCAATCATAGCTACAACAGGGCTTTGATGAAATGATATATATAATAAATAAAATGAGAAAGTATTTATTCCAATGGTGAATAATAATCCAAAGGTCCATATGTTATTAAAATGATTTAATTTCCCTTTATCAGTTTTTGTTTTACATTATGTATTTTTACCATCATATTTTTTTCATATATATATATGTGTGTGTGTGTATATATATATATATATGTGTATATATATAGATATATATATTTATGTTGATTGATATTATTAGGTTTTAAATTACTGCAAGCTACATGTAATTTATTTTCATATAATTTTTGTTTTATGACATTATTATGACCGTCTGATACAAATTTAATGAGTTTAATTTTATCTTTACCATTAATACTAGTATTTATCAAAATATTATTTGTATTTAGTGTACTTTAATATTTAATGATAAGTAGAGAATATATCTAAACAGACATTCACTCCATTCCCCAAAACTCCTTTTTACATAGGTTATGGTGCAAGAAGGGCCCCTGTCCCTGTTTTACTTAATTTACTACAGTCATAAGAACCCTCTATATTCATCCTACCTGTGTAATGTTGCAGTTCTTGTATGATTTGTGTATCTATGTCTGCAGCTTCTATCAGTTATTCGTTCTTTTATAAATACTGTACATATTGTAGATGTTATATAATAATACTGGGTTTGTTTAGATTGTGTGCGTGTATGTACGTGTGTTTGTGTGTGTGTGTGTGTGTGTGTGTGTGTGTGTATTTATTATTATTTTATTTTTATGGAAATTAAATTTGTGCGTTATATACCCCTTGGGCACAGTAAAATAGAGAATTCATGTTTTCACAATTCTCCCATAATTCCCAGCTCTCCATGCAAATGAGCATCATGCTTCAGATTTCCTTTTTTCCAGGATATGTAGATATGCACAACCGTCATTTTTGCATTTGCATGAATGCGTGGGTAGTTTTATCGTGTTTGGTCTCACCACAGCTTGTATAAGACTTTACCACCTTGTTCCCTGCTACAACCTGTACTAATTAAAGAAGATCTGTTACTTTTGGGATGGATTTGCATATTTTTGAAAGACCCCCCCCAAAGGTGATAGCTCCAGTTAGGGGCTGGTGGCCATGGGATGCAGTGACAGGGAGGTTTACTTACCTGAACCTGTCCTTGTGCTGTACTCTCGTGCATGCACGGAACACTGAGGTTTATAGAGGGTCTCAGGAGAACCTCCCGGAGCCTCCATAAATAATACTGAATGTAGGGAAAACACAAATTACAGAGTAAGAGAAATAAGGGGGGAAAAGTTAGGGAAATAAATAAACTACTACATTTTTGTTCCAATGAGCATCACTGAGGCTTGGGTCTATTGAAAATCACATTTATATTATACGTTCATTTTGCTTGATGTCACTATTCTGCAATGCAAAAGCTTCCCCCTTTTCCCATACTAAAGAATCCTGCAATGTGACTGTCCAGAGATCTTAAAGAAACACGCCTTACCTGCAAGTCAGTGTGCAGTTATATTTCAGGATACACTTGTTAATCTTTCTCTTGCTGTAATGACTTAAAGATTGTTTTCCTGTTCATTTATTATCAACCTTTGTGAATATTCTAAACAAAATTTTATAAGAATTAGAGTGTAACCCAAATCATACTCAGCTCGCTTGACTGGCTGAGTGTATTGAGAGTCATTATGTAAATAGCTGGATCTCTCTTGCTGATCATTACATTATCAGATGAGATAATGTGCTTCAAACAGAGACTCTATCAGTAATATTGATCTGACATTTGGTTTCAGCTTGACTTGTTTGGTCTAAAATGTACAATTCTTTTCTCATTTTACCCCGTGTGGTTTTCCTAATTCTGGCTAGCGGAGTCTTGGCTCAAAGAGACATTTGCACGGTTTTCCCACAGATCTTGTACAGGAGATGCAATCAGTCCTATGATTGCACAAAACAAGAGCATGCAATGCCTGTCGCACGAAATCCGGAAATCGAAGCAAGAACAGAGAACTTAACAGAACATCTTTTGTAACAGAAAAAAGGAACTAGATGTATTTATGGCAACGAATTCCTAACAACAAAAAAACACAGCAACTGAACATGTTATACATCAACATTCTCAACACTTGTATTTGCAATTTGTTCGTTATTAAATAACGTTAGCTACACTAGTCTCTCCGAGTGCAGCTGCATTTTTCCAAGTCATTTAATTTATTCACACTAAATTACATTTCGGTTAATATCATATCACAAATTAAAAATGTGAATAGAATGTTGTTCTGTTTTGTTTTATTTTGTTTTTGCTAGGAGTTTGATTGACATGGACTTCCCCTTATTTCTTAGGACCAGGCTTTCAGCCAATCCCTAGTCTCTAACGTAACTAAGTAAATATATTATAAGCATGCGCAGACATGACTCGCAAATTTCCAATATATTAAAATAACACTGCCAGTTATTATAATGAATGAAATCTCATCGTAAAGTCCAATCTTCTCTCATCATTTATCAGTATGTCTAATTATATATCCATCTGTCTGGAACAAAACCTATGACTAACTGCTAACTTTATAATGTGCTCAGTATGCAAGTGTTACACAAGTTTCATTGTTTAATAACTATGCAACCAGTGCATTGGTCGCAAATTGCAAAAGACTTGATAATGACACAACTCTAATTGGTATAATTTTCTCAAAACAACATTAATATCCTATGCCACAGGCCTGACGTCTGGTTTTTTTTGTGTGCCCATGCCAACGTAGTGTGTATCGTGGCATGCCCCAAAATATTTAACTTGTCTGTTTAGTTTCACGCTGTGCGTCTCGGAGCTCCTTCGTGGACGTTGTAAAACGATAGATATTCAAAGCCGGTTTAGAGAATGCACATTCTTTATTTTTTTTTATATTCTCTCACATGAAGCAGACCTTACTTCACCTTGCAAATCAAAGTGTACCCTGGAGGGAGCTTTTCTCACTGCCTGGTTTGGTATCATTTTCTACCAAGGTGACTTCATCTGATGAAATCTGAAGGTTGCATTTGATATAGCGCATTCTTTTTCTAAGTCCGTAAAACGAAGCTACAGATCCTTAGATCATCACAAGTCCTCCTGCTCAACAGAAACAGGTGTTTTGTGTTTTTCAGTCCACGTTAAATTCTAAAACATACCCGTGTTCTCCTTTGCTATCTCCCAGTAAGGTTGTGCAGTATTTTCAATGCTGCTCCTGCTTGGTCACATCCTTTATTAGTTTACATATCTTTTCTTCTCCGTAGTGAGGGATGAGATCACCATGAATAGGAATAGGAGTTATCTTCAAAGGCCGTGCTCACAGTGGCGAAGACCTGTCTGATTAATCTGTTCCAATTCTAATTAGTGTCCGTGGGTTTCCAGGAGAGGGGAGAAGAATGACCACTGACGTCCGTGCAGCTGCAACCTTTTCCAAAAGCCTTTTGGATCCAATATGGATTACTTAAATAAATGTAAAAAAATAAAATAAAATGTTTACAGAAAAAAAATTACTCACTGAACGACTGACTTTATAAATCAGGAAAACAAAGCAAAACAACCAAACGGTGATGTCTGAAGTGTTGCAGAGGGCAACCGTGTTCTGTATTCACGTTTTATTTATTTAAATTATTTCTCATCACCACGTGCAAGAAACCTATCTGCATGACCCAATGAAATGCATTCCTTGTTGTACTGCACTTCTGCAATGTTACTGCTGCTATGTCCTACCACTCTTTTGGGACTTATGTCCGTAAATCAAACTTTTCGTAACACAAGGCTTGCCTTGGTTTTCATACTGCCATGAGATTTACATAACCCCCTAATTAGAGATCGACCGATTATCGGTTTTACCGATATTATTGGCCTATATTCGGTATTTTCAGCAATATCGGTATCGGCCAATATAGATACCGATATTGCCGATAATACCTCCTAGGGCCGCCAGGCTCATTACAAGCCCGGTGGTCCTGTGGGGGCCGCAGGAAGCTGTTTCTTACCTTTCCAGCAGCTCCTCCAGCTCCCGAGTGCAAATCTCGTGAGTCCCGCGGCCGCAGAGCGTTGCTACGGGTTACCATGGCAACGCTCAGCGCAGCACTAAGGGCAGCGAGATTTACACTGGGGAGCTGGAGGAGCTTCTGGAAAGGTAAAAAACAGCTTCCTGCGGGCCCCCCAGTACTTAACAAGCCACCGGACCACAAGGGAATACCATCCCCCCCCTCCCTGGTAAGAAGCAGGGAGGGGGAACTAAACAAACAAAGAAACAAAAAACATTTAAATATTTAAAAAAGAAAAGAAAAAAATTAAACACACTACACAAACACACACACACTGCATTACACACACACACACTGCATTAGATACACACACTACACAAACACACACACTGCATTACATACACACACTACACAAAAACACACACACTGCATTACATACACACACTACACAAAACACACACACTGCATTACATACACACACTACACAAACACACACACACTGCATTACACACACTACACAAACACACACACTGCATTACATACACACACACACACTACACAAACACACACACTGCATTACATACACACACTACACAAACACACACACACACACTGCATTACATACACACACATAAACACTGCCTTACATACACACACACTACACACACACACTACACAAACACACACACTGCACAAACACACACAGCTCCCCTGTCTAAACACACTTCATCCACTACATGTGGCATGTATATTTTGTACATTTACCTTTAGAATTAGTTTATTTTTTTCAAAATGGTAAATGTACAGAATATCGGCAAGTTATCGGCTATCGGCCTGAAAGTTCACAGATTATCGGTATCGGCTCTAAAAAATCAATATCGGTCGTTCCCTACCCCTAATCATAAAGGTCTTAATTCATGGTTTAACGTTATCTGGTATGTGTGCACCGTTGGTTAATTAATTACCCCTGGCACATTCCCCATTTTCTTACGATGGCTGTCCTAAATGGTTATCCCCTTGTCATGAAAAGGGTAAAGGGATACGCCTGCTGTAGTTGTCCTTTTTTAGTGAATTATCAAAAACAGAAAATGAAAAATAATCATAAAACTGCTATTTATTTATAATTCCAGCATTTGATGCAAAAATCAGGAATTGACGTGACTCTTCATGTAATTTGTTTGTATTTGTGTAGCAGTGATGTGCTTATTCAGTAGCAGTGCTTAATTGGCTTAGAAAGCAAACATGTTGTTTTTTGTTTTTTGTAAACACTTAATACCTTTTCTGTAACTTAACCTGCACATTGTAACTACCAAGAAATACATTGAACGTGTCTCTGGGGGTTAAATGCTAGCTGATACAACGTTAATAAGTAGTTTAATCCAATCGGATGACAGCGTATATGGGGAGATTTATAAAGGCGTCACAACCAAAAAGTAGGGAAATGTTCTAAAAGTGATAAATGGGGGAATGTTTCTGTCAATTCCGTTGGTTTCCGTGGTGATCGGTCTTTTTTTAATTAATTTTTTTATTTATGAATCCTACTCTAGATTCCAAGACTACCCCAGCTTTCAGTCAGATTCTGATGTATTTATTACTGTCCAGAATGATGTGCCAACCCATCTTTAGTGAAACATTTCTTGTGCATTGCACTCACAGGGTTAATTAACGAAAGTCAAATTTTTTGGAATTTTAGGAGATTTTAAGCCCAAACTGAAAACCTAACATGTTTTGTTTGCTTTAAATTTGTCTGTTTTGATCTAAAATTTGAAATTCACTTTGAATTCACTCCTGATTCACTTTAGTGACTATCCCACCTTTCATTTACCAGAATAAGCTGGGCTCTGCCAGAAAGGGCTGTTTAGTGCCAACTTGCTGTACGAGAATGTACTTCACATCTTGATGACTAATCGCTCAGTTCCCTTAGTCAGCTCTGTGTCACTGAATGTCTGGGGAGCGGGTCACCCACCAGACACACTGATTGCTGTTATTTGCTTGTAGAAGCTAAAATCGACTGAATCACCTATGTAAAGCTATGATTTATAGTAGTGAAAGGACCCTGAAATTTGAGAACAATGAATAGAGCAATTTCTGTCTCTTTACTGGGCGCTGCGTTGTATCAGACTGTATTTCGATTCCATCACCCATAAGCCAAGTTACCATATGTTAGCAGTTGTCTGTTGCTGTCATGAAACTACATATATCTAACCCTGCTCTTTCTTAAAGGGGAAGTCGCTTGGTTTAGCAGTTGTTCATTGATTTCTTTGGCCACTGTAAACGACCATTATTCTATACTATTTTGTTATAAAGGAAAAAAAATAAATCCCACATTTCATGACGTGTGGTGTTTATCATGATTGTTTTGCTTGGTGTAGATTGTGTGTTATTAACGTTAATTCATATTGCATCAACATGTATTGCAGCACTCAATGAATTATTTCAGGGTTAATCAATAAACTTCACGTTGAAATCCGAAAGGCAAAATTTGGGCTTAAATAGCTGATATGGAAAAAAAAAATCACCATTTCAGCTATAGTCAAAGCTTGCACTTTTTGGGGACAATTCCCTGGTTTCCCCAAAAGCGGGGCGAAGGGTCAGGACCCTAAAATAGGTACTGTTGGAAGGTCTGGATTTACCAGATCTGCCATGGTTTCCTGGAAACGCGTCATTCCTGCTGGTTAACGAGCAGCACATAAAAAGTGCCATGTTGCAGTATGTAGCATTGATACGCTGCAAGATTCCCCATTAATGATTAATTTACTACAGGCAATATTTGAATTTTACAGGGCAGCACTTTTCCTGTGTTACCCACTACTATGGAGAAGTACTATGTGTCCAGGTGATCCGGAAACCCTAACCACATGCCCACGAACATGTGTGCAGTTTATCATGGGGAGAATGATGTCTGGAGAACACGCAGGGCTGAGGGCATGTCATGAACGTGTCTAGAAGTGTAGCAGATGTTAGTTTATAGAGAAGGGCCTTTATTATGAGCTTTTGATATGTGATACAACGCTTCTGTCTAACTCAAGCTGCCATCATACATTATTATACATTGTATTTTACAGCGGAAGCTTCCCTTAGCCATTGCAGTGGTAGCTGCACATTAAATATGGACTGCAGGCCTTTTGCCTTACTCTGTTCAGTAAAGTGAGCGAGCACCGAGTGCGTTAGAAAACGGCCAACCAGCTCAGAATAAAATATTATCCTCTAGAATGTAAGTTCTTTGAGCAAGGCCCTCAACACCTGCTGTTCCTGTGCGTCTAACTTGTCTGCTTGCAAATTATGTCTGTTAGTCCAGCTATTGTACAGCGCTATTGTCTTTGTTGGAACTTTATGTATAATAATCTGCAAATTATAAACTATATTCTCACAGTACCAATAATAATTTAAATGTGGGGCAGGCAGTGTATTTTATTGTCGCATTAGTGTGTGCTGGGGGGTCTGTGTTCACCCTGCAGCACAGCGAGTCTGCGATTTTGTTGTGTTTAGAGTTTGCTTACTCAGTAGAAAGGCCGGATTGGGTTTCCTTGCAGCATATTATAAGCAGTCCTGCTGGGACCGTACACACATTCTGATACCTCGGGTAAAGTCTACTGGGAGACAGGCAGAGTGCTTACCACTTATACTGCAACTACTGCAGGAAAGTGGAATACCCCAATGATTGAAAATGTCACTTTATATGGGGATGGGGGCCTGGAAACTGCACCAATGTCAAATAATTAAAATTGAGAGTTTCTCAAGGTGGCTTTTCCAAGTTTGAACATTTACGTAGACTGAGGATTAATTCAGCCCCCACAATGTGATGGGAGTTTCAATCTAATGAGACTAATCAGCTCGTTGCTGCATTGTGAGAGGGGTACATACTTCCTCTCATAACATATATATACAGATAATGTATAACGCAGGGCTACACTAAGTGTTTGTAACGCAGAAGATTCCTTTTTTAAAAATGTATTAGCCAAAAAGGTCAAATACAGTGACCGTGTCTAGTTCATACTACCCAACTGTCATAGATATGGCAGTGCAGTCCTGATTTGAAATCATTGTCCCGGTTTTCTGTGAAATCTCTTTACTATTCCATCACTTCGGAACCACCAGCAGAATCAAAAGAAATCTCACTACAGAATGCAAACGCTTGTAATTATTTGAGGCACTCCTGTTACAGCGATAGCAGGGGGATTTTGTTTTAAATATACGCTTTATGGGCCAGCATTAGAACACCGTTGACGAAATAACAAATAATGTAAAAAAAATTATATTAAAAAAACAAAAACATCTTAGCTATATGAGGCACTCACAAATTCTAGACACAAGAAGGAGTTTATTTTTGTTTGTTTTTTGTACTTTTCTCAAACTGCGCTAATTATAAATTATTCTAAATGATCATCAAACCTTTCTCGTTCATGACATGTTGCAGAAAAAGTTAAACAAACTAACAAACAAGTTCTGGTCTTGAAGAGGTTAATAGAATATGTCCTCCCAAAGATTAAATAGCCAATGACCAACATTAATAAATATTAAAGTGTTACTTTGTACTGAATCAGACAAACAATCCATTATTTAATCTTACGCAGAAGTTGATCAGAGAGTGGAAGTGTAGCGGGGCGGTAAAATACATAAATAAATAAATAGACAAGATTGCGATTGGCGGGGATTTTAAATGTGCAAGTGATTCTTTGGTTTGTACTTGTTTGAGTCATGGCATTTCAGATCCTGCCCAAAAGGTCAATGTTTCCATTCATCGCCTGCTGAGAATGTCACAGCTTATTATTGTGTGCGAAAATCCTCGCTGAGCACGCCTAGTGTGTATTTGCTATGCAATGATTTGTGTCCTTAACACCTTCATGTAGGTCCACTTCTGTCAATTTGAATTCTTTGTAAGCTCTTTGATGCCATCATGTGGTGCTAATAGGAATGACCACTTGCTATTTGCAAAAACCCTGTGTGTATCCAACTTTCTCTTGAATTGTCAGTAGAAGTGCAGTTTAATTTGTCAAGGCATTAATACTCAGTATGTTTTAACATATATGTGAACCGTATCTTGGAATTTAGAGATTTATTCTGGAATTTAGAGATTCACTTATCTATACTCCGAAATGTGTTTCCTTTCTATTTTACATATATAGAGATAAATTGCTTTCCAATAATATTTTTCACTTTATCATTCTCCTGCCTGAGGTTGCTGCTGTAAGGTGTCAAGATCACCAATGTTTTCCTGGACCTACATCAATTCTATATTCTGTTTAGAGATTCATGAAAATTGCTAGTGTGCTATTTGTCAAATTCATATTCTTCAGGATGTTAGTCACTTACATGCTCAAGGGAGAGTCACAAAGAAACTGTCTTGACTAGTAAATGTATGTTTAAGACTAGAGGGCAGCCCTCTTCATGATCTGCCAATCAGAAGTACAAGTGATATGGGTGATGTTTTATACAATAATATAGTTTGATCTTTGATGAGTTTCTAAACCCAGATTTTTGTGTGTGTGGCTGTTGTAGATACAAGACAAGTTCAGACGTCACCCTCTTGGTCGTACGATCAGTCTTATCAATACCTGGGATCATCGCAACGCCATCTGTGCACCCGGCTACACCTATCTCCCCAGGACGCGCCAGTGGAATGTCATCGCTCAGCGCGGAGCTGTCCAGCCGCCTGTCAGGTAAGATCCTCAATAAGCAATATATAAACAAGTACCTTTGAAATGATCAGAGACAGAATGTGTGCCTCTACCTTATAACGATTCCTGGACATGTGTTATATCTAATGGCCTAATAAGAGCAGGGGTAGTCACATGGTCTAGTGATTTTGTACTTGCCATTAATTTAAATTGCATTTTAAGTTTATTATGGCGATATGTGACTTGTAATGGGTACCCTGCTTTTATGCTGCACAGTGACTCCTGCAGGTAGGTACACTCACTAATGTAATAAGGAGATTTTGCCTTGTTATTGCTGTGATTGTTATAAAATTATTAACACAAAACATGTAAAAACTATTTTAATAGTTCAAAATGTGAGGTCTGTCTGATACATTGTTTACTCTGTGATATAGATTCTCTGTAGCATCTGTTCAAACGACAGGGTGGCAGGTTCTGTTCCTTGCAGGGCTAACTTACCCCTATATCCTTCCAATATCAATAAAATTAATTGATCTCGTTATTTATTATATCAAAGCCATTTCCTATAACCAGGAATAATGCATTCAGATATCTCTTGTTTGAGAATGTGGTCTAGGGATTGGATGTTATCATTACCCAACTTAATATTAATTGTTTCATTGACCTTGTAAGGATCAAAGGCTGAGTCAGAGCTTACAATCCAGTGGTTTCTATTGACTTTTTTTAGCTGATGCCCTAAACAGATGAGCTATTCAACTACCAGTAGTAAAAGTGGCAACAATTTTAACAGTGCTATACAAAGCGTTCGCGAGACAAACACCAGTAAGTTGCACAACGTAAGTTTGACACACAGAAAACTACAGAAATGAGATCTGTAAACTGTATATGACTTTAGTAGAGTTAAAAAGAAGGCCGGAATTGATGGAGACCAAAGGGGATTGTGATAGGGGAAAGCTGTTAAATGGTTAGTTAATATGCCTTTCTTATAAGGTTCATTTTTAAGGCAAAGTCTAATTAAAATTATCAGTAACCTAGGTTATAGCAGTTTTGGTGGAGTGTTTAGACTGGAAGCCGTAATCGAGAAAGTCAACGTGGAAGTTAGATCTAACGTAGTTGGTTAGTCTAGTGTCTACAACCTGCTCAGAAGTGACACGAATCAGTAATTGGATGGCGAATCTGCATCAAGTCAAAGTTTGTGTGTAGAATGTTTTTAAAGGTGAGAGAGACACTAGAGAGAAATTGCACATACACTCCAGTCTATCCCTTCTGGTAAATTCCTTTGATTGCTCAGTACATACTTGTAGAAATCATTGAGAATTCTGCTGAAAGCCTGGTATTTTCTCTGTACTAATCTCTTGACCTTTTTCTGTGACATGTTTACTGTATGTACATGAAGACTGCAGAGTGGCATGGTCCAGTGTTAAGTTGACAATTCCATAGATAAAGAGCGGGCTTTCCTTTTGGGATCGCTATGGTTATACATTTATCATTTTTCCCAGTTTCACCTATAACCTGCAGATATTGAACATGCTCCATTATTTGCATTGTGATTATGAGTAAACTTGTGTTCATCTTAACCCCTGTAGGAAAAAATACTGACTAATTCTTACATTTAAAAAAAAATCACCTTTAAAGGGATTCTATAGTGCCAGAAAAACAAACCTGTTTTCCTGGCACTGTAGAATTCTACAGTGCCCCCCTCCCGCGCGGCTGAAGGAGTTTAAACCTCTTCAGTCACTTACCTGAATCCAGCGCTGATGTCCCTCGGCGCTGGATTCAGGTCAGTCGGCGGGGGAGACCTAATGCGCATGCTCGGCACTGGCCTCACTCGCATTAATAATGCTTTCCTATGAGGAAACACTGATGCTCTAGGTCCTCATGCAGAGCATGAGGACATCTAGCATCAGATAGACAGCCACTAGTGGAGGAGTTAACCCTCAGAGGTAAATATTGTAGTTTCTCAAAAACTGCAATAGTTACCACTGTAGGGTTAAGGGACATCGAACATTGCACCAAGACCACCTCAATGAGCTGAAGTGGTCTGGGTGCCTACAGTGTCCCTTAAACAGCTCCTACAACAGAGTTTTAATGTGCCACTCATTTAATGGTGTCAAAGCTGTATAGATCTCCAGAGTTAATTCCATACTGGCGCAGGATCTACAGAGATCAGATTGTGATGACAGCATGAGATTGAGATATCATTGATCCTTTAGAAGGTAGACCGGTGACATCATACAAATTGTTGCTAGAGTCTGCAAAGATCTTAAAAAGTTGGAGACCAAAAATAAATATATTGAAAGATCTAATTTAAATAAGCATGAAATAAAAATACTAAAAGATCTTTATAATGATGAATCTATTGTCATTAAACCTGCCGACAAGGGAGGAGGCTTGGTCATATTATCAAAGGACCAATATGAAAATGAGGCCTATAAACAACTAAATGATGTTAATACGTACACAAAACTCAGTAATAATCCCACACCAGAGATGATATTAAAGCTTCAAATGTATCTAGAAGAGGGAAAGAGATCTGGTATCCTAAATAAAAATGAACTCATATATATTAACATACAACACCCCCGTATTCCGGTTATTTATTTTCTCCCCAAGATCCATAAAAGTCTAATCAACCCCCCCGGCAGACCTATAGTGTCCGGGATCGGATCTTTATTTTCAAACCTGTCTGAGTATATTGATATCCTATTACAACCATATGTTGTAAGAACCAAATCCTACTTAAAGGACTCCATTGATCTATTAAACAAACTCAAGAATATTCAATGGGAGAACGATTTTCTACTCATCACTTGTGACGTCCAGTCCTTATACACTATTATTAAACACCACCAAGGATGCACAGCAGTAAGAACGATGTTAGAAAAAGAAAAAATAATGCCACAGGATCAAATAGAGTTTCTAATCAAAGGGATAGATTTAATCCTCAGTAACAATTATTTCTGGTTCAAAGACAGTTTTTATTTACAAAAAACGGGCACAGCTATGGGCACCAGGTTTGCGCCCAGCTATGCTAACCTCTATATGGCGGAATGGGAAGACAGATATATCTGGAGTGAGCATGGCTGGGCAAAAAACCTGGTGTCCTATTCAAGATACATCGACGACCTCCTCTTCATATGGAAAGGAAGTTCTACCGAAGCTAATAAATTCATTTCCTTTTTAAACACTAACCAAGAAGGTATAATTTTAACTTCAGAAATTAGTGACTCCCATATCACATATTTAGACCTAAATATTTATATAAAAAACAACACAATTCATACTAAAACTCACTTCAAACAAGTTCATGTCAATAATTACATCGATACTAAAAGCTGCCATAATAAAGTATGGCTTGACAGCATCCCAAAAAGCCAAATGCTAAGATTAAGAAGAAACTGTACAGAAACCCCAGTTTTTAAACAGCAAGCAGAAACAATAAAAGAAAGTTTTTTAAAAAAAGGATACAATAAAACCACTATCCAATCCACTTTTAATCAAGCTTTGTCTATTAACCAAAAAGACCTACTAACCAAGAAGAGAAATCTAAAACAAAATATTTCATTACCTGTCATACTAGACTACAACAACAAAAACAAAGAATTAAAAAAGATTATTAACAAACATTGGAATTTACTAAAGGAAGATACTATTCTTAAAAATTTAATACCAGAGAGACCAAAAATAGTTTTTAGGGGAGCGCCCAACTTAAGGATGCATCTTACAAAAAATTACACAAAACCCGAAAAAGAAAAAAATATAGGGACTAGTTTTTTAAACAAAATAAAAGGTTTCTATAAGTGCAACATGTGTATTGCATGTAAAAAAACTAAATCTACATCTAGACTAAGATCGAATTTTAAATCAAACAATAACGGCAAGTCCTATAACATAAAAGAAATAATTACATGCAACAGTAAAAGCGTTATATATTTATTGGAATGCCCTTGCGGCCTACAATATATAGGACGGACTATTAGACCTTTAAAAACTCGTATTGCTGAGCATTGTAGAAACATAGAAAAAGGTTTTAAAAATCATTCTGTCTCATCCCATTTCTGTATCCATGACTATGACCCCAAAAATCTCACCTTCACTGGTATTGCTATTGTCAAATCACACTGGAGAGGAGGTGATTATATTAAAAAAATAGGACGTACAGAGATGGAATGGGTTTACAATATGAATACCCTACATCCAGATGGTTTAAATATAGAATTTGATTTATTTAATTTTTTATAAACACCATTTTTTTTTTTTTTTTTCCATCTTATACCATCCTATTTCTTTCTTATTCACCCCATTTCTTTATTATTTTACTGTATTCATATTTATCTTTATATTTATCTCATATTTTTCATATATATACATATGTGTTTTAAATTTGATTTTATATTTATACACTTATTTATATGTGTCTATCCCTATATGTTTTTACCATTTTTTTACCATTTTTTTACAATTCCTTGCTACCTATATATGTACATTTGTCTATACATGTACATAATAGGACCATCCATTTATTCATTCTACTTATTTATTTATTTTTTATACATCCACCCCTTTTACAACAAATTGGACTTAAAAAATGAATGATGGACATTGTATGTATTATTGGAAGCTCAAGACTGCCTCCACAAAAAGGATGCTATGTACCCTATACATCTTTATGCCTACATCAAAGAAGAGGGAGGGGAAGAAAGGAATAAGAAAAGGAGAAAGAAAAAAAGAGAAAAAATATCTTGTTGCCTCCATACACATCTTTAATTTTCAATTGATGGGACACTCTTCTGCAACACTAGATGTTTGAACTACCTGGCTAAAAGAATTTTTATGAACTTTCTATTTCTCTTTTATAAATTAAGGAAGAAAAGCTCATTTGCTATTTTAATCCATATGTTTTGCTTTTGTTTATGTATTACTCCCCCTTTTTTATGTGATAGATTATGTGATAGATTATGTTTGCGGCAGCTATGCGTTCCATGCTGGAACGCATGATTTATACTTTCCGCCCACGTGGGCGCCGCGTCATTTCCGGTGCGACGCGTGCGCTTCATAGTGGATGTAGACCTACACGTTTACGCCGCGCCGCTTCCGGTCCTGACTTGTGCGCCCACGCTGGCCGCGCCGCTTTTGTTTATGATGCGTGCGTTCCACGCTGGTTTGCCTACACCCACGTGGACGCCGCACTACTTCCGGCTTTCGCCTATGCGCGGTTTTTTGCCGAGGCACACCTGAAAGACAGCAATTATCATTTTACTCATGTAAGTTATGTATTTATAGGAAGTTTTGGATGTATGTTTTTTACACTTCTGATGAAGCCATTGGCGAAACGCGTTAAGTGTTATCTTTTATAGCATTATATTTTATTAGAAATACTATTAAATATATCTTTTACGTTATATTCTATTTTATTTCATCTGTATCATCCACTTCCTGACCTACATATCCTTCAGTGGGGATTATACCACTGTAAGCCTTATACACTAGAGCAAGTTGTCTGCTCTAGCAAATGTGAGTATATTACTTTTATTTATTTATTCATATTTGGAGTTGGAACTATTACACTATTGGAGTTTCCCTTCTTTTTCCATTTTGATTTGTGCCACCATACCATTGGAGTGCCAAGACGTTGGACCTTTTATCCTTCAGTGGGGATTATACCACTGTAAGCCTTATACACTAGAGCAAGTTGTCTGCTCTAGCAAATGTGAGTATATTACTTTTATTTATTTATTCATATTTGGAGTTGGAACTATTACACTATTGGAGTTTCCCTTCTTTTTCCATTTTGATTTGTGCCACCATACCATTGGAGTGCCAAGACGTTGGACCTTTTATCCTAAGACGGGGATTGTACCGTCCAGGCCAATTACGGTAGAGCTCCTATAATAGCTCCACCATATGTGAGTTCAAAATACCTCCGCTTTATTTATTATCTTTTTCAATATTGTTAAACATACCACACTATTGTATATTCTCTTTTTGTGTTCTTTTTTTGAGGATATACTTACAACCATCAAGAGACATCAAGTGTATGTATATAGAATTTATGTAAGGCGCGGTTTCCTCCCTTCTTCTTTCTATACAAATTGTAGTTTGCAAGATTATAAGGCAGGTAACGCTGAAAATGTAACAATATGGGTGTCACTGAGCTGTAAATCTCACACTTCCTATCCACTAGTAGCTGGTGCCGGCTGAGGGTAATGGATGCTGGCTTCCAAGATCACCTGCCTCTTTTACCTGCCTTTGTAGTAAGCACTGGCGGTGGGTTCCCTATTAACCCTTTGAGTGCAAGGGAGCATTCTGGCATGGAATAGAGTTAAATCTGAGCTTTGGAGACACAATGGAAGCATTGTTCATTTTCTTAGCGATTTCAAGACTCCCTTTCCCATGGATAACTGTACTGTGGATTTTAGTAAACAGTGCAAGACCAGACTTCCCATTGAACGCTACACCAGAAAGCAGTGATCGCTTGCTTTTCAGACAGACGCCACACCTTGTCTGAGCAGACGTTCATACCTACGGGCTTGTTTGTTTTGCGTTAATTGTACTGTATGTTGCTGCCAAGATACGGTCTGACATGGTGCATTCATTTGTGTCATGCTGATGAGCCCCTTAAGTGGGACATTACCTGTTCAAGTAATTTAACCCTCTCTGGTTCCTGTCTAGGTCACTGTAATTGTCTTCTCATCCTTTTTGGCAGTGTCAAGGTTAACTGGCTCTTTATTTTTTTAAACTGACTCTTGTCATCTCCATTGTGTCTCCTTTAACTTATCACATTCAGTGAAAAATAAACTTTTTTTTCTTTCTGCTTAAAAATAAATCGTTTTCTTAAATGTCTTTGAGTTATTCTGTTGATTTACGCCAGTCTACTATGGGGGGGTGGGGGGGAAATCAAGGATTCCTGAATAAACTGGCACTTGCTTTCTACGCTGAAAGAAAAATGATAGTCTTGTGTTGAGAGATCATTATATGTTTGTGAGCAGACTGGAGATACAGTTTGAACATTTTTTGATCTTATCTCACGATGTTACTGTAGGCAAAATATCGCATTATCTGTCACAAATACTTCTTTATATTATATTATGTTTTTGTCTGATGCATTCATGTATGACTCCACTGTTATAGAATCCTCATATTACATGATTTACTACTAGACATCCTGCAGCGTAGAATGTGACGCTGTACAGGCATTCCTACATTGGAATAGCTTGCACATTGTCTAGTTTGGGTGCTAGCAAGCTGTAAAGATGTTATGGAGTGGTATTTTGTAACTTGTAAGGAACGTTAAGTGACACGTCTTTTATATAGTTTTAGAGAAATTATTCTTGTAGGTCTTTTGCTGAATATATGTATTTTTTTAAATACTTTTTTAATTAAATGGACTCCATCGCATAAACAGTATGAATGTAGGACTGGTACCATGACCCCATTAGAAATATTGTGCCAAAATATAAAATAAATAAAAATAGCTGTTTAGTAGATATATCCCCAATGAAAGCATACGTGCATCTAAATATGCATTTTTTTCATTAGGGGTCATATCTAAAAACAGGCTTGTAAAACCTGCAGTTATCTTGTCTGCTGCTTTTGCAAGCCCTCCCCTTCTAACCCGACCCAGACTTTCTATTACTGTCCAATCATAGAATTCCCAATGCAGTTCAATGAGAAGTCTTTGCAAGGTAGATGCCCTGGGCAATTGCTGCCTCTTGAGTTTAGCTCCACTGAGCTAACCAAACCAGGAAGTAACAGGACCCGTTGTCTGCATAAAACCCTGGGGGTGTTACCTGGTAAATTCATAAAAGTGTCAGTTCTAATTAAATCTGTACTTCTTACAAAATGAAAAAAGAGGACACACTCTTCACACATAAAACTTTTATGAAAGCTAAAGTGCTTTAGGGGTCTGGAGTGTCCCTTTAACCCCTTAAAGGAACACTATAGTCACCTAAGTTATTTTAGCTAAATAAAGCAGTTTCAGTGTATAGATCATTCCCCTGCAATTTCACTGCTCAATTCATTGTCATTTAGGAGTTAAATCACTTTGTTTTTGTTTATGCAGCCGTAGCCACACCTCCCCTGGCTTTGATTGACAGAGCCTGCATGAAAAAAAAACTGGTTTCACTTTAAAACAGATGTAATTTACCTTAAATAATTGTATCTCAATCTCTAAATTAAACTTTAATCACATACAGGAGGCTCTTGCAGGGTCTAGCAAGCTATTAACATAGCAGGGGATAAGAAAAATCTTAATTAAACAGAACTTGCAATAAAGAAAGTCTAAATAGGGCTCTCTTTACAGGAAGTGTTTATGGAAGGCTGTTCAAGTCACATGCAGGGAGGTGTGACTAGGGTTCATAAACAAAGGGATTTAACTCCTAAATGGCAGAGGATTGAGCAGTGAGGCTGCAGGAGCATGTTCTATACACCAAAACTGCTTCATTAAGCTAAAGTTGTTCAGGTGACTATAGTGTCCCTTTAAGGACACGTGACATGTCATGATTCCCTTTTATTTTAGAAGTTTGGTCCTTAAGGGGTTAAGGGAGTTGTGTTCATTAGATAGTCTCTTATTTGGTATTCTTAGGGCAATTCTACATAAGCATATCAAATAAGGGAGTTAAGTAAAAAGCAGCTGTAAGATAACATTTAAGATAAGTCACTAGGGTTGACAATATTTAACGAGACAACATTAGGGAGCTGTTCAGTAGTTGGATCCCCAATTTGGTCCTCCTAGATGGGATTTTTAAAGATATGAAATAAGTAAGATGCCGCTGCAACCCACGACATAGATCAGCATTTAATTATTTCGAATGGAATTCCAAAATGAAAAAAAATATAATTATATATAATAGTTAATAGTCTGGTGAAGATTCAGATTTGCAAATGTCTCCACTGGGTTATATGTTGGCTACTTACTGTCTGCAAAGCAGGGGAAGGTGGTCTGAATAGTTTTCTACGTAGAGAGAAATACTGGTTTGTTGGGAGCTCCCCTTGGCACTTAAATTAAAAAAAATTAAAAAAAACAGGTCTGTGTGCATTGTTAGGTCATCAAAGCATGATGTTATCTTAAACCTCTTTGTGGCAAAGGTCTAGGCAAGTCCCATTGTCGTGATGCTCCTGACATGACATTTCTTACGAAGGGGTTAAAACCTAGTCTGTATCGGGTTCTCTGAGGACTGTGAACCACAACGTTAAGGAAAAGAGTGTTTATTAATTCCTAGACACAAACTATCACCAGCTTTTCATGCAACTGTTTTTTGAGTCTGAAATCGTTATCACATAGCACATTATATAGTCAGTTGTTGTCAGCTGTATAAAAAGGGACTTTTTGTCTGACACAAGGAGCAATGAATGAAAGGTTTGAAGCTTTTAACGGCCTCCACATTCCCTGATAATCAGCAGATTAATTTTCTCCAGAAAATGCATTTTGTTTTTATAGCATTTGGAGAACAGACAATATTCAGGCTTGTGGGAGTCGAGAATGTTTTCTCAAAGCCAAGAAAATTACGGAATCTGTACAGCTTGGGGCTCAATATTCTACAAAAGAGTTATATTATTTACTATTCCATCTCTTATACAAGTATCATTTTTACCATGTAGTTATTGCTCAGTCTATTCTACAGACATGGCCAATACAAGTTGATGTTTGGTTAGTCTTCCAGATCCGGGTCCTGGTTAAAGTAGGGATTTGACTAAGATGCCAATGGCTCATTAGCCATTATCCTTAGAGTCTATTCTTTAAAATAAAACAATCATGCCTTCTCTTATAATAAATAAAAGCAAATAAAAGCACCAGTTCATACATTTATTGCAGAATTCAACCCCAAATCAAATACTGGCTTAAACTTTTGTGCAATAGAGGATCCTGCCTAAATCTCATATATTAACTAGATTCTCATACCATAAATTATAATTAATCTATATAGATTATTGCATCTAGCCGTGTGACCAGTTATTTTACCATAATATCGCATATCTCACGTTTTCTCATTTGGAAAAAAAATGCAATTTGTTCTCCTTGCTATGTCAACTGATTCCATATAATATATTTGGACCCCATTTTCCCTCTCCCTTTATGATTTTGTCACTTAGTATCCTTTCTATACATAGTATATTGGCCTATTCGCTGTGTAACATCTCAGCTATTAATAGGAATTTAAAATACAGTATTATTTTATAACTAGTGGCTAGAAGAATTATTTGATAGTAAGATCTCTGTGATCAGAACACTTTTCTCCTTCCTAAGTAGTTTAACACTCGCAGACATGATACCAAGAATAGGAATTCATGGATTCAAACTCAGGTTTATTATTTACATTCATTTCTTGGGATTAATGTGACAATATCGTAAAGTTTGTTTTATTCTCAATTAATATTTCATATGTTTAACTGTTATGTTTTAACTCTAATTTTCTTTCTTCTTTTTTTGCCCCACAGGAGCCTCTGACCTTACAGCATTTAGCGACCCTCGAGTTGGGATTGATCGTCAGTTTTCAGCACTTCCTTCAATATCAGATCCACGTATGCACTACCCGGGGGCCTTTACATATACCCCAACTCCAGTCTCTTCAGGAATAGGAATTGGTATGTCCGCAATGACTTCCGCCACAAGATACCATACCTACTTACCACCTCCATATCCAGGATCATCTCAGGCTCAAGGCGGTCCTTTTCAGACCAGTTCACCCTCCTATCATCTGTATTATGGAACATCAGCTGGATCGTACCAGTTCTCCATGATGTCGGGGGGAGACAGATCACCACCTCGTATTCTTCCACCTTGCACTAATGCCTCGACAGGGTCCACTCTCTTGAACCCCAACCTTCCAAACCAAAGTGATGTAGTAGAGACTGAGGGAAGCCACAGCAATTCTCCAACCAACATGGGTACCACACCGAGGTTGGAAGAAGCAGTATGGCGACCATACTGAGAAGGACTGAGTCTGGAAGTCTTATGAAGTCCAAAAGTGAATTCACTTCATTTCATGGACAAATTGGTTTACATGGCTGCTGGAAGATATGTTGATGAAACTGATTACTTCTGGCTTAACAATGCTGTGAAATCACAAAATGAAGAGAAGAGAAATGATTTCATACACTTGTCTTTTCCAAGTAATATATGTTTCAGGACTTCAAATTTTAAAGATGGAGTCGGGGAAAACATGTTTTCACGTCTAACTTTTTATTTGCGTTTCTGGAGGAATTCTCAATCTGTACAAGGAGACCAAGAGGACCTTGTAACTGAAACTTTAAATTAAATTATTTAAACATTTCGTAGCATCGATATAAATCATGGAGCTTGTGAACCAATCATCTACTGTAAACCAGTTTATATTGAGTTACATTTTGGCTGTTGTATTAAAATACAGTAAAATACAGTTTGCCTTGGACGTAACTTTTGTAAATTTTTTTTAAAAAAAACTCAGAAAGGTTGCCCCTGTCTACTGGCACCTTAGGCTTATTATTTGCTTTTCCTACTGCTTTCTGATATAAATTGCCCTCATTTTTTTTACATAAACGTTGTAGCTTTTTATGTTGATTTCAGTACTCCTCAATGACTGTTGTTATATGAACTGCAGAGCCCCATCTGGGATTTTTTTTTTTTTTAATTTATTTTTTTTTGTGTGTAATATTTGGGGCACTTGTTGAGGATGCTTGTGTTGTCTCTTTTATACATGAACATTGTTTACAATTTAATGTTTTTGGATAATTTGTCCAGAAAATCTACTATGTTTTCCAAAATGTCTTGCCAAGTCTGCAGATTATTAATCTGTTACAAGTAACCTGTGATAATATAATGTTGTGCATAGGTTATCGGTGTATTTTGCTCAGCCAACCAAATAACAGTGATGGTGATCCTTGCCTGGTACCAAGATCCCAGTGTGTTTAATGCATACTCTCAGCTCTCTTTAGTTGAAAAAAAATAATCATTTTTTAAAGTCTTATTTAAATATTAAATTTTTATTGTCCTCCGCTAAGATCACATGAATAAAATAGATCATGGAGTTTAAAGTCCCCAGATTGTACGATGTGAAGTTACTTTTCTCTGTTTAGAAAGAAATTTCACCTTTACTTCGATCGAGTTGTCCGTAAGCCTCATACATATATGAATTTTTGGGCAAGCCTCACTCTATTTCGAAACATCTAATTTGCCATCTTTTCTTCTGGCGTAAGGGTAATGTTGGCTGGTGAACTAGTGAGGCTATGGAGGAGAAAAATGACTACACCTATAGTGGCACAGACTGCTCTTTATTGGTGCATATCTAACTCAACATTGTTGTTATACACATTGGTGCAAGATGCGATATCAGGTCACCACCGTGCTTTCTAATATAACATAGCTATCTGGACAACTGCTGCTCAAACTACATTGCTTGCTGTTGTTATTGCTCTGTCTGAAACTGCAGTAGCTGGCAAGTTCGGATGAGCAGCAGTTCGTCAGATAATAGTCGAGTCTGACCCAGCATGGCTCCACAGACAGATTAAAAAAAGTGAACTTTTCTCCCCCCCCCAAAAAACATATACATGATTTAGAAAAATATCATTATGTTTCATTAAATGTAATAAACCTTTAAAAAATGAGAAGTGACAATTTGATGACAGTTGCATTTAAGTTAAATGAAAAAGTTGCAAAGACAATAAAGTATCCAGACTTTCATAGGAAATAGGTATTCATTGCTGGGTCGCCGGACCTTGTATTTGAAGAAATCCTTCCAGATTCATATTTATCTGTCTGTAGTAAATCTGAATCTCTGTATAATCCAAAGCAGCAACAATTATTCCTGCATTACCCCTGTAGCCGGATCCTACATTTAAGAATAGCAGTCATTGGGGGTATTTATTAACATGGGATCAGTATTAAGAGAAGGTTTGTCTGTGATTATAGAATGTTTATACCCGTTACGGAACCCAATGTAATTGAGTATATGTTGTGCATATGCTAAAAGTACTGGACATATCTTTCCATTCTATCATACTTTTTACGATAGTTTAATACTTTGCTTCATACTGCGGAGGCATAGGTTTTGCACACCTTTGAATGTGGGATTCTGATATAGAAACTCCTGGACTTGATAGCTCAATATTAGTTCTGTGGAACATCTAGTGTGGTGTGTATCTATATCCACACCTAGCTATAACCTGTCTGTTCTTGTCCCTTGTCTACATACTATCACTTTTCACTTGTGTATTGTTGCATACTCACAGATGATATTCACCCTGATAGGTCTCACCTTGCCCAGTCAAAACTTAGTAAGTAGGAGACAAGAAACCAGGCTATTAACGCACTGATGTTTCCAGAGTATGGGAGAGAAAACCAGTCAATTGCCATAGCAGTTTTGCCTGAGTTAATGTGAGGTCTTTGGGGTCTTGATCTTTCAATATTTCCAAAGTACGGAACAGAGTTCCAGCCCAATAAACCACCAAATATCTCAAAGTAAAGACAAAAGGTCAATTGTCCACCACTGTTCTCAGATAAAGGATGATGGTCCCAATTTACCAATGATCCCAGACTTAAGGCCAATAAATAAGCAATACTCTTGGAACAAGGTTCAAACTTAAGTTCCACTAATTTACCAAAATTCCAAGATGGCCAACCCCTAATGGTCCACTAATATTCACAAAGTAAGAGTGAGAACACAGAGCCACTTGTCCTTGAATTTTCTCAGAGTAAAATGTAGGTCTTTCAGCTACTGTTCCACCAATGTTGCCAGCGCAAAATATAAGATTCTTGGCCATTGACCCACCCATATTCTCAGAGTAAAATGTAAGACTGCTGCCCACTTTTCTATCAATATCCCCATAATATGAACAAGGACACTAATCCATCAGTAATCCCAGTGTAAGACCAGGGACAATGGACCAGTGATTTACCAGTATGCACAGAGTAATAGTGAAGAAACCAGGACTACGAACCACAACTATTCTCAGAGTAAAGAGCATGGTCTCTGAGCCTCTGGTACACCAATATTGCTAGAGCAAAGGATATTACTAGTTATACATTATTTTTAAAGTGTCAAAGATCATTTTTGACTCATTAATATTATGCAAAAAGCAGAGTGTGACTGAGTGTGATATAATTTTTACAACTTGTAATATAGACGTGTTCAGTTGCCTTGAACTGACATGGAACAAACTATGATGGCAAATGTTACTAACATGAAACAAACTATTTGCAACTCTAGTCACTAGATGTGGTTGAATGTTAGCCCTTTTGGTTTCTATCTCATACACGCTATATCACGTCATATAAAAAAGTGGCTTCTTCACGAAACGGTGAATACTGGTGGATTGAAAACCGAATTACAAAGTTTAGGTCAGACAAAGCTTGTTATAAAAAGATAAATTAGACATTTTTGCAATGCAACTGTTTTTCCTTAAATTTCAGAAGCTGGATTTCGATTCACCACAACTCAGTGTTTAAAGGGACACTATAGTCACCTGAACAACTTCTGCTTAATGAGGTTGTTCAGGTGAGAACTATAGCTCCCTGTAGCCTTTCTCGTGTAAACACTGTATTTTCTAAGACATTGAAAGCTAGGAACCTCTCCAGTTGCAGTCACTCAGAGTGATCCAGAGGGACTTCTGAGTTGATGGGGTCTCCAACCCCACGTTTTATGAATGCCAGAATCAAGATGACACCATGTTTGTAGAAATTGTGCGTTTTCATATCTCATTGATCTTAAAGGAGCACTGTCGCTTAGCTTATGTATAATAAATATATACATGAGAAAATGAACCATGATCTATGCATTGAGCTAGCTTCAAGTTACGCTACCAAGATTGCACCAAACCTTGTATGCAAATTAATTGAAGTTTGTTTCCGTATGAAGCTGCATGGTGATTTTTCAAAGAGGTCTGCGGCTATACATTTTCTACAATGTTAATTCTTAATTCATACATTATTCTACAGGTACAATATATACATGATGTTTTGTTGTTTTTCTGTTGTTTGATTTTAATATTTCTTATGCATGTTTAAAAGCTGTTGACACTTTGCCATTAAGCCATACAGTGTGTCAAATGTGTAATTTAAAAACATTATTATTAATGCAGCCCCTTTGGTGCTCAAAGACATTTCTTTCCTTGGCACAGAAGGGGTTAAATAATGTAGGTTATTTCATTCCACTGAGTGTAAAATGAGATTGCATATGCAACGGAAGAGATTTGTTTGCTTGGATGCAGTGGTAACATACAAATATATAGATTGCTTGTGTGCATTTATGTTTGTTTAAATATGTAAAAAAAAAATGTTTATTTAATGTGCTTTTAAAAATATTGCTGGTCAACTCAGAAGACTATTTGAAAGCAGGGCTTCAAATCAGTGTTTGATATAAAAACAACTTTAAAAAAAATTAACAAAAATAAAAAAAAAATTCCCAGCTGCAGGCAGCTCAGCATTTGGACTTATTTAACATTGTTTTCCATTTTGATTTTTTTTTACAGTATATATATAAATAAATATATAGATATATAAATATATTTTTGGCTTATTTGCACTTTTCCAATGCAGAAGCACTTTGGTTGGAAAAGTGTAGAATTAAAACATTTCAATGGATTCTGGAAACAAAATTAAAAAAAAAAAAAATTTCTTTAATCTTAATCTATATTTAAACTTGTTAGTTGGAGCTGCCTGGCAGCTTGCTATCTTGAAAATGTGTCTTCATCGGCAAGGAAATAGTTTGAAATATAACTCCTTAATCCCTTATGGACCAAACTTCTGGAATAAAAGGGAATCGTGACATGTCACACATGTCATGTGTCCTTAAGGGGTTAAATGAAGCATTCTTAATATCTCTAACAGGCTTAATATACGTAGTCTGCTAGTAATATAACTTCCCTGGTTTCCACTTCTTTTGTCATATATTGTTTGTCACCACTAGAGGTCAGCAGCATACCAGTTTTTATAAATTCGAGATGATGCTAAATTCTACTACTGTTACAATCCTCATATAGACCACTCGAGAACAGATGCATCTCCTGCACTTTTCAATGTTTTAGTTGTAAAACATTTTTTGAATTTTTTTTTTTAAGCGATCAGTGCTTACAAAACATTTGTATCGCATTACTTCATTATTGCCTTTCCAGTGCTATGGAGGAGATGTCTTTTTTTTTTTTTTTTTTTTTTCTAGTGCTGCCTCTTCAGGGGTTCATAACGGGCCAAAAACAACATTTCAGTTTCTGTTGTGAAATCCTCCATTTCTAAATTATTTCCAGAAATAAAATGTAAATGACATAGTTTTAACCAATTGTCTTCCAGTCCACTCAAATATTGACTAACTCAGTCCAGGCTTTATGTTAACAGTCTCTCCCTCTCTATATACATATAGACTCTTTAACCCTTTTAATGCCACGGGTAACAACGGTCTAATAGCATTGGGGGTGGGCTTTACTGTCCTTTAAAAAAAAAAAAAAAAGGCAAAATATTGGCACCTTTAACCTCCCACACCTGTTCCCATAAACAAAGATAAGTTTTTCTTTGATATTGTCCTGCGCTGACGAACGATAATATATCGATGTCTTCAGTGTTTGCTGCTCTGTGGCCTTTAAGGGGTATTCCCTTAAAGATTGATTTTTCATCTCTAAAATTATTTTTTAAAATGACTAATTTATAAAATCTATATTTTTTGGGAGAGCACTTATGAACTTCAGTGATGGATAATTCACCTTTAAAGAGAGCATAATTCTAAAAAGTATAAAAGTTTACATTTAGGTGTGTGTCTAGGTCTTTTTTATTTTAGCAGACAATCTGTACTAAATGATATCAAGAAATAAGATTTTTTAAAAAGTCACTTAGCTTGACATTACTACAGTAACAGACAACTGGAGCCAAACAAAAGCCATATTTACATACAGCCATCCGTATTCACAAACATTTAAAACTTTTATATATAGGTGATGATCCTAAAAATATTTCCTTCTAAGAAAAATATATAAAAACTATACAAAAAAAAATACAATACAGTTTAATGTTTACCTGCGTCATCTTCATTTCTCTGGGATTGAATTGACTTTTTTTTATTTAAATTTTCTTATTTTTTGTTTATTTTTCCTTTTCTATATAATAATGGATCTCTTGTATTTATGTTAATGTAAATAGATCCCACTGCTTTCAGGCATGAGATTCTTATCGCTTTGATTAAATCGCTTTGCATTTGCAGCATTTTGTATCATTTGCCTTGTCTTACAAAAAGAAAAAAAAAAACTAACAAAAAAACACTGGTTTGTTTTGAATTTTTATTTACTGATTTTTGAAAATGCTTTTTCATTCACTTTTGTATACCGTTTAAAAAGCATGGACATTTTTATTCTTTTGTTTCCGCATAGAGGATTTTAAGAAGGATCCTGCATTGGCTGTAAACGGGTTCAATTTGCATTGAGCTAGGATGTTTCGGATGTGTAATATGTCACAATGTCCAAGTAAACATTTGTCCAAACTGAACTTGCTTTGTGGCCTCTCTGCCTCTTTTTATGACTCTCAAATGTCAAGTATTTGAACAGAGTTTTAAGAAGGATTAGATAAAGTTAAAGTGATTTTTTTTTCTCCAAATTCAGACCTGACTTCCAAATGTTTACACATTTCCTTGAAACTACAATGATTTTTTGAAGACCAATGATATTTAATGATCCGGTCTATACAGACACTACAGCTAAAGAACAGTCACAAGATTAATGCTACCTTCGTACATTGGGTCCTGTAAAAAATACAAGTGTAAGAAGCACTGCCCAAGACCAACACTTATTATTCATTGTCAGCAGACCCCCACATCCCTGCTGTCCATAAACAAATTGGACATTCCAGGCAATCATGGAATTTTTTAATGACTGTTGTACTGCAGTGGTTATGCTGGCAGGAGTCACCTGGGGCCATCTTAGGGTAAGCTGTCAATACATTACAAACAGTTTGACTCTTACCTGGCTCTGTCTGGTATACACAGTCCTTCCGGTCTAAAGAAGAAGGATCATGGACACCGTTGTGGGCCTTTGAGGACTCCTTTTAACATAACCACTGCAGTGTGCTATAGTGGATATAATGCTTAAAGCGGCACTGTCATGTCGACCTTAAAGCGGCACTGTCATGCCACAGGCTGCTCACTGTTTAGTAGACATGCCCCTACTCGCGGTATAGCGAGTAGGGGCATTGGGGAGATTTTAATCTCCCTTGTGCTATTATGGGGGTCATATTGACCCCCATAGAGTGAGGGGGGACCTGGGAGGCTTATGAAGTGGTGGGGAGCACTGCTCCCTGCCGCTTCTATAGTTACATATGACAAGGAGGGAGCTGCGTGCCGGTAGCTCCCTCCTTGTAATAAACTGAATGAACAAACGAACACTGATACACAGTGTTAGTTTGTTCATCTGAGTTTTCTATTCATTCATTCGTCTGTCTGATGAATGAATGAATAGATGAAATTCCCGTTCGCATGTCCAGGTGTTTCACTGGGCATGTGCGGGAATCTCACAGTCTATCTAGTGTGGGCAGATGACGTATCCCACAGGGACTTCCTCTACCCACACAAAGATGGCGGTGCCCTGAATAAAGATCGGGGCAGAAAATAAAGATAAAAAATAGGTAATGTGGGGGGCTTAGGGCCATTTGGGGGTGACTAGGGGGTCAATTAGAGATAGTGGAGGCGGAAGGGGGGTTAACAAAAAACAGGATTCAGCATGACAGTGCCGCTTTAAAGTGTTTCTTTAAATTAACTCTAAACGTTTTCGTTTTTTTAAATAGAAATAAAAGGTTCAAGAGAGGTTAAAATATAATAAACACAAACTCAATATCTAGCTCTAGAGTCAGTTTCCACCCAGGCCTCTTAACACATTTTAGCTTACTTATGCCATGAAATCTATACATGTAACCTATCATATTTGTTCTAACTGTAAGGGATGTCCAAAACAAATCCTAGGTTACCCCCAGATTATCTTTTAGATGTCTACTGAGACAAATGAAAGTGTGCGGAGAAGGGGATATTGAATTTATTGGCTGAGGATCTTAAGATGGGGTAACATGAAACTGGTGGCAACTTAAAGGATACATGGAATGGATGTGTGTTGCGTTTGGGAGCGTGAAATTGGTGTTTTGGGAAAGGTGATGTGAATGTAAAGGCTGGTGAGTGGACCCGAGGGAATTTACATGACGTGACTTGGGAAACTGATGCCTATGGGTCCTAGAGTTTGAAGTTACATTAATTTGCTTCTCCAATCTCTTTCTTCTGTGCTCTGACAGCCTTTGTCCTCTGTTAAGTCTTTACACTCCTGTTTCTCTTTAACCCCATAAGATCACTTTCTCTACCCCGTGACTCCAATTCTCTTGATCTATATTTGACTCCCTCTGATTCCCTCTGGGTCCTGGATAAATTATAGACCCCACAAATTTCCCTCCAATTTTGCTAAATATATGGTGGTCCCGTTTAGATACATCCTCTGGTCTCCCCTGGTGGCCCATGTGCGGCATGACTGGATTTACTCTGCGTGCTCAAAGGTAACAATAGGTTCCTAGCGATGTGATGAAAAAGGCAGCTCAGACAACCAGAATCTCTCCTTTTCTGGACATGAAAAGTTTGCACGAAGAAGGAAGTAGCGCCTTGTAAAAGTCCTCAAATACAGGTAAATGTACCGAGAAGAGAGGACAAGGAGTGGAATATAGTGTAGTATGTCACGTATTAATGGAAGAAAAAAATAAAAACATGCACTTACAGAGTAGAGTACTAATATTTAGCTCCAATTTAGTACTCCTGGGCGGTACAATACCCACCTATGGATATATGGCAAGTGTCTTGATCCAATGGAAGTTATTCCAGGAGTATGTAAAATGAACAGAAAATAGCACTAATATAATGTAGTAGATTGTGCGCCTTCCTACAACTTAGAAGAAGGGCGAGGCTGATTCTGACATAGTGGCAGCAACCTAGATTTAATATAGACTTTAATATCATTACATGCTTATCTAACTCCTGTGTGATACTTTAGCAAAAGTTTATTTGGAACACAACTGCAGAAAAATAATACATTTGATACTGTCACTTTAAGAAAGTATAATTTATTGAAATGAAGTAATTTAACTTTAGCAATCTTCTGTAGCGATATGATTTGAAAATAATAAAAGCATAAGCAACATTAAATCCTGCTTGGAATTGCCTTAACAGAGATAGCATTCAGTAGAAAAAAATAAACAAGGTAACTCCTTAGTTTGGAAAATATAATACAGTCCATTAGACATCAATTAAAGAATAGGATAAAGGCAATTCTTCTTTTAGAAGTATATCAGAGTCCTTCAGATTCTGGCAGAACCTGAATTAAATTAGGAAAGTATAATTAGCTGAAGAGTATCTGAATCCCAGAAGGCATACAAGTATTCCATTTATCCTACCTAGTAACTTTAGGTATTAGGGATGTGCATGGGTAAAATATTTGGTTCAGTTCGGCACTTCCGAAATTCGGGACTTCAGCAATTCGGCGCTTCTGAAATTCGGGACTTCGGCAATTTGGCACTTCGGTTCGGCAATCCGATATTCGGGACTTCAGCTATTCGTGACTTCGCCAATTCCCTAAACCTAACCCTACCCCTTACCCTATGCCTACCCCTAACCTCACCCCTAACCTAACCCCAACAATAGCTCATCCCCAACCCTACCCCCTAGCCTAATCCTAACCTAACCCTACCCCTAACCTAACCCTATCCCTAGTAGAGTTAGGGTTGGGGTTATAGGTAGGGTTAGATTCCTGTCATAATTTCCTTAATTTTCCCTTCCTCTCCTGTTTTGCCACTTTTCAGAAATCCGAAGCACTTTGGCAATTCGGCTCAGTTTGGCACTTCCGAAATTCAGCACTTCGGCAATTCGGAGGCATCTGAATGTCGGAATTGTTGAAATTCATTCGAATTTAAATTCGGACCAAAACGAATTGCACATGTCTATTTGGTATCATCAATTAGTAAATCTCCTTAACTGAAGAATTTAGCTGTATTCCCGTGGATAATGGAAGTCCTTTTCAACTGTTAATGAAGATTTAGGATGCCAGCATTATACTGAGGATTTGCAGGATTTCATGGTCAAGTCTGCTCCGAGTCTGGGAGAAGTCAGCGTAGTCAGGATCAGGTAGAAGGAGCTGATTTTTGGATAAAGGAATTCTGAACCTGTGTGTTTAAGTTTAACTGGATTGAGGCCTGCTAATATAAAGAACACAAACTTTCTCAGTTTAAAATTTTTTGGAACCCAATATCCACTCACTGGATTCACAGCATTACCCTCTACTTTGTAAAACCTTTGAATTCACCAACTAGTATTCCCTACAAATCCTTCATGGGGACCTCCATTTTAACCTAATTGTATTTTATGTAAATAGTATACCTTGAGTTTTTTACATGAGGAAGGTAAAGAGAACAGAGTTAGACTTGCAGGTCCAATTAGTCAACTATATTGAATGGTCTCACAGGATCCACTAGAAAAGATTATATACAAATAAAAAATATAGAATATATGTTTAGCACACATCATATGCTTGTCACACAGACCAGATTATTAAATCAGCAATTTAATCCACATCATCCCCACCAACTTCCCCATCCTTTAAGCAACCCTACCTACTACCAAACGTGAAGACATCTGGAACATTATTTCATTACACTTGCTCCTGACAATAGTTATTATCTGTAACCTGGTGTGACTTACATTAATGTGGAATAATTTAATTTGTAAAGCCTGTGGATTACACGGGTCCCCTGGTGTCGAATTTAATCGAAGTGTAAGTCTTCTAAATGTAAGCTAAATGTATCTGAGAGTAAGGGTTAAACTCATCCCTCTATTTGCTCGCCATAAATATCCAAGCTTAGTAAGGAGATCAGTAATTTCCAGATAGATTAAGCATAACAAGTTGAGATCCAAAGTGTTGAACATATACTATCTATAGCGAATTATGAACCAAGATAGAGAGAGTAGGAGGGGGTTAGACATGGATTCACCCAAAAGACATCCAATGTGTGTCCTGAAAATTTTTATGTGAAACATTTGACAGCACCATCACAGGCTGTGCAAGCATCTTTCGTATATTGGTCAGTGTAAAACTGGGCATTTCCCACCACACCGAACTGAAGTTGTTCCAGTAAAGTATTCTGTGTTAGTAAGTATAGAACCAAGAAAGATCCGGAGCAGGTCACAAGGCGAGGTTGTAGTATAGAAAGACAAATAAAGAGCCAAAATCTTCTCACATAAGTGAAAAGAATGTTCCCTGGATATAAGCCAATATCTAAGGAGATGGCAATATGGTCACAATTAAGACAGTAGTAGCAAAACTGTAACTTATAAACTAACTATATGCATAAAAACTTTTTTCTTTTTTCCCACTGATGAAGGTGTAACATACTTTGGCGCCGAAACGCTCGTCGGGTTACTTTTGTTTATTTCCTTTGACACTATGGGCACGGTGTTTTATTATTTTAT